CGGAAAACAAGCTATAAGCTTATATTAATTCCTCTCCTCTAGTACAGTTGCAGCAATTAAATGGACATTTACACATGTCATTGATGAGACGGACAAAACATCATTTAAATAATGGAGAAATAGTAATTATACATTATTTGATTGGTAGTAAAAGACATTGACAAGGAGCTGTTACTTAGTAAGGAATAACAAGAAAATTGATTGTTAAATATTCCTAGGGAATCACATAGAAATAGTTACCTCAGTGGTGTAAAGGAAAATTAATTTAGATATGCAATAGCCATTAAAATCTGCTGCTGTTGACGATAAAGTTCTGCACGGAAATGAATATTTCTGCAATTTCCCTAACATTTAGTGAGGGATCGCCCCATAAAAGAGCATCTACATTGTCATGAATATTGTATTTTAAGATTATATCAGATAAGTACTGTTGTCTGTTACGAGAATAATTAACACAAGTAAATTAAAAATGAAAGCTATCCTCTATCAGAAAGCCACAAACACAACAAGGTGAGTCAGAAAGGATTTTGTGGAATAAATGTTGGTTTAATGAGCTACCTTTGAGTCGGAGTCTAGCATGAAGTATTTGACCTTTGCGATTACCAGTATAAAATAGTTTGGTGCATGTCTGATACTGTTATTATCAAGATGTGTTTTTAGTACCTTAACTGATGAATTTTCTCTAATATTTAGCGGTAGTTCATTCCAGAGGCGAATTAAAGAAGGTAAAAAAGATTCATTATATAAGTTTGTTCGTGTTTGTACTGTCTGATGTAAATCGGATCTTCTTGTTTTGTATGAATGATTGTCGGAAATTCTTGAAGGGACTAGAGAAGATAGATAGTTGGGCGATATTTTGTTGACCATTTTATGATACTGTATTAATTTGTGTTTTTTACGACGATCTAGTCTTTCCCATTTGGTGTCTCCATATAGAAGTTCTATATTAGATAATTTGGTACCCCCTGTAACGATTCTGGCTGCCTCTAGATGCACACTTTCTAATTTCTCACTTAGATAATTTGGTATATTGTCCCAGACTATGTCAGCGTATTCCAGAATTGGTCTAATAAATGATAAATACATTATTTGTAAAGAATTTCTATCAAGTTTGCATTTCAATTTTCTTAATACATTTAGACGTATTGAAGCAGATTCTATCATATGATTTATATGAACATGCCATGAAAGATTTGACGAACACCAAACACCAAGATGTTTGTGACTTGACACTTCAGAAATAACACTTTTATTTAAGTAAAGATCACCATGGTCAGGTTTCAAAACTTTACGACTTATAAGTAAACTTTCTGTTTTGTTTGGATTAAAAGTTACCAGCCATTTATCAGCCCATTCCTGAATAGTATTAAAATCATTATTTAACAAATTTCTAGCCACATTGGGTTCGCCCACTATTATGTTAAGAGATGTATTGTCTGCAAAAAGTTTAACTTTACTTCTTAGATTAACAATAATATCGTTTATGTAAACAAGAAATAGTAAAGGCCCAAGTATTGATCCCTGCGGTACACCTGCCAAAATATTTTTGAGATCTGAAAACTTCTCGCCCAAAACTACCCTTTGCTTTCTGTTTTTCAGATAACTTTCAAACCATTTGATAATTTTATCCGATAAACCCGCTAATTTCAGCTTGTATATCAACCCTTCATGCCAAACTCTGTCGAACGCTTTACTTATATCACAGAAGACTACACGAATTTCTTTACCAGAATCTAAAGCTTTCCCAATATCATTTGTAATATAAAGTACTTGATTTACAGCAGAGTCACCGAGAGTAAAACCAGACTGGTGTTCTGTAAAAAAAATGTTTTGCTCTGAGAAAATTGTACACATATTTAAAAACACAACATTCCATTAGCTTACCGACAATACTTATGAGAGAAAAAGGGTCTGTAATTAGACACAATAGTTTTGTCACCTTTTTTAAAAACGGGTGTCACATTAGCAATTTTCCAACTGTCTGGATAAATACTATCATTTATAGACTTATTGAAAATACAACAAAGTGGCTCACATAATGTATCTTTCCCTTCTTTTAAAAGTTTACCGTGTATTAAGTCAGGACCGGTTGCCTTTGATACACCAAGAACACTGATTGCATCGCTGACATCTTGTGGTGTTATATTGAGTGTGTCTAGATGTGGGAGAGGAAATGCATTTTCTGAAGGAAGTGTAGCTTGTGAACTATTTATAGTGGACTGTTCGGAGAAGTAGGTGTTTAATGCTTCAGCTTTACATTGATCATCGTTAATTACCACGTCATTACATAATTACATCATATTAACTGAAACAGCACGGAACAAGAATGTCTCAGCACCATATGTGTCGCATCACCATCGAAGAAGTGTCGCAATTTGTTATACGAAAGAAACATATATTACTTATATTTTCTTTAAAACCACATGACCTCTTGATTATAAAGTAGAGGTTTATCCACTATGCTACCGGTCATATTTGTTACGTTGATACTCTTCAGTAACATAATTTATAATAGGGAATACTTTTTTTACCATTTGGTCCAACTACAAACAAAAATGGCCTGGCTGCAACCTATAACTATTTTTATATCAATATAGAGGAAACATGTTAACAAAAGAATAATTTATGTACCAAAGAAAAGTTGTGGGACGCTCGATATCGAGGATGGGAAAGCCTTGACGGCAATGGTGCCAATATCCGCGAAGAAAAAGATGTCTAAATACGCACCGCAGACAGGAACTAGATTTGGGGAAAGGAACAGCAAGCCACCTTCAATCCCTCTAAGTTTTCCTTATCCTCGCCACATATACTTTATTGCGTATCCGGATTGCAAATCCTTTCGAGATCCACATCGACGTTTGTGGCATGTGATACGGTGCTGTAATATATTTTGGACTTATGAGGACAGGCAGCATGAATTTGTCTAAGCTAGTTGCTCGTTCAGAAAGGCTGGGGCGAAATATCTTGCTCTGAAGCTGGAATTCGTGGCCTTGAAATGTCCAGTGACAGATAATTTCGTTCAAGCATTACCTCCGCAATCTGTCATTCGTAAGTATTACCGACAACAACCACTGACTATGTACAAGAAAGAGGATGATACAGTAAGCCAAAAAATAATCACACAGCATCATACAGCTGTCTCCGTCCTTCTAGGACTCAACCGTACAAGATACACGATACAAGAAACTGCTTAGAATCGCATCTATGTAAACAAGAAGCATTAGCTCTTGTGAGCTATCATTGCGATATATAATGTTCTTGCCAGTGCGAAACTGGATGCTTCGGTATATCGCTGACTAGCGGATGCAGATCGCTTACAAAGAGCGGGGTTAAATACGAAGAGGTGTAGGTAGTACAGTAGTATTTTGCACAAGGACCAAATATTCACAGTTTTGGGGATCTTGACTGTTTACTTGACTGTACGAAATGAACATTCAGATGGGGGGAAAAAGGCTTGGAAATCTCAATTTTAAAAATACTTGAAGGGAGAATGCTTATTTTGTTAAATCTGTGAGGATAGAAAAAAAAATATCGATAATTTCACGTTATTCCCTCTACTTTTACGAACTTTGGTCAAAGTTAATTACACACTGACAGTTTCACTTGTCTTGTGACAGGTTCGGCCAAGGTACAATACATTGAAAGTCTTGACAGTGGCGGGAGATATCAAGTGCGTTGCATGACGTCATGATATGCTTACCCCAGGCTGTGTGTCTACCCCAACTTGACCCCTTTTTAAATAAAGTAAAAAGTTAAAAATAGTTTTAGTTACGGATATATTTTCCCTTTAATTCGTTTTATGAAAGGTATTGGATTTTTCTCTCAAACGGTATACGTATCTATACACAAATTTCATCAAATACCATGCTTTTCAGAACGGTTTTATAAAATGGGCCGAACTTACCCAGTCTCCCAGCTCTGCCTATGTCTTGACATCTGTATATACATACACGGAAATTCTTATAAAACAGTTTTCAAGAATAAGTTATTAAAAATACATACATGTATATAATCACGGAATTAGATTAGAAATAGATTAGATTAGAATTATGCTATCTAAATCCGTGATATAATGAGTTAATTTCAAAACACCTATCATAAAACAAACTTTCAAGATATGGAATATCCGGGTAATTGCAGACATATTTAAATTTTGACGTGTACCCATATAGTCACAAATATGTATATATAAATTTAAAACGTTTATAACTTATTAAATTGCTATACACTTTTACCGCAAATTGACACAAAACATTGCAACGGGAAATAGACTATTTAAAATAGAGGGAACATGGAGAATGTGGAAGTATGATATCAACCGAAATAAAACATTTAACGTTGTGCCATTAAGCGTGCTACATGTATATGCGTGGTTATGGGAATATATTTTATAGCAAACAAATTTCATAAACCCTGAAAACAGGAACACTAACAACTAATGATGCATACTACTTGATTAATAATGAAATAGGGTACATCTAATCAATTATTTTATATAACATTGTATATATATATTGGACTAGGCATGATAATGACTTAATAAAAGATATACAAATAATTTTAATGTTGGTCTTTTGGCATCGGGTTTCGCGTAGTATTAAAATTTAAATGAACGTTTTTTTTTTAAATCATTAACCAGATTTCATATCATTTCTTATATCAATTACGAAATGACCCGCCTAGTACAACATCTGTTTATAAATCTAACAAGGTTGAGAATACAGCAGCGGCGACTGTGAGACTCTGCATGATGAAAATTTAATAAAAAAATAAACGTTATGTATATTTCTCTGAGCACGTTACACGTCTACAGTAAAGATAAGTTCTGGATAATATGCTTTATCAATTATTTTTTTTATAAAAAGCTACATCAAAATTGTTATCTTTATTAATGTTATTGTTGCAGTGATATATAATATAGACCATACTTTTCGATATAGGGATAAGATTTTTAAATAACGCCGTAGTCTCGTTTGTCCTAAGCATACGTACTATAAGATCACGTGGTTCAATGCGAGATTTTCGAGTTGACAACTGCTCCATGCCGATGGCGGTGGAAAGGATGTGATGCTGCACTGGATGTACTGTACGTCTGGTTATCACGGAGGAGAATATTCTATGACATTGAAGGAATATTTAGTAAGAATAATAACTGATTTATTTGACGATATGTATCATAAGACGTGAAAACATAACACTTTTTATATCGACCCCATGTTTTGACATCACCCCCAAGAACCTACTGTTTTAGAAAATGTCTAAAAATAGATTTTAACTAATGTAGTCTTTCGGTCTTCGATCTACATTCAAAATCCAGATAGACTAGCATTGGAAATGGTTATCTGTCTTCGTTATAATTAAAACGGCATACTTTTCCGTGATGTAGATCGGTCTCATTAATCGCTCTAAATCACGATTGTAACCCAGATTGTTGACAATATATAAGAATAGGAAGTGCCTCGTTTGACAATGGTTCACAGTATTTATCGTTCTTGGTGAATAAGGGGTGTGTACCAGTATTATTTGATCATTTGCATGCATAACAAACCGATGATTTTTCTAGCATATCTCAGTTGTGATTGCAGTCGTTATTGTAGTTTAACACATATATATGTTTCAACAATTTAGCCCCCTGGAACTTGTAGAAGATGATATTTTAGCCCCCTGGAACTTGTAGAAGAAGATATTTTAGCCCCCTGGAACTTGTAGAAGAAGAGTTTGACATAAAAACTTCTCTGATAAGTCTTATTTACATACCCTAATTGAACATCAGGATTCGGATATATAATTTTGATATAATGAACTTGTACATTAGCTACTAAAATGGTTTGTTTGTTTGATTTTGTTTAACATCCTATTAACAGCTAAGGTCATTTGAGAACGGCCTCCCCTGTGTGCAAGATGCATGCGTGTAGTGTATGTGTGTGTATTTTGGGAGGCTGCAATATGTTCGTGCTTGTCTCCTTGTGATAGCGCGGAACTGATGCCGACTTTATAGTGCTACCACACTGAAACATACTGCCGAAGACACCCAGCCGTACGCCCCACCCGAATACATTATACTGACAACAGGCGAAACCAGTCTACTACTAAAATGGTACACAGCAATGTTAATTAAAGTAGTCAATAATAAGGCACCTTTGCTGAGGTGTCTACATGATCATAAGAATTGTTCACTGGTCTTAAAACATGTCAAGTGTCTTTTGAGACCTGACTGAATGTTAGGAATGATATAGTATCTAAAGCTCATTGGTGCACCTTGGCCATATAGGGCTTAATTTCTCTTACCTGCCACAAAACCTGATGGTTAGGCTTATTCATGGGGTTCGAATGCACAAAAAATCATAGTAAAGTTCCGTTGTAGTATATTTTTGCAGATTATTATGAATAAGAAAACGAAGAGTTGAAAAGAGTAAGTGATCTGACCTAGGTAGGTAAATAAACTCGAGACATGTTATAAACATTGTAAATGGAAAGTGTTACAATGTTTATAACAGTTCTGACTTTGTATTTATCACAACAATAAATGCCACCTATGGACACTTAATATTGAGGTCATTTATTCATGTATACAGATTTTTATAAAGATTTGGGCCTTTCATGTCTCATTTTTGATATAGTTGATATAGTTAAGTCGCCACCAATGGAATTTAAGCTTCAGGTAGCTTAAGTCGCCACCAATGGAATTTAAGCTTCAGGTAGCTTCTTGTGGCATGTTTTAATATTCCTATACTAATACGTGACTTCTGGTGTGTATTGGTATAGAGGAAATAGTATCCAGAAATTTTACAGGTTTAAAAGAAGTGTAAACTTAAAATATTGAATGTTCAGGACAGGAACTTGCTAGTAGAGCATGCACGAAGCATTGCATTTACAGAGATGGTCAGACCAGAACTTGTTGAGCCTGTGTTTAAAACTATTTACACTAAGGGCATTTACCAAATTGTTTGACAGACTATTCCAGGCTTCCACAACCCTGTTGCTGTAGCTGTTACTTCTGATTTGCCTGTTGGTTCTCTTTTGAAGAGCTTTCTGTTGACAACATTAACAACATTGCATGGATATATAGTTATATACAGGCCTTTTTTTGTGGCTGAATATGGGCCAGTTCCCCTCTCCAATTTTGGCATTCTTTCCCCCAAATTCAGCTTTATTTTATTGTAACTAAAATACTACCACACAAACATATTTTTGGTTCCATTTTTCATTCAATTTTCAATCAGTTCCACAACTGAGTGAGTGATTTAATTTGTTTTCCCTGTGTTGATATTAATTGTTGCTGCTGGTATTTTAAAATCTATAATGAACAGCGAGAAACAAAATTAAAGATGAAATCCATGCCCCCTCTTGTACTCTCCCCCTGGCCCGGCCTGCAGCCCTCGCTGGACCGGTCATACACCTACAGCGCATAGTTTCCCCTATTTCAAAAAAGGGTACTAACTTTCTATTCCTGCTTTAATCGCTGCATTGCTATGAACCATTTTGATAACTAAAGTACTACTTCAATAACAGATATAAATCTCTGTTTGATTGGATTCTTTTAAAAGTATTTTCCAGTGGGTAGAAGTTTAGAGTGATCTACAGTATAATAACATCATTGAGGGGGCTTGTCGAACCTGAAGTGCAATATCTCTAGTATGGCATTTTAAATAACCATACAGCAGGGAAAAGCAGCAGGCATATATATATATACCAGACCCTTAAACCAGTGTTTACGAATTAATCCAAGTAATAGCGTGTCATGATGTTTTGAATATGGAGTCATTATTGTGTTCCAATGGGAGTCAAGAGAATATGTGATTCATGAAAATAGCTTGCCATTACAGTCCAGGACTTTAACGTATATAGACACTAATGTGATATTTAGTTACTACATTACTTTTATTTTTCATTTTCATGGATCAATATTATACTTTATATCAAATTCACAATGCATTTCTACACATTTTAATGACAGTGAAGATGTCAAGAATGGGGTTAGGCTCCCAGAACAGGAAGTATATCTGTACAGTTAAGTTAGTGACTGAGCTTTACCTGGCTAATTGTTTGATCTTGGATAAAAGTATCTGATAGGTGATCATGATAAAATGTTCTAGGGTCAGCAGGAAATCTACTAGGGTAGGTTAGGATACATGAATCACATTTTTTTTCAGCCTTAAGAAGATAATTGGTACAATATCATTAATTTATGTATATATTATTTATTTATTTTTTTACTTTTCCGGCTTTCAAATCTAACTAGTGACTAGAAGAGATGAGTAATTCTCTTTGCATTTGTTTTAATTTTTGCACTGAATATTAGCCCATGTAGTTATCCCAGAGATGGTGTTCTTTCCTAATTTTTGTGTGTTTTTTTAGGTAAACATGCCCCAATTGCAATAATAGATGGACAATTTAAAGTCTAACCTTTTTCTTGAAAACGAAAAAACATATAGTAATAAGATCTTAACAATGCATTTTCAGTGTTCCCCATATAAAATTACATAATAAAACCTAAATACAGAGAATGCCATATGCTTTATCATTATAGCAGTTTATTTTATATTCTTGTATGATCACTATTTAATGCTTGCTTGTGATTAACCTTTTGAAAAGGTTATACAGTGTAGCTAGTGGTAATACTGATTGAATTATATGCTGATAATTGCAGGTGAGAAAGTGCCAAGATGGCCGACTCTGATGGAACAGGGAGCTGTGACGGAAACCATCATCCCAGTGAAGCTGATAGTATTAGTTTTGAGGAAATCAACACCTTGAGACAAACTGAGGAATTAGGGGGAGGCATTTCTCCACTGTATAACCCCTGGACTCAGTTCACTGGTATGCCTACTCACAACATTTCAGAGTCAGCTGGAACGTTTGCATGGGATGTTTTCACACCTTCCAGTACCTCTAATTCCCCTTATGGTGCCTCTATAGGAGACCTGGATATTAGTAGTCACAGAAATTTCCTGTCAAATTGTCAAAATTTACTATCTGGTATTGGAACTACCCCCCCTGTTGAAGTTCCAATACAGGAGAGTTTTAGTCCACCGGAAACACTTAGCCCCAGCTTTCAAGAAAATGCCAAAGAGGGAAAGGAAAAATATGCAGAAGCTGTAGCCAATTGGAAATCCTTGTATGACCCTTTTGGAACCCCTGAACCACTGTCAAAAGATCACAGTACTGGTACCAGTGTAGAAAACACCGAGAGACTACTAAATGCTGGAACGACTAACAGCAAACCTACCTATTCTGACATTGCTAAAGCACTTAAAGCAAAGCCAATGCAAAGTCCGTCTGGTAAAGACACAGAAGAGTCTGATACAGTGAAGAAGAAATTAGCTGATCCAGTAAGTAAACCATACAAACCACACGTTTTGATCAGACGGCCACACACACAACGCCAGCATTCCAAAAGTCTGTCTGGTCATGGAGACGACATGGAGTCCAAGGTTTCTCCCGATTCCAAATATGGCCTTGACCAATTTGAAGACTTAAACTCCAGTGATGGTGGAGTCGACAAACACAATGGTGTGAGTATGGACAGTATCCCGCTACTGACGAGGAAAGGAAGCACCAGCAGCATGAGCAGTGGCACCAGTGGTATAGAAGACATCTCCTTGACATCTGGTCGAACTGCCTGCAGTGTCAAACACGAAGAGAGTGTCAGCAAACTGAGATCTCAGTCTGATGCTTCGTCAGAAAGAGTAGTAAATAATACTAAAAGTTCCGCTTCAAAATCCTTCTTTGATGCTAGAAGGATTTTTCAGACAAAAGAAAAAAGAGCACCAGAGACATGTTCAGGAGCCTCCACCACAATGCTCAACAATGGGAAGCCTGCTAGTGGTACCAAATCTTCATCGTCGGCTCACAAAAAGTCAACAGAGTTCATCAACAATGACCTGAGAGACTCGACAAGAAAGAGGACTAATCAAAATGCACAATCCAAAGACTCGGAATGTAAAAAACATGAAAACATTGTGCAGAATGGGAAGGCTGACAAAAAATCTAGACACTCCAGTGCTCATTATACAGCAGATTCCACAGGTCCTGGTCCTGCCACCAGGAACGGTAGAGGTGGTCGCAGACCCATGTTTCTGGAGTCGACATTTGACCAGGAATACATAGGTGATTATATAGCGTACAGATGTTGACCTAAAACACTGCCAATTGATCAGTTGTGCAAAACTTGCAGTAATTATTAGATATGAATTGGAAGTCAATTGCCATGGTCTGTGATTATCTCCAACATTTCTGCTTCTTCTAAAGAACAAATTTGCAATTCCCAATTTTGCCAATTTTGTCCATTTACCTCAGTATCTAATTATACTGCTTTGTCCCTATGTATTACTGTGTTACAGGTCATCCATTTTATGCTTCTTTCATGACGATAAAATTTAATAAAATGGCAGAAGCTAATGTCCAAAGGCCATGGTTAGTGTTGAGTGTGTGATTGTTTTGTTTTACAGATGAATGGATTAACTATGTTTATGACAAGGTGCGGTACCTTCTCTCCATCCTCTGGTCCACTCTGGTCACAACACTGCTTCTTGTCTTTGGACTAATCATCTACCTGTAAGTATGATAATATTTAAGCTTTGTGTGGGCTGCATCATGAAATTTCCTCATTTTGGTACACAATAGTCATTTAAACATACATAGGTGTCAACCTCTGAAACCTACTATGAACTAGATCTCCCTCATTCCACATTTCCAATGAGGGAGAAAGTGTGTGAAACTTGACTGAAACTGTTTGCTCAATTTCTCTTTCCCTTTTTTATGTACCAAAATAACTCCAAAAAAGCATTCATTTGATTCAGACACACCTGTTATTATCATTACACACACCCTGGCTGTAGTAACTAGGGGATCATTTGACCACAGAATTTAGATTTTGAGTTTGTGCGAGTTTTGACTTGACTGAGAGAGTTTCGAGGGAGATTAGTAAATTTTGTTAAAAACGAGGGAGTCTCCCTCGTCATGAGGCAGGTTTGACAGCTAAATGAGCATATTGTAGGCTGTATCCTGTCGCTGGCCATTTTCAAATATAAAACATAAGACAAAGGATAAGAAGTTTGTCTTTCCTCAGTAAAACTCATCAATCTCACACTGGTAATTACATAATACATGTATATCCCTTCCTTGAGTTTGAAAAACATTGCATTTGATATGTTAGAGCTCTGAGCTATAATTTTGTATATATATATATATGATTTCTTGTATAATCTATACAAAAGTAATCAATGCTTTGTGGATTAAGTATATTTACATTTTCTAAAGACCAGAAATAATGGAAATCAAACTGATTTCATATTTAAAGTGATAAGTTTACATGAATTTCACATCTAGGTTGTTATCTTGTACTTAGTGAATTAGGGATTCATACATAAAATAGTAAAAATCGGGAAAATTAAGATAAAAAAATAGTAAAAGAAAGTTACATATATTTGTTTGTTTTTTAATTATTCATTTTATTTATTTTTCAGAGTCAATTTGATTGTTCATGTGGTTGGTATTGCTTGGTCAAAGATTTCTTACCTAGTGAAAACCTATATTTTGAAAAGATATTTTAAAGATACCAATTCCTGGCCACCAGGAAGTGGAACACGAAAAATTGGACTGGAAGAAAGCATACCTTTGCCCTCAACAGGTTAGTAATATCACAACAGGTTAGTAATATCACAACAGGCCAGTAATATCACAACAGGTTAGTAATATCATTAGTTGCCTTATTACTGCATCACATATGTGTTTAAATTTCGTGGCCCAGTCACATAGTGGAAGGGATATCAAGTGTATGTCTTTTCCATCCTTAAGTTTGTATGTCTTTGAGTTTAGCTCCATAACTCAAATATTAGATGTTCAACATTAATAAAACTTCATATGCGAGTCACGGTGACTTATTTTTCTACTTCACTTTTCTTTGGTTAGACTTTAAATTTGCTGTCTTATTCTTCCTACTAGAAATCCAATTATCATCGAACTTAACATGTTGATGCATATTAAGGAGTCGTTACAGCAATGTATCAAATGTAGGTCACTGTGACATGTATTTTTTCTATTCACTGACTTTTGTTAGGCCTTGCATTTAGCTCCATTAGTTTATGTGTCGAAACTTGTCTCAGCAGTCTGTTTCAGTGTAAAAAACGTCTGCAACGAAAAAAAACATTAATTAAAGCCGTTATGAAAGAGCTTGTTCGTAAACATTGTAATAACATTAGAAATGAATTGTTGGTTGAAGTTGAAATGTTAGTGAGAGAGTGTCTGCTGATATAAGGAAATCAGAGTTCTGGAAACATTGAAAAACGAGATGACTTGATAGACATTGTAAGGCCAAGCAAAAACATATTTGTTTCCTGTCACATGTCTTTTACAAGGTTTATATAGCAGAGTAATCTTGATATTAACAGTGCTTCTTTGAAAATTGCCTATTAAATATTGATATGAAGTTTCAATATTTGTTTAATTTTTCAGGTGATGAAGCCATGCAGAGGCTTTTAGCTTGTAAGGGGAAAGATCCATACAGGTAAGCTCCACACTCGGCAAACAATTCCCATAATAAATCATTCAGAGTAAAGCTACATCAGAGTGAAGCTGGACCTTAATAAAACTGAGCTACCTGGTGTACATCTGCAGAGTTATTTCCCCTGACTACATGCTGATCAGATTATGTTGTCTAAAAGCCTACAGATTGAGAAGTACTTCATCTGTTTTGTGTTCAAATGTATGTGGCCACTAACTAATTACCGATTACGATTTAATGATTGTTATTCTACAATTTTACTTGTAAGGGTAAATTGTATTCATTGCTAAACTGAGATCAGATTAATTCAACTGCCCCCAAGTTTTGTGTAGGTTGTTGCGTTATATTCACTTGACACTCTTGGCGTTTTCAGTATATTAGGTCTACGCTCTGATGCCTGTGATGACGATATTAGAAAATATTATAGAAAACAAGCTGTTCTTGTGCATCCAGACAAGGTAATCAAACGACTCTTGTTTTATATGAGAATTGGAGAAAAATCCAGCAAATTTTGAAACTTTGGCCAGGACAGACCTATTTGGTGAACATAACATCATAATTGCCAACCTAAAACAATTTTCATGGAGGGAAAAGTTTTTGTGACAAAATTCTAAAAATATCTTTTTAAAGTATGCATATCATCTTCATTGTCTAATATCAAGTTATTTCCATTTTGTCGACTCATTTTGACCTTATAAAGTTGTTTCTACTTTGTACATTGTCAAATCTATTTAATAAATTCAGTAATAAAATTTGAAATGTTGTTGTTTCAGAATAAGCAGCCAGGTGCAGAAGAGGCCTTTAAGATTTTAGGACATGCTTTTGAGTTAATTGGTGAACCGGTAAGTAATACACTGTTCATGTGTATAAACAATCAGCAAAAATTGGTTGCCTTGTTTACACAATTTACTAAAAATAAATACATTTACGAGTAATTACCTGGTAGCTATAGATTGAAACATCAAAAAGGACATAGGTTCATCCTGAAATTTTGTGTACATATATCTTTCACTTAGAAATGCTACAAAGGATTACTAGGGTTTCGCAAGTGCGAAAGATTGTATGTATATGATGTATGTAGGAATATTTCACAGCCCCTACGAACAACAGCTTACTAATGTAAGACATGTAAGGTCTCCCTAGCATTTTCAGGGACGGTAGACCAGAATAAGACTGTTGAATTACTAACGAGAATACAATGAAGACCAAGTCTTCAAAGAATTATTTGAAGACCATTCCATGCATTTTGAGCTACCTTTTCTCAATTTGTTTTACTTAAGAACATTCTTTATGGTTTGATAACAAGTTGAAAATAAATTCTTCGTTTTGTAGGAAAAGCGCAAAAGTTACGATTTTGAAGCTACAGAGGTTGAAGTGGTTTTAGTAAGTATTTTATGTGCTTTGCTTAAAGTGGTGTCCGTTCTATTTATAAGTTGATTTCGTGAATTCAGCAGCTGTTTGTCAATTGATCCTGATTTGTCAAGATTTTCAAGGCTTAATATTGAATATTTCCTGTAAACAAATTGGTTGCATTTCTGGTTAAGAACGGGGACTAAACATCATTTACCTCCTTTAATTAGATTGTCTTATTTGTTTTTGTAGAAAGACCTGTTGACAAAATTACAAGAGGTAAGTTTAATATTTATAACCCAAAGGGAAAACCAAATGTTGCTTAATGCTGAAATGTATGTAAAGTATACGTAGTAAATTGCATAGAAGTTCATAAGAAAGGATTTGGGGGGAAATTAAAGTGCAAAAGGTAATAAGTCACACCTTAATATCTGGTCAGCGTTGCTTTCTTATAAGTGGGGGGAAGATGGGCTATATAAATGACGTTGACAACAATGTATTAATCTGTCTTGTTACTATATTTATTTACATCGGGGTTATAACAAATAACTGTTGCTTCAATAATTCCGTTTCAATCCATTCCAACATGCTTCCTTTATCCAACCCTGGGGTAAATAGGTGTTTGAAAATAAGGCTATCTCCTGTTTGTATACCCCTGTCGCATTAGGAGACATGGCATGCATGTGTATTTGTCTTTTCCCTACGAAATGCATCTTTTATCGGTTAGATTTAGAGTTTAGCTCCATTACTTTACTATTGAAAGTACAAGTTATCAGATTTCATCATGTTTAATAAATCTTCAGGAATACTACACCAATATATTAAATGCTGGTCTCTATGACCTATATTTTCTTCTTCACTGATGTTGGTGAGACTTTGAGTTTATCTACAGTTCTTTGGTTAAAATGGTGTTTAGCTCCATTTCCATCAATGTGGGAGCGGGGCAATATCTTTATTTTACAGAATTTTCTTGTTCATCACCCATTTTCTAGGAGATGTATTTTGAAGGAAAGTCCTTTATGACTAAAAAGCTGTGTCACTAAACATTATATATACAAACAGTTGGCCAGTATTTGGGGAGTGTTGATGGATCTTAAGTCAGCCTGTCCCAATATTTGTCTATTACAGGCAGCTAACATGATGCGTTGTGACAACTGTGGAGGGAAACACAGGCGAACATTAATTGATCGACCCTGGTATAGTGCCCGTTTCTGTAAGAGATGTAATATACGCCACTCGGCTAAGGAGGTAAGATGATGATAAGCTCTTTACAAATATCATTATTCAAGGGACCTCAATTATGTAAAATTTTGTGAGTTGTGTCTACATTCACAAATGTGAGGCTGTCAAGTTTTTTGTGACAAGTGAACACTTCTGGTTCAGCATATCAGTAAATTGTAAACGACAGCCTGATAAAAAGGTTGCCGTGGTGACGGTTAAATGATGACACCATCTTTAGAAATATAATATTTTTGCTCATTTAACAAAAGTAAATTTATGAAGTAGTTTTGATTGTCTTCAATAGTGTTGCCGTTAATGTTATTACATTACCATTTAACTTCACTTGCTAGATGGTTTCTAAATGCTGTCGGACACTCTATATCTAAATGTTCCTTGAAATAGAGTTGACATTTAACTAAAATTGCTAGATGGTTTCCAAATGCTGTCGGACACTCTATATCTAAATGTGCCATGATATAGTGTTGACACTTACTTGCAAGATGGCTTCTAAATGCTGTCGAACAATCTATATCTAAATGTGCCATGATCTAGTGTTGACATTTAAATACACTTGCTAGATGTTTTCTAAATGCTGTCAGACAATCTATATCTAACTGTGCCTTGATATAGCGTTGACATTTACTTGCAGGATGGTTTCTAAATGCGGTCGGACAATCTATATTTAAATGTGCCTTGATTTAGTGTTGACATTTACTTGCTAGACGGTTTCTAAATGCTGCCGGACAATCTATATCCAAATGTGCCTTGATATATTGTTGACATTTAACTTCACTTGCTAGATGGTTTGTAAGTGCGGTCGGACAATCTATAACTAAAGGTGCCTTGAGATAGTGTTGACATTTTCTTGCAAGATGGTTTCAAAATGCTGTCGGACACTCTATATCTAAATGTGCCATGATCTAGTGTTGACATTTATCTACACTTGCTAGATGCTTTCTAAATGCTGTCGAACAATCTATATCTAAGGTGCCTTGATATAATGTTGACATTTACTTGCTAGATGGGTTCTAAATGCTGTCTGACAATCTACATCTAAAGGTGCCTTGAGATAGTGTTGACATTTAACTATACTTGCTAGATGGTTTGTAAGTGCGGTCGGACAATCTATACCTAAAGGTGCCTTGAGATAGTGTTGACATTTCCTTGCAAGATGGTTTCAAAATGCTGTCGGACATTCTATATCTAAAGGTGCCCTGATATAGTGTTGACACTTACTTGCAAGATGGTTTCAAAATGCTGTCGGACAATCTATATCTAATGGTGCCTTGATATAGGGTTGACATTTAACTAAAATTGCTAGATGGTTTCTAAATGCGGTCGGACAATCTATAACTAAAGGTGCCTTGAGATAGTGTTGACATTTACCTACACTTGCTAGATGTTTTCTAAATGCTGTCCGACAATCTATATCTAATGGTGCCTTGATATAGGGTTGACATTTAAGTACACTTGATAGATGGATTCTTAATGCTGACGGACAATCTATATCCAAATGTGCCTTGATACAGTGTTGACATTTACATGCAAGATGGTTTCTAGATGCTGTCGGACAATCTAGATCTAAAGATGCCTTGATATAGTGCTGACATTTAACTACATTTGCTAGATGGTTTCCAAATGCTGTCGGACATTCTATATCTAAAGGTACCTTGATATAGTGTTAACATTTACTTGCAAGATGGTTACTAAATGCTGTCGGACGATCTATATCTAAATGTGCCTTGATACAGTGTTGACATTTACCTGCAAGATGGTTTCTAAGTGCTGTCGGACAATCCATATCTAAATGTGCCTTGATACAGTGTTGACATTTACATGCAAGATGGTTTCTAAGTGCTGTCGGACAATCTATAACTAAAGGTGCCTTGAGATAGTGTTGACATTTTCTTGCAAGATGGTTTCTAGATGCTGTCGGACAATCCATATCTAAATGTGCCATGATCTAGTGTTGACATTTAAATACACTTGCTAGATGTTTTCTAAATGCTGTCTGACAATCTATATCTAACTGTGCCTTGATATAGCGTTGACATTTACTTGCTAGATGGATTCTAAAAGCTGCCGGACAGTCTATATCTAAAGGTACCTTGATATAGTGTTGCCATTTAACTACACTTACTAGATGGTTTCTAAGTGCTGTCGGACAATCCATATCTAAATGTGCCCTGATATAGTGTTGACGTTTAACTACACTTGCTACATGGTTTCTAAATGCTATCGGACAATCTATATGTAAAGGTGCCTTGATATAGGGTTGACATTTAACTAAACTTGCTAGATGGTTATTAAATGCTGTCGGACACTCTATATCTAAATGTACCTTGATATAGTGTTAACATTTACTTGCAAGGTGGTTTCTAAATGCTCTCGGACAATCTATATCCAAATGTGCCTTGATATCGTGTTGACATTTACTTGCTAGATGGTTTGTAAGTGCGGTCGGACAATCTATAGCTAAATGTGCCTTGATACAGTGTTGACATTTACATGCAAGATGGTTTCTAGATGCTGTCGGACAATCCATATCTAAATGTGCCTCGATATAGTGTTGACACTTACTTGCAAGATGGTCTCTAAATGCTGTCGGAAAATATATATCTAAATGTGCCATGATATAGTGTTGACACTTACTTGCAAGATGGTTTCAAAATGCTGTCGGACACTCTATATCTAAATGTGTCTTGATATAGTGTTGGCATTTAACTACACTTGCGAGATGGTTTCTAAATGCCGTCGGACAATCTATACCTAAAGGTGCCTTGAGATAGTGTTGACATTTATCTACACTTGCTAGATGGATTCTAAATGTTATCGGACAATCTATATCCAAATGTGCCTTGATACAGTGTTGACATTTACCTGCAAGGTGGTTTCTAAATGCTGCCGGACAATCTATATCCAAATGTGCCTTGATACAGTGTTGACATTTACTTGCTAGATGGGTTCTAAATGCTGTCTGACAATCTACATCTAAAGGTGCCTTGATATAGTGTTGACATTTTCCCCAACCTTACGCCTGTTGAATTATTTCATTTTCTATGTAAAAAACTTGTTTGTATTGACAGGGTGATGTTTGGGCAGAGACTTCCTATTTAGGTTTCCTGTGGCATTACTTTGCATGCATGGAAGGACAAATTTATGACATTACAGAATGGGTAGCATGTAAGGTAAGAACAGCCAGAGTTGAAATTATGTTTATTTTGGTGTAACCCTAAGTTATTGCTTGCTCATGTCTTATGGAATGTTTTTTGTGTGTGAATTAAACATAAGTGGTTTGGAAGATACCTTCAGACAGTCATAGCTGTTCTTTAAAATAATACATGAAAAGGGTTAGGGTATTTAATAATTTATTTGCCCAGCGTTGGATTTTCCCTCTTGTTCATGAAATCTACATAAATATGTCACATTTTTTGATGCATTATTAATCTGCCCTCTTGTTTAAGGGCAATGATAATACATGCGGGAGAGTTTCTTACAATATGATAATATTATCTTGTTACAGCCGTTAATTTGAAAGTTATTTATCGCAATAAATCTTAATCCTAATCCTTTTAATTTAGAACCAGACAAACTTCTGTCAATATGATGTGGACCCTATCTATATAATCCTATGATGCTATTTGATTCCTCTTGCAGAAGGATTTCTTTAAACATATGCAAGCCAGTGCCCATCATGTGTTCTATAGGATAGCAACGGAAGGCAGTCGTGGAAATTCCAATCAACAGAGAACAGGGTAAAGAAATAGTGTACAGATAAAGAATCTGACATCATTATTGGAAAGCATTTGAATTTATTTCAGGTCAAACGTTCATGTTCTGTTTCTGGAACACAAATATGCTTGGTTTAAATTTCACAACGCCATTTGTCATCAGAAGTCTTAGCTTAGTCTCTATCAGAAATGCAAAAAAGGCTCAGAATGTATAACTTCCTTGGTGTGTTAGCTCTTAACAGTAATGGGTCGCATAGATTTCTGAAAAAATGGTTTGATTTAAAGAATGTTTAGAATAACAATACTTCAGGGCCAGTAACACATGTTTGCAACTTAATAAATTAGTTGCTGGAAGAAAAAAGCTACTTGATTAGAAAAAATAGTTGATAGATAAGGAAAGATACTTTATTGGAGTAAACACAAGGAAAATGCACTCCAACACCCACTAGTAGATGTTTAGTGAAGTTCTGCATTCAATTTTATAGGTGAAAATCTGTTGTTGGACATGGGAAATATGGTTTAGGAAAGCTGCTTTTGTGGAAATTAACCAATTGCTGGATAAGGGCGGAAATTAGATTTAAATTAGTTACTGGGTGGCAAAAATACCAGAATAGAGTAAATCAGTGGCAGGACAGGGAATGGTATTCAAATAAATCTGGTGCTAGGTGGCAAAAGATACTTTTGTAGATGACCAGATTTTACATAAACAATCTACTATTGTACAACAGAACACACTTAAAGGTATAAAAAAAATCATACTCAAAAGTGACAACATGTTTTTCTACGTTTGATTATCTAAACACATTGTGCATAAGATTCCTCTATTACTTTTGTAACATTTAGTGTAATTAGCAAAAATACAACTTTGTTCTCCTTTGTTTCCTATTATTTTTGAAAGATATCTGAAAATTCACATCCCATGTTCTAAAGTACATTCGTTAAGACTGATTAAATATTTTCGTATTACAGGGAAGCGGATTTAGAAGATTTCATCAATCATTTATTCCATCAAGCCATGCATACAGACGGAAACGGTAACCAATGGCAACAACCTCAGACCCCTCAGCCTCCTCCCTCACAGAACGGTCCGACCTGGAATACTTCAACCACCACAGGAAAGAAGGGACGAAGAAGGAAGAAGAAGCATTAGTAGCATTGTCTATACCCATACATATTTATAATGTCTACCGGTGCTGGTGCTTGTCTGTTGACGATCAGCTCTTCACATCCAAAAACCTTATATGGCTGGTGTCTGTTTAAGCTCGATACATAGTTTAAGCTGTATTATGGTCAGACACAATGTTTTACTGTTAAGTGGAAGTTTTTTAGTGGGTGTACAATTTTTGCTTTTGACTTGCCTCCAATTGTTTATGATGTGAACATTTTTGCATTGGTTATGCTGCAATAAATATTATCTGATTGAAGATGTACAAAGTACATATCTTCCGTGCTGATTTTGTTATGGATATCGGCTTAAAGAATTCACGGCACAAGAGTTTCCATATTTACAGTTTTATGTACTAGGTAAATACAAAAATACTTGCCAGAACATTATCATAGTAAAGGTTGTATACTTATATTAAAAATGTCATTGTGATATTTTATGGATATATTATGGGAGGATTACTTTTGTTTTCTTCATAGTAAGTATTTTTTCAAATCACCTTATTTGTGAAAATGAAGTGAATTGAATTAGGGCTATTCCAAGAAAAACATTTTAAATGTGACGGGCAATTGTTGGTGATTTTCTCCAAAATTGAAAAAAATAAGACAAAGAGAAGCCTTAAGCAAGCATGTATTTAATGCAAGTTGTTGGATATATTTCAATAGGATCCATGATTCCTTTCTTTAGGTATATTATCCTATATTAAATTGAATTTTTCAAACATTTCAATTTTTACCATGTTGGTCAAGTGAACAGTGACACAGCAATGAAAAGAAAATGTATTATTACCCCTAAACTATAAACATTGCTACTTGTCTGTCATAACCATGGTAACGTTTTGAGTTGGATAAGAGTGAAGAGCTGGTTTTGATCAGACAGTGCTGATACTTGTCCGCAAAGTTAAATTTCATCTCTACTTCATAATTGCTATCGTCAGTCCTTCATGTTGTATTTTTACGGTGTGATACTTGATTAATGAAAGGCCTTAAAATTCATGTTTCGCTGGTCCTAATTTTACCCATCAGTAGCGATGATTAATTTTGAATTCTGTTGTGTAATGTGTGTACTGTGACAATGCTTACTGTACGAGTGGACGGTGTATTTTGCAGCCTTGTACAGTTACACTGTACGTACCTACAGTTCATGAAAAATGTAATTCTGTGTTAATACAGACAGAATTTCGAACATAGTTATATAGCATTAAGGTATTGATTCACTTTATTGAAATTGAAAACTTCTGTATTTGTAATTCAAGACAAATCTATTTGATGTAAAACAACACATAGATGCTGGAAACCGATTACATATAAATTAAACAGCACTAGCTCTTTGGTGACAGTGTTGGGTGCCGCCCATATCAGTCCAAACATTTTATTACCAATATTATTACTTTCGTTTGTAAGTAATTTAAGGCAATGCAATTAAAAAACAGACAAACAAAAACAAAAACACCATAATGGTGTCAACAGCAGACAATATATGTAGTATAAAGGCTAGTAGTATGTCCCAGTACAGGATCTGTTGCCTACTACATGTAATGTGTTCAAATTATCTGTCTCAATAGTAAATAAATCAATAATGATGGTGTCAAGTTTATTTTATCTTCATATGTAAATTTCTTTTCCTCTACCTCACCCTACTGCCTAATAAACATGACTCGAATCAGGTCGCGCTGTAAAGAATGGATTATATTTCTCCACAGCACTTATTATGAGTGAAGTAGAGGAGTCTTTTAGTAGCGGTCTCTCTAGTACTGGAGCCAAGTCAGATGAGTTACTTAAAAACTGCAGGCCAGTTAAGATGATTGTAGAGTCGGTAACATAAATTACTAAACTACCAGAGCCAAGTCAGACGGCTCCCTGTATTGTATTTCAATGGTAAGTTAGTATATTTACATTTCTACTGAACTTGGACTCAATATACCTACTTAACATTTGAAGCGTTATTTTTCAATGAACTTTTCAGTTGGCGTATGAATACATCAGCATATTATCAACCTGATTACTCTGTTATTCCGCGGAGCACGGAAAGGAGTTCCATTCATAGATTGTTTTCATTTTTTTTTTTTTTTTTTCAAAAATATTCAATTGAATTCAAAAACTAAGTGTCATCTTAATTTGCTTATTCATCTTACCAGGACGACGTCTCACAGTGAGAGATGATGTCATAAGTTTTGATACCTTCCGTGGTGTTAGACTTGCACAAGACCGGTATTTTTGAAATTATCCGAACAAATATCAATATCGCTCTGAATGTAAATATAAGGATAGAATCCCATTTTGTTGAGGTTTATGGGGTATAAGCCTCAATGGGTCTTGAGACAAATTCAGATGAATTGCGAATAAAATTTGTCTCAAGACCCATTGAGGTTTATACCCCATAAACCTCAACAAAACAGAATTCAATCCTTAAATGAACTTTCTTTAAGGACTCTATTTTTGAAGTAGATCCAGGGTCCTTGTTCCTCATTCGTAAGTGGTTGATTGATATACACTGTAGAATGAATTGAAAGATAACCGATTAATAAGTTGACAAGTTATGGTCAAGTGGATATGCAACAATTTTTGTAAAATATTCTGACAAATTTACTTAAGGTGTATGTATGTCACATTTCTCCTTTGCATTCCTCTTGCCAGCACCACACATATTGATCGACAATCAAATCTACCTATAACTATTCTGCTTTATGTAATGACTAATCCTAATAAAAAAATCAATTTTCGAATTTTCTCTAGCCTCCTGTTACCATGAATGTGTATGTTCTGATAGTTTTATATCTGAAGAATACATTATTGAAGTCTTGGTTTTGTTGTCAGAAAGTTTCGGGTTTGTTATCAGAAAGTTTTAGATTGTTGTCGGGAAATGTTTGATTGTTATCGTCTAGAAGTATTTGATTTTTAGGGAATAATTTGGAAGTAGAACTCTGAAAATGGAATTTCTGCGAGTCAATTTAGGAATAGATGTTAACTCCCCTAATGTTGTGTAAAAGTTACACATGCAAAGTTTTCCCTTTATCCATTATATGTTCTTTACTATATTTACTGGTACATGTAGTACTAAACATGTTACACTTAGCACTAAACATCCTGAAAATAACACTCATTTGAAGTCTTTGACCTGAATCTTTGTGGGTACTGCCTTCTGTACTTTTACATCTAGTAACTTTTGGTCTATACAAGCTTTTGCAGTCATCTAGAATTCAAAAATTTAATATACTTGCCAACTCTCCTTATTTTGGAGGGGGGACTCTCGATTTTGGACCCTAAGATTGAGCACTTATTTCTATTTTCTAAGATCTGGTAATTTCATCTTGGGGGGGGAAAAAACAGCTCAAAAGATGCCATTTATATACACCCATAATATTTATGTTTTTAATCATGGTGATTTCAAAAAGTTCGCAAGCATGAAATTAGGACATGTAAGTTGAACACATTCCTTGTGCAGTGTACTTGCATTCACAGTTGCATTGTAAACAATAATTTCCCCTTTTGTACAGTAGCTTTTCCTCCATTGTTTGGACACAATACAATAAACATACATATCATGGTATTTGGTTTCAGAGTTTAATGGTGAGGTAGTCGTGTCATCTTTCTATCGTTACATCAGAATCATTTTCATTTGGTGAAAAGATTTTTTATTTTTTTGACAATATGGTAGTGTTGCTTCACTAAAATGATTGCGTTAAAATAAGCTTTTCTCAAATTAATCGCACAGTACAGATCATGTCTTTCGGTTTGTGTTTGACAAAAATCGCCTAACAACATTTGTAATCTGCTACACTTTTTTCCATCATGCCTATATTTAATGTGCCTAATTCTTGAGTCAAACAAGAGTATATTGTATGTGTTTCAAAGTTACAGATGTTGTTTTGTTAGCTGCATATATGTGTATGTCTTCATTTCTATAACTGTTTTCCTTGTGTCGATGATTAAGATAAACTATTGTCGTAACTTGTCTGCTAGGGAACAATACGATCATGTCTTTATTGTTTGGAGAGAATCATGTGTTATTGAGCTTTAGTAATGACAAACTTCGGGATTCTGAAGCTGTAATCTTCATGCTGATCATAAATGATAAATAGATAATAACAAATAGTCACCGACCAGTGAAGCCCTCTATATGCGTATGAAAAGTTGATTTCATCGTTTCCCATATTTATCTTTGGATGAGCATCAGTCATGAAACTATAACCAACATTCTGTGTAAATCATTTTACGTTTAGCAGGTATAGTTCAGTTAGTGATGTAAACATTTTATTCTTTTAAACATTCAGTATAAAGTTGAATGCGGTTTGTTTGCCTTCCCTGTGTAAAACTCATTATTATCATGTTTATTTGAAAGTCTAGAAGACGACATTGGGAATAGTTCGGGAAATACTATATGTACGTGGTACATGTAAACATATTGTATCTGACGAGTCATTAAAATGTATGCAAAGTTCCCTTTTCGCTTTTTTCTTTTCTTTTTTAGACAGAATCGTTAACTCACCTGGTCAAAAGGACCAAGAGAGCTTATGCTATCGTCTGTCAAGCTATTTTGCCTAAAATCAGAATTCAGGGCATTTTGCTTTTGCTAAAAATCACAATCATCAAATCTGTGCGTGCAGTATACTATTTATTCTGGTATATTATTGAAACTGACCACTACAACTATGCATGCTCTTCAGTTGTGATAACCTCATCATCTGTACACATTATAGACTCACTACTGACACCGAGCCGGAAAGCGCTATAATGGCCCAGTAGTACATGACAGATGCTGCTATGACGACCTGACCAACAGATGCTGCTATGATGACCTGACCAACAAACACTGCTATGACGACCTGACCAACAAACACTGCTATGACGACCTGACCGACGGACACTGCTATGACGACCTGACCAACAGACACTGCTATGACGACCTGACCGACAGACACTGCTATGACGACCTGACCAACAAACACTGCTATGACGACCTGACCAACAAACACTGCTATGACGACCTGACCAACAGACACTGCTATGACAGCCCAGAAGTACCTGACCGACAGTCAGGCAGTGCTATTATTGCCACATTTTCAGGGGTGAGTTTTTCATCAATGTAGACCACCAGTTTAGAGTCAATGTTATGTTCCCTTAGATACTTTACACGGCCAAAGTCAATAAGTCGTTTACACTGTCGTCCAATCTTCTCCCTCGTCGCAATGGGCAGGCACAAGTCATTTCTGTAAAGTGAATCAAATCAAGTTCAACATCTTGTCAATTTGAGAGCAAAGTAAATTCCACGTCAAAATATTGGAAAGAACATTTTAATCTTAATGATGAGTTGTGGTCAATTTGATAAATTTATAGCATCTCCATGATCTCACTAAAGTTATGTACATGTACCACTAATTAGTACTGAACTGTTCACTGTAAACAGGTTTGTGGTGTGTTTACTTTGTTAGAGTTCACTATAGACGGGTTTGTAGTGTCCTCTGTAAGAGCTCACTATAGACAGGTTTGTAATGTCCTTTGCAAGAGTTCACTATAGACGGGTTTGTAGTGTCCTCTGCAAGAGATCACTATAGACAGATTCGTAGTGTCCTTTTAAAGAGTTCACTATAGACAGGTTTGAAGTGTCCTTTTAAAGAGTTCACTATAGACAGGTTTGTAGTGTCCTTTTAAAGAGTTCACTTTAGACAGGTTTGTAGTGTCCTCTGCAAGAGTTCACTATAGACAGGTTCGTAGTGTCCTTTTAAAGAGTTCACTATAGACAGGTTTGAAGTGTCCTTTTAAAGAGTTCACTATAGACAGGTTTGCAATGTACTATAGACAAGTGGTAGAGTACATTTAAAGAGTGTACACTAAAGAAAGGTTTGTAGAGTATACTAAGTGAGAGTTTCCCATAACAGGTTTGAAGTGTACTTCAAGTTCAGTATATTGTGTGCATTTTATGAGTACATTTTGGACAGATTTTTAGTGTAATTAGTGTGAGTTCACTACAGTCAGGTTTGTAGTGTGTATTTAGTGACAGTTCTCTTTTGGCAGGTTTGTAGTGTACTAAGCGACAGCTCACTATAGTCAGTTTGTAATGTTTATTAAGTGGCAGCTCACTTTAGTAAGGTTTGTAATGTGTACTAAGCAATAGCTCACTATCGTCGGGTTTGTAATGTGTACTAAGCAACATCACACTATAGTCAGGTTGGTAGTTTGTACTAAGCAACATCACACTATAGTCAGGTTGGTAGTTGTACTAAGTGACAGCTCATTATAGTCAGGTTGGTAATGTGTACTAAGCAACAGCTCACTATAGTCAGTTTGTAATGTGTACTAAGAAACAGCTCACTATAGTCAGTTTGTAATGTGTACTAAGCAACATCACACTATAGTCAGTTTGTAATGTGTACTAAGCGACAGCTCACTATAGTCAAGATTGTAATATGTACTAAGCAACAGCTCACTATAGTCAGGTTGGTAATGTGTACTAAGCAACAGCTCACTATAGTCAATTTGTTATGTGTACTAAGCGACAGCTCACTATAGTCAGGATTGTAATATGTACTAAGCAACAGCTCACTATAGTCAGGTTGGAAATGTGTACTAAGCAACAGCTCACTATAGTCATGTTGGTAATGTGTACTAAGCAACAGCTCACTATAGTCAGTTTGTAATGTGTACTAAGAAACAGCTCACTATAGTCAGTTTGTAATGTGTACTAAGCAACATCACACTATAGTCAGTTTGTAATGTGTACTAAGCGACAGCTCACTATAGTCAAGATTGTAATATGTACTAAGCAACAGCTCACTATAGTCAGGTTGGTAATGTGTACTAAGCAACAGCTCACTATAGTCAGGTTGGTAGTGTGTACTAAGCAACAGCTCACTATAGCAGTCTGCAACGTTAGGCACTAGTCCGATGTCCACGACTATTAAATTTAAGTCTGGACTAGTATTGAAAATATTTACTGGTAACTAGTCCGACTGGACTAGTGGCAATTTTCCTCCAAAATAATGGAAATATTATTAATGGTATATATTTTGCACTATAAAGCTTGTCACATTTAGTTCTAATCCTATCGTAAAATACGGTATTCGTCGAAGCTTTCAAGTTTCGATGAGCAATCGCGAGACTGGGTTTCGGGTTTTAGTAGTAACCGAACATTACTTCCGGTTTATCACCATGTGAAACCAACCATGGCGATGTTGCTAAGTTGGAGGAAAGGTTCAAAACCAGCTAAGCCTGTCTGTGAACAGACAGAAAAAATTGCTCCAACGCAAAAGAAACATTTACGGTTCTGGTTAGTGCTTTAAGGCTCAATGGAAACAACAGTAATACTGTATTAGAGATAATTGGCGATCATGTTCCGTGCTCCGTTTCTTTAGTTAATTATTGAGAGACATTTTGTTTTGATTTCTAATAATTTTCCAATTTAGATTACAATTTACACTTCATGCTGTAAAAAAGACCTGTCTGTAATTTGGACTAGCAAATTCACAGTTGGACTATTAAAATCATGGGTTCACTAGTCAAAATCACTAGTAAGGAAAATAATTAGCGTCACAGACTGCTATAGTCAGGTTTTATGTGTACTAAGTGACAGCTCACTATAGTCAGTTTGTAAGGTGTACTAAGCAACAGCTCACTATAGTCAGGTTTGTAAAGTGTACTAAGAGATAGCTGACTATATTCAGGTTTTGTAATGTGCACTAAGTGACAGCTCACTACCGGGTATCGTCAGGTTTGTAATGTACTTAGCAACCGTTCACTATAAACGACAGAAGTGTTGTTGAGTGGTCACTATGGACATGTTACCTGGTGAGTGCAGGTCCAGACTGGTGCTCTTCCTCTACTTCATCCTCCTGGCTGACTAGCTCCTGGTCACCCGACTGATTATCAGGCTGGTCAGTACAACTGACCACGCCCGTGGGAGTAGAGGACATTTCTGATGAGTCTGTTGTTGATTGTCCACTGCTGCCTCCCACTCTGGCCTCAGAAGACTGCGGTGTCGTCATTGTCACTGGAGAGTTTTTATCTACATTTGTAGATGAATTAATTTCCTCATTCATTTGTTCAATGGTTGCCCAGCCCTTCCAGGTAGCTGCTGCCCAACTACTAAGCTTACACATCAACATAAAGTCTCGGGCAGAAAAACTGCACGTCTTCATAAAGTCTTTACCCACATAAGTCTCCCAGGTACAGCGATGGTGACAACACAACGCTATGGCCATACCAGCAAACTTGGAACTGAAATAGTAAAACCACAAAAGGTCAGTTTAATTTGTTAATAGGATTGTGTGAACAGACTTCATCACTGATGTGATATTAAAACATGAAATTAGTAAAGGTTTCCACTTATACAGCAGTTTATTTTAGTTTTTGTACACTCATGAGAAGCTACTAATAGTATTTTCAGATACTTGAACAGTCTATGTATGAAATTGATTTGATAAACTAAAGCAATGTGATACAATTAAGTGAATGTCATTCCTAGGATATTAAGTGATCAAGTCAATTATCTTTAGGAGAATGTGTCTTAAAATACTATTCAAGGAATGGCAGGCTAATTCAATGAACTTTTGATTTGCAGTGAAGGTACACACCACAGTAGGCAGGTTAAGATACAGATAGGTGGCCATAGATACTCGGAAATGAACTGACAGACAGACAGTGTCAGTCATACATGTGGGTGAATACGTACACATTCCCTATGAAAGATTTCAACTTCTTGATTGCTTTGTGAATTCAAAACCTTGAGAATACTTCACCAGAACATTCACAGATATTTATCCATTTACAGCAATATTGATAGCTTATGATCGGTGATATGACCATATGTCACCACTACAGTGTACTTACCTGGTGTTGGGTTTGGAGCGTTTACACGCTGGTTCCGCTACACTAGCTGTCTCCCCCAGGTCTTCAGCTGACAGGGTGTTTGTCACACACCGCACAGCTAGATCTGATAGGACATTAAACAAAATTTCTGTCTCTGATAAAACATTAGAAGAATTTATCTATATTATTGTTTACAGAAAATGTTAAAATTCATAATTACCACAACATTTGCTAAGTTAGCCAGAATTGAACATATGATTGCCTTAAACTCGAAATATGTTACAAAAAAATAAACAAAGGCAACATGTACTACCATATATGTTTTTTATGATTTCAAAGTAAAGTTTTTGCACTGCATGCACATCTTTTTGATATGCATACATAGCAATGATAACATAAAATTAAATAAGATAATGAAATATGTTTACATTATTATCAAGGAAAAGAAACCCGAGATGAATGTTGATATAATTTTGCTCTGACATCGATGAGATGAAGTGTTCCAATAAGAGGCCATGGTAGCTATCGCAAATTTCAAATAAATAACAGCAACACTTGTTAAAAAACAATTACCAAAACGTATTTGATTGAAATTTTCACCCAGTCAAACTTTCGCCCTTCGCCCTTGAAATCAATTTTTGCCCAGTTTAAATTTCACCCGTCACATTTAATTATTATGCTGTTAAACTTTTTTGTTTTAAGTATGAATTTGTTTTCATTGGGCGAAAAAGGCGGAAATGAAACTGCAGTGAAAATTTCCCTGTATACAGTAGCTCTTTTCTTGAGAAGAGCAAAATCAGAATGCTTGGTGGCCATCGTTGATTTAAAGTGACACTAAAATTCAGAGAAATGAAAGAATCAAGCTACCAATTTAAGTCAGGAAGTCAAAGGCTATCTGCGAGAAGGTTATTTTAAAACAAACAACAATCAGATCAACACTATCTTCCACAATGGCAATACCCCCTATACTGATAGTTATACATACTTACCGGTGGTGCCCCCTATACTTATAGCTATACCTACTTACCGGTGGTGCCCCCTATACTAATAGTTATACCTACTTACCGGTGGTGCCCCCTATACTAATAGTTATGCATACTTACCGGTGGTGCCCCCTATACTTATAGTTATACCTACTTACCGGTGGTGCCCCCTATACTTATAGTTATACCTACTTTCCGGTGGTGCCCCCTATACTAATAGTTATGCATACTTACCGGTGATGCCCCCTATACTAATAGTTATACATACTTACCGGTGGTGCCCCCTATACTGATAGTTATACATACTTACCGGTGGTGCCCCCTATAGTTATATTTGTACATACTTACCGGTGGTGCCCCCTATACTTATAGTTATACATACTTACCGGTGGTGCCCCCTATACTGATAGTTATACATACTTACCGGTGGTGCCCCCTATACTTATAGTTATACATACTTACCGGTGGTGCCCCCTATAGTTATATTTGTACATACTTACCAGTAGCACCTCCACATAGATGCTTGCCCACTGCCACCACTGGTCGCTCGTTTTCTTGGATACTAGGTACCCTTCCTTCATTACACAAAAGTAACAAGTCATTAGGAAAGTCACCAGACATAACATTATATATATCAACAATTTAACATTGCTTTAACCAAACAAAACGGAACAAAGAATATGAAATATTAATCATACAGAAAATATACTGATTGAGTAATCTGAGACACAGGCAAGTGAAAGTCAAACGACATAGTTATGAAACAATGCCCTATAACATGTTGGTGATTTTTAAAAAAGTAAAAACTGGCCACTCCACTTTCACCAGACAATATTTACTTGCATCCCCCATTTTTCTCTGCCCTCTAACCTTCCCTCTCTCCAACTTTATCAGCAAATCAGAATCATGATGTAATGTAATATATCTGGGGAACAACAACTGATTGTTTTACTAAGATTGTATCTTGACTTGCATCAAGTCCTTACCCAAATGAAGGTTGGCGATATCTATTCTGATCCTCTCAAACTTAGGGCCACTCTCTCCCCACTTATGCTGGTTATCTGCCTGAAAACCAATCACATACCACTGTTATTGTGAAAATTATCCCCTTCCTTTGAAATCTGAATTCTCATGATGATTCATACATTCAAGCTTTTTATGCAGTCAAAATTTCTTTCTTCTAATCAAGCATCTTGAACCTCAAAATGGAATATGTACTGGAAAATACACAAAGTATAACTGCACATTCCTGCCTTACACTTTCATATTTATAAAATTAAGAAAATAAAAAATGTTCTGAATCAAACACCAACACAACTTTGATTGGTAGACAAACCCTGGAGTTGATTTAAAGTCTGTAGAAGGGTATATTTCTGAAGAACTGAATTAAAGCTTTTAAAAAAAAATACCTTTCTTAAAATTGATACCACAAAATTACACTCCATTCTTTAGTCTTTTGATCTAAAAAATTACTTGATTTGCCTTTTGCAGAATTATTGAAGATGAAAAAATGACATGGACACAATAACCTTGACATTTGAGTACTGACATTGATACAATGACCTTGACATTTGAGTACTGACATTGATACAATGACCTTGACATTTGAGTACTGAAATTGAATCAATGTCCTTGACATTTGAGTACTGACATTGCTACAATGACCTTGACATTTGAGTACTGACATTGATACAATGACCTTGACATTTGAGTACTGACATTGATACAATGACCTTGACATTTGTGTACTGACCTTGTACCTGACATGACCCCTGTCTACCAGCACAAAGGCAGTATTACTACACTGATCTGAAGCCTTCTGTATCCAATGAGACAGCATGCCTGAAGTCAAACAGAAGTCATTAATTGCAAAACCAGTTACAAGAGTCACATTTTGATGAATATACAATTTTAACTCAAGAATAGTCAGAAGTTTGTTAAGTTCAAATTTGTAATAGCAAACAGGACTCTGGCTGTCTTATCATGCAGCTAGTATGTGTAATACGATCTATTCTTTCTCTAACACTGACGCTTTATAATATTTACCTATGACCATTAAGGTACCTACCCTTCCCGGCACCAAGTTCTACATAACACATGCCATCCTTGAGAAGATCCATTTTTCCAAGATGTCCTATCAGTGATGCCTAAGAGACAGAAGAAGTATGCTTTAGTAGTCATGAATCAAGAAAACAATGGATAACAGCTTGATGACACAGGTGACCTGTCCTTATTAGCTATACAGGTATACATTTATTTTGCATTAGACTTGTTGTCAAATTTTATCTATCCTAGAAATCCAAGAGTTCCTGCTCTCAGTATTGTCTCTAAACCCATGGAATGTGTCATGACAAAATCAAAGGCTTATGGTAAGTTATTTGATTGGTTTATAAGTACAAGAGGCCCAATGGGCCTGAATCGCTCACCTGGTATTAATTTCACACTTGTTATCTTAAAAGTGGAATAAAATACAACTGCAGGCAGAATATCGGTGTTTGATTAATAAGAACCTATTGAAAGATTTAAACATATGACACCCGTGACCTTGAATGTCGACAAGGACATTAGGTTGAACAGAATTTATAGTCTTCCAACCCAGCATGCTTCTGGCAAAATATCATTACCCTGGACATTTTGGTTATACAGAACAAGTCATTAAAAGATTCAAACATATATTGACCACTGTGACTTTGAATATGGGTGAAGGTTATTCATTTGAACAAACTTGGTAACCCTTCATCCCAGCATTTTAATGGCCAAATGTCATCACCCTAGGACTCTTGGTTATTCAGAAGAAGTTGTTTAAATGTTTTCAACATATTTGACCCCAGTGACTTTGAATATGGTTCATGGTCATTCTTTTGATCAAACTTGGTAGCCCTTCATTCCAGCATGTTATTGGCCAAATATCATTATCCTAGGCCTCTTTGTTATTAAGAAGTTGTTTAAAGGTTGTATACATATTTGATCCCTGTGACCTTGAATATAAATCAAGGTCATTTATTTAAACAAACTTGGTAGCCCTTCATCCCAGCATGTTACTGGCTAACTATCATTATCCTAGGCCTCTTGGTTATTCAGAAGAGTTGTTTAAAGGTTTTATACATATTTGACCCCTGTGACCTTAAATAAGTCAAGGTCATTTATTTGAACAAACTTGGTAGCCCTTCATCCCAGCATGTTACTGGCTAAATTTAGCACCCTAAGCCTCTCGGTTATTCAGAAGAAGTTGTGTAAATGTTTTAAAATTATTTGACCCCTGTGACCTTGAATATAAGTCAAGGTCATTTATTTGAACAAACTGATATACATGTACTTAAAATCCTTCTGAAGCATTGTTGTGTCACTTTAAGAAAATATGGAAACGTAGGAGAAGAAACAACATTGACATTGTACATATTTCTTTGTAAAGTTGAGAGCCATTTCTGTGATGTGGTGAAGGAAACATTTTGCACTTTTGCATTTGCAACTTAAGCTAAAGGAATATAAATATTACATATATCCTTTACAACCAAAAATTGATTTGCATAGGAATTATTTTCCTTTGTCCAATATATATTTCAAACCATGACAATAGAAACTGAAATTGTCCCTTTTGTTAAAACCAAAGATATTTCTGATTGCTTATTATTTACTGACAGATTTCGCTAGTAGACTAAGTGTAAAAATGCATCAAGTCTCATCAGAATCCTGTCATATTTCACTAAGTTATTGTGCGCCAGCCATCAACAAGAATCCTGTCATATTTCACTAAGTTATTGTGCGCCAGCCATCAACCAATCAGCAGCTTTAATAATGATTTAAATAAAATTCATCTTCGAAATTAAACGGTTTCACTCTCGATGAACATATTTTCTGTACACCTATAGCCGTATGATAATAAATTATTCACAGATTTTGCTAACCTTTAAATTTAGCCATTGCATAATATTGATCAGGTTTCAATTGAATCAATTCTTTCTTTGACTAAGATATTGTGCAGAAACAGTCTGCCAATCAGAGTGAGTACCATATGCATGAACTTTGCTCAGCTTCAAACTTAGCCTCAGTATATTGTACATGATTACCAAGTTTCATAAAAATCAAACAATATCTAAGCAGTTATCTTGGGGAAACTAAAGCGTGGTAATTGACCAATCAGGGCACAGTTTGCTAATTAAGTATGTATGGATTTCCCTTAACTTCTAACTTAGCCTCAGTCTTTGTATATTGTACATGCATACCAAGTTTCATCAAAATCGAACGATATTTAAGCAAGTTATCCTGTAGAAACCAAAGTCATGAGTGTGTAAGAATGGATTGATGCTCCCCATATCATTGTACCTCAAGCCAAAATATTTGACGAGCCTATACAAACTAGCAACTATGACTCACCTGTTGTTTTCTGTGCCTAAGAGCTGGTATCCTGAAATTTTCATTGGCTAACTCTTCCTGTAAGCTTTCATGATCCAATATCTCTGTTTGTATTGCTTCAACATGTTCTGAATAAAACAAGTGTAGAGAATTGAGTTTCGTGTGAATCCATGATTGTTTTATGTTACACACCTATTAGATAAATTCAAAAATATGACCCCACATGCATCTGACAGTAATGAGTATAGTTTACATTAAATTAGGAAATACAAAGAATTGTACCATCAGTTTCATCACATTTCACAGTATATGGCCTTGAAATCAGAAAATTCAACTTTTTTCTTAAGTGTTAGTTTGGGTAATATTGATCAACATGTGCTATCCTTAGAGATACTGAAGATGTAAATACATACCTTGGTATTTTTTATTTACCCTGTCAATCAAATTGAGCAGCTCAGACAAAGGGATATCTGCCCAGGGGATCTGTTCAAATAGCATTACATGTCAATGTAATATAGCAAGACTAATAATTTGTACAGAAATTATTTCTAAATGAAGGTTCGCATTATTTGATATAATTATATCATTCTTAAATGTCAAATGTTTACAGCCAAGCCCCGTTAATCCAGCCACCACTAATCTGGCAGTCCCGCTATCAAGCTTCATTAATCCAGCCACCACTAATCTGGTTGTCCCACTATCCAGCCTCATTAATCCAGCCACCACAAATCTGGTTGTCCCACTATCCAGCCTCATTAATCCAGCCACTACTAATCTGGTTGTCCCACTATCCAGCCTCATTAATCCAGCCACCACAAATCTGGTTGTCCCACTATCCAGCCTCATTAATCCAGCCACCACTAATCTGGTAGTCCTACTATCCAGCCTCATTAATCAAGCCACCACTAATCTGGTAGTCCCACTATCCAGCCTCATTAATCAAGCCACCACTAATCTGGTTGTCCCACTATCCAGCATAAATTAATCCAGCCACCACTAATCTGGTTGTCCCACTATCCAGCCAAATTAATCCAGCCACCACTAATCTGGTTGTCACACTATCCAGCCCCATTAATCAAGCCATCACTAATCTGGTAGTCCCACTATCAAGCTTCATTAATCCAGTCACCACTAATCTGGTTGTCCCACTATCAAGCTTCATTAATCCAGCCACCACTAATCTGGTTGTCACACTATCAAGCTTCATTAATCCAGCCACCACTAATCTGGTTGTCCCACTATCCAGCCTAATTAATCAAGCCACCACTGATCTGGTTGTCCCACTATCCAGCCTCATTGATCCAGCCACCACTAATCTGGTTGTCCCACTATCCAGCCTAATTAATCCAGCCACCACTAATCTGGTTGTCCCACTATCCAGCCTCATTGATCCAGCCACCACTAATCTGGTTGTCCCACTCTCCAGCCTCATTAATCCAGCCACCACCAATCTGGTTGTCCCACTATCCAGCCTTATTAATCCAGCCACCACTAATCTGGTAGTCCCACTATCCAGCCTAATTAATCCAGCCACCACTAATCTGGTTGTCCCACTATCCAGCCTAATTAATCCAGCCCCCACTAATCTGGTAGTCCCACTATCCAGCCTAATTAATCCAGCCACCACTAATTCAGTTGTCCCACTATCCAGCCTGATTAAACCAGCCACCACTCATCTGGTTGTCCCACTACCAGGTATCCACCCTCATTCAAATAGCCACCACTAATCTGTCTGTCCCACTATCCAGCCTCATTTATCAAGCCACCACTAATCTGGTTGTCCCATAACCTTAGTTTCATCAGGCCCTGACACCAGACTTAAAACTTTTTGACAGATAGACATATCTGTCCATAGGAAACTCGGGCTAGTTGTCCTACTGTCCAGACAGTGCTTTGGAAGATGGATTTCTTTTTTCTTAAAACTTTTGGCAAAAATATTCAATAACTCTCATCTAAGGACATGAGTGTAAGACAACAAACATGCCGTAGAGTTTGTTAAAACACAGACCTGTTACTAGAAACAAAGCCTATGGTAATGAGAAGTGATTGTAACAAAATGAAATTGTTCCTTCCATAATACTCTGAAATGATAAATGTTTGCCATTGTATATGTCAGAGCTAACTTAACTCTAGATCTGGAAGAAATTATTTTCAAAAGGACAGAATACCATGATGGGCAACAATATTACATTATATAATATCCACAGCATTTTCAGGTATCTACCCTCGTTCATCATTGAAGTATACAGGCTGAACAATGCCAATAAAATGGAATCAAGTAAGTATATTAAGAGGTGAAAAAAGTGTTCTGTACCTTCTTTGTTTCTTCTTCACGATCTGTAGAATCAGCTCCAGAGTTAACTCCTTCGACATGGTACACCTTCAAGCAAAAAGCAAAATTTGATCTGATTTTTTTTATTGTGCTGTTTAATGTAATTTACATAAACACTTTGTCTGTTCCTGAATTAATTTTATTTTAACAAATCATGTAAAACAATTTGTCATTTCGAAAACAATGATATTTGTTTAAACTAACTACCAAAATGCTTTTGGACCTGGGACTAAAATCCAACCTAAAATCCGTCCCTATACTGCTAGATCAGTGTGAAATCTGTGGAAACTTGTTTTACACGAATTAATGACCAGTTAATTATATAAGACTTTCAGGTATCAGGTTAATTTGTATGTCAAAACTGTAGTCAGTTAAGAAATCTAACAGATATTAAGATGTATTTACATTTGCTCTGCATCCTTCCATTGCAATGCATTGAGAAAGCAAATGTTGTTATGAGACTATAACAACATTTGCTATTGTAACGTCATCAATTTCATTGTTGTCAAGACTTAATTTGCTGTTCAAAGAACTGTTCGAAATAATTAAATAAAGCATAACTACTCTATCAAAATACTGAAATATAAATAATGAATATTTTAATAAATGGTCCTATAACACATATTTCTATTGCTGATCACAAACTAACAGTTTGTCATCAATAGCAACGTGTGTTATAGAACCATAACAACATTTGCTAAAACATTCATTGCTTCTATGAATTCAAAATTTTTCTCCCAAAGGGTTGCCTCAAGTTTTAACATTAATTACCATTTACTTTAAGAGGTCTAGCAGCACCAAGATCACTCCATTGGAACCACCCTTTTGTATTTCCAACATATTCAAAACATCCTGTGATATCACATCGAGTTTTATTACATTGCAAGTTTCGTATCTGATACATGTAGTATGTTCATACTTGCAAATTCTCCCTATTTTAAAGGGAGACTCCTTATTTTGGACCTTAAAATTGACCATTTTCAACCAAAAAATAGGCTAAACCAACCTGATTTAAACCCAATATTTTAATCTACCGGTACTCCTATACTCTACATTCCAGTCAGTCAGTTTGATTGGAACAAAAAGTATCATAGTGGAATAAGAGATTTGGTTTAAATCAGATTAATGCTAAACTATTCTTATATTCTAAGATTTAATCATTTCACTTTGAAAAAATAACAAAAATATAACAGCTTAAAGTGTTCTTTTTTACCTAAATGGGCCTGCACACATTTTATTTATGTTTTAATTTTGGGCACACAGAATCCTCCAATGGAAATTTCCAAAGGTTGCCAAAGATGTTTGATTACATGACATAGATAGCTTATGCATACTCGCATAGTTTCAAGTATACGACAACAACCACAACATAAATAGTTATTTACTTACCGGGGTTGCACTTTCTTGTTTTCTACATTTCTTGATGTGTTTATTCAACTGGTCTTCATAACAGGTACTTGAACATATAAAACACAGTTGTAAGGAATTCTGCTGTATAGAGACATTGATATTACTATACTACTTTCGATTTCCCTTTAAAAGAAACCAAAATCAACATTTTAAAATCAAACCTCAAATGTAAAGCGTCTTTTACTTATACTGATTGAACAGTGTAATAAGCTGATATCATGTCTTACTGCATCTACAACGTCAATGAATAGTGAAATAATCTAATATATGTAATTTTGTAATGAGGTGTTGGTTGTGTGGGGATAACACTGCCTGTTCAAACATCCAATTTTTTATTCCAGCTACAAGCAGATGTAACAATACCCTGTGTCCCTGAAGGGGAGATAACTCAATGTGACTTATGCATATTACTACAAGATAGCACTACATGTACTACAGTATTGTGTTTTGTGTGATGATAAATTATTTGTTTTCTGCTTTTTGAACAGAAACGCATGACAAACCTATCACAATTCCAACACTGCAATTTTTTGTAAATTCAAAACTTACTGTTTTGCATTCAGTGGGCACTTGACTCTTTTTCTACCCGTGTCAATCTACAATACATAGAACTTTGTATATAAATTTGCATATATTTATCCTGTAAACATGTAAAATATAAAAGTGTGTATAAATAAAACAAAACACGAAGACTAGTATCATCGGCTAGCGCTTTCGCCCATCTTGGGGCTCTTCTGAAGAGCCCAAAGATGGGTGAAAGTGCTAGCCGATGATACTAGTCTTCATGTTTTGTTAAATTTAATTTTTTTACCATCACATGGACATTTAAAACTATTTATTGCTAAAAGTATGTATATATAGGTTGATAATCTCCTGCTAAGATTTGTCTGGCAACAACAAACAAAAATCGCGAGTTTGAGGTTCAACCACAACAAAATCAATTTAAAATTTGTTACTTTTGTTTTCATTGCATAATAGGAAAAGGAAAGGGAAAATGCAACAGCCAGACAGAAATTTAAACATGTAACCTCCAAACACTATAAACAGATGCATCAATCAAGCTGCTACCCCATTGTTCGCACAATTGACCCAGTCTAGTTCCATTAGTACAATTGATTGAACAGGTTTTACAATTTGATTTTTATTGATGAAATATTGGCCAAAGTTATCTGACTGTATAAAACCTATACAGCTGACAGTAGCGGGATGAAGAGTGTCCCAATAACAACTCTTAACTTATTCACTGGTTATATATATCGGATACTAGCAGCTATATATATATATGGCCATATGTGATTTACGTAATACTTATATATAATAACAACCCTGGAAGTGGAAGTTCTAAATAGTTAGAAATGTAACCGTTCAACCAGTGCACACCAACAGGATTGAAGGTAGGGAGATCCAAACTATCTAAATCAGGATAGAGATACGGGAGCTAACATACGGGAGCTAACACAGCTGCTTCAGAAAGCCAAAGAAGTTGAGAAAATGGGACTGGACCAACATAGAAATTTGTCAGTAATTCTTACTAGTTCTCAAGGGGAAAAACAGTTGAGATTGAATGAAGAGTGAGTTCTAGATGCGTTATTATGAAAATGAAAGTAGAAAATGTATACATATGTTAGTCTCGTGTGTTCTTACACCAAGCAGTCCGGCGTGTTCTGCACAATAAATCTGTCCATGGTTTGGTTTAAATCTACAATATCGTGTTTTTCTTTCGATAAAGAATGCACAGCACCCTTCTGGTACGTCTGATTTTTCTGTGTGTGACATATAATAACCACGTGTGGACCGGAAGTAAACACTGAGGTAAGTGATTAGCGCAGCAAAGGAATTTGAATTATATGACTCGATATTAACAGTAATCATGTATATATCTTTTTCTTTAAAATTGAAAGTTGGCGTCAAAATTCATAAACAAAAAATGATGATTGGTGGTTATAAGGAATATGAATATAATGTTAAGATTTTTCTCGGTTAAATTCATTTACTGCGGTGCGCGTGACGTCATATTAAATGGCGACTGGTATTACGCTGCTTTGTCGGGAATAATTTACTCAGTTTGTTTTATTGTTTAATAGTATTGTTGTACGTTTAAATCATGTTGATTACAGTAAAAACTCTGCAGCAACAGAGCTTCAAAGTTGAAGTGGATTCAGAAGAATCGGTATGTGTCTGCAAATATTGGAAAGCTTCACTGAAATTTTGTGGTGTCATCCTCGAAAATCATGGATAAGATACCGGCGTCTTTTTTTATTTTCAATATTTTCGGGCTTCTGTTGATGGGTCTGTCGTGAATTTTAAATTATTATTGATCTAATGATAAGACATTGAAATGTTTTTTGAATTCAAGAGCATGAATTAAGCAAAATTACTGAGTTTCGTTATTCGTAATATCCCATATCTGCATCATCATCATTTGTCATGTTTCCGTTTTTGAAAATGTTACTGCCTGCTAGGTCGCGACCAGTTACCAGTAAAAAAAATCATATTTTTATAAGTTGATTTGACAAATGCCTATGTTCAGTTCTAAGCTGCTTTATTTTTAAGCATAACAGTTTACTTAGTATTAACACTCACCGGGTCAATGTACATTTTATAATATTAACCAAATTTTGATTGATTAAAAATACATAAACCTTACTATAGCAGCCATATGCGTGAAACAGTTAAAATTTAAAAAAATAATCCCAGACAAATATTAAAATACAGCCATCTAATCATGAGAGAAACATAGTCTGAGAGAAGCCATCTCAGAAAAGTATATTTCAACAAGGACAAATAATCATGAATAATCTAGAATAGCAAATCAAAGTATAAAATCTTACAGAAATATTATAAAGAAGATGAATGGCAGACTTTTAATCTTTGTGGTAATTAATAAACCGGACATTATTGATGTATCTGTGACTGTCATTAATGATTTTGGAATAATGTTACTATTACATCCTGAATTTCCCATGCATCAGCTCATAAAAGAGCTAGTGCCAGCTGGGTCGGTATATCTTTGTGGTCTTAAAATTTGGTCAACTCAAACTCAAAACTGAACATAACTTGTAATTTTGAAATTGGAACAGTACAAAATAGAGTGAGGTTTAACAAAAAACTGCTGATTTTCGAATTTTAGAAGGTAATTCCTTGCCTTTCAAAATGGCTTGCTTGTGTTGGCGCTAAATGTCAGCATATGGAGCACAATTTGCCTCCAAATGAACCTTGTTTATGTTATTCTTTGTTTTACATACAATAGTAGGGTTATAATCACATGACCACATGGTACACAAAAATATATAAAAAAAATCGGCCTACCTACCGTTGTTTTTTTGCCCATGCAACCCTAAACAGACAATTTTTTTGCCTAATGCATAGATGTATCACAAATTTTGACTACTCATATAAAACTTGAATGCTCAAAGTAAATATATTATACATGTATGTAAATGTAGCATGCAAATGACAATTTTATTTAAATTCCGCATTTAGAACCTTTTTGGGGATTTTGTATAAACTGTGTTCTTAACAAGATTGATCTAGAACACTCAATAATTAACATTTACTCTGCACTATGAGTTAAAAGATTTGATGGAATCAGAAAATGATATTAAACAGCTCTGCCAAAAAAGATTCTGTTTCCTGTACTTTAAAACAATCTTAAATGATGGCGCACATTGTATCAGTGGGATTAGCTTTAACACCCATAGCAAAATATGATAACATATCTAGATATAATTACCTGGTAGTGCATGTTAAATAATCTTAAAATTCATACCAGGTAATTAGAATATGGCGACAGTTGTTGTTTCATATGTACTTGAATGTTTATTTCCTGTGTAGGTGAAGGTCCTCAAAGAAAAAATTGAGGCAGAAAAGGGCAAAGAAGGATTTCCTGCAAATGGGCAAAAACTTATTTATGCAGGTTTGTTCATATTGTTCTTTCCAACAATTTCACAGAAATGCTTGGTTTAGTATTTGCATATATAGATATATATGGGGCAAAGAAGTAATTCCAACAGTGTGGACAAGTTTAGGTTGTCAAATTTTCGGAGCAATCCGCTCCTTTATCAAGACACTGAAACAGAACAGTTACATGTACATATACGTACATCATATTACAAGAAGTAGAATTGATGTACTACAATTGAAAATATAGCTTTTATATAAAACCAATAGTCCCCTCGGCTAAGGACAGCCGAAGGCAGCAATTAAGCTGAGAGTATCGCGGATAAGGAACGCTGATAGTCTAAATATCAGAACGCTCGCTGGCTCTGCTCTATAGCAAAAGTGCACTAAGACGACTCGCCCAATGAAGCACAACGACGACCCGCCAAATGATAACCAAAATCGGAGAAGAATCGCTCTCTAGATATATATATACATGTTTATATTAGATTATAGCAAGGATATTTGTTACTAGAATTTTATGTTCATTTTGCAATTTAAGAATTATGAACATGGTGTAAATGTGGTCTACAGAGGTTCGTTGCAGTTAAAAAGTTTGGGGAAGGAAAAACAAGTGCACGGCCATTTGTAATTGTGTTGAATGGTGGAAGGAAGTGAATTTTCATGTACATGTATGTACATTTAGATTGTTAGCTAGGGAGACTGTAAGATTGAGATATATATATGTACATTGTTCTTTAAAAGTTCAGTAACATGGTTAAATAATTTGTTCAATTGACAAATTATCTCACAAACATTTTATAATTTGCAGGAAAAATTTTGGAAGATGACAAAAAAGTTGCAGATTACAAAATAGATTCGGAAAAGAGTTTCCTGGTTGTTATGGTGACAAAGGTAATTATTGAATATATTATTGTAATTTGATATATATATACAGCTATATTTATTATTGTTGTTAAGATGAAATATTTTTCCAATCGCCCTCATTTAATGTGAATTTAAACACTTGCTAAAAATATTTATCGAGTTTGAAAAGAAAAAAATGATTTAAGTTATGGACTGAAAATGAGCTCAATGGTTTCAATTTATCTTTGTGTCACTCCTCTGTACAGGGCATCTCATATACATGTACTCAGTTTGATCATTACAATCACACATACTTAAATCTGGTATTGTATCCCACTGTATACAGAGTTCTGTCCCTTTCTTTATTTTGACACACTGACGTTTGATCGGTAATTGCTTACTATACATAACAATGATTGAAAGTAAGATTCAAGTTTAAAACTGTTTCATGTTTCTGAGGTCAGACTAAATATAAACCTATATATGTCCGGATCATATACAGCTCCATATAGCACAATTAGTAAAATGTTTTTTTATTGATTACTAATGCAATATGTACTCGGGTCATCTTCAGACAAAATCATATTTGATGAAGATGACCTGGTACCCTTCAGGTACATATTTTCCTTGTGGGTGAAATGTCGTACATCAGCATTTCTCTTGTGCTATATGAACCTCTATACAGTCCATACTTACCAGCTGAAGGAAATGTTTTGAAAAGTGTGTAATTGGTCATTGTAATCTGTTTGGACAGCCAAAAGCAGCAGCTGCTGCAGCAAAACCTGAGACTGCTGCTGCTGCACCTGCACCTGCCCCTGCCCCAGCACCGGTAGTAGTAGAGGTAACACCCCCAGCACCACCTGCAGAACAACCAAAACCAGAACAGGAGAAAATGGAGGTATCACCAACCAGGTAAATCATATTGTACTTGAAACATAACAAGACAACTGTGTTAAAAGTGTCGGTCTTTCTTCGGCAATGTTCATTTTGCATTTCAGGTTTGTTTCATTGAGTGGCATTGTCACTTCAAAGCCCTTCGACAATCAGTTGGGGATCACATGAGTTATATGAAGTCTTGTATGAGTGATAGTGTGCAGTGAAATGATAAATACTATGGCTAAGGTATCCCTGGTAGATTGAAGGGATTCAATTTTGGATAAGATGGTGACATCCCAAATAAGTGGTGTCCCACAATAGTGGAAATAGCAATAAATATTATAAAAAGATTGGAAGCTGTCAACAGAAAGCACTATTGGTAATTTGGCCTTTTATCTGTCAATGAGGTCATTAAGGTCAATAAGGTCACCAGGAGGGTTATGGATGATTGATGGATTTAATTTCAAATATTTATAAAGTGTTAAGCATCAGAACAGCAGTCACTTTGTCCTTCCCTCTGCTTATGGTTGATGTCTGCATGGTAATTTTCATTTAAGCTTTGAGACTTCCCATCTCATCTCAATAGTATTAGTGTATGGGAAGTGTTGATATGGATTGCCTATGAGGTAAAAGCCAAGATCACTGCTACCATCAGTAGATTTTCAAGTTCTTTCTGATAATAATGGATTGTGTTTGAGCTAGGTCAACAGCAACTTGGTTATTTCCGGTTTCATTGCTAAATAATGTTCACGTCATATAAAATTGTTTGAAAGGTCACTTTTGAGGTAAATAGGATCAAAAGTCATGTTCGTGTATGTATGCTGATGGTGTGTTGCATATATTCGCGTGTATTTTCACGAAACAAGGGTTATGCCTTTATGGCTTTGTGTCATGCAACAACACTTAAGCGAGTTGACTGATCAATGCATGAGAGCCATCACTACTACTACCAGGAGTACATGATTTGAATGAGAGTGATATGGAAATGTTTGGTTTAAAACTTAAAAATTTAATGATTTCTTTCCACAGCTGCTTTGGGGAGTTCTTGATGACCGGTGTTGTCCAGACTCCGTCTAACATACTGATAAAGACAGCAGTTCATAGCTTAGGTAGAATGATGTTTATAAAATGTTTCTGTTGTAGCCCTCCACCCACTACTGCTACCACAACCACAGCATCAGCCACAGAAGGTACAGCCAGTACGACAGAAAGCAGCACAGCTGCCGCATCTGTGTCAGCAGAGAGCACGTTAGTCACAGGCCAGGCCTATGAAAACATGGTTGCAGAGATCATTGGTATGGGTTTTGAACGGGAACAAGTAGTGCGGGCACTGAGGACCAGTTTTAATAATCCCGACAGAGCAGTGGAATACCTGCTTACAGTAAGTGCTCAACCAACCAGTTTGTGATATTTTAGTGTGACTAGCCTGAGCATATTCACTGGCAGACGAAGTAATCTGTGTGGCCTGCGTTTGTGTGGACAGGCTTCAGTCTAATGACGAAATTAATTGTCTTAAAGATTGGGGGGGGGGGGCTTAAAAGGTATGGAATTGACAGTTTATCAGATGAACAAAATATTTGTGAAGCGATTAGCACTTGTAAATTTCAGATTCTTTTTCATAGTCCCTATTCAATACGCTTGTGTATTTATTTTCATTCCCATATTTAGTGTTGTGGGTGTAAGTGTAAGAATAAGTTCATTATATCAAGTTTGCTGATCATGATTATGATAAATCTTTTCTAATGTGTGTAAAAATCAGATTTGATCAAGTTATTATTGTTTTGTTAAAAAGGAGGCCATGCTAGTGAGTCAGAGTGTAACATACCCTGTGTTGTAATGCTTTGAAAATGATCAAAGATAAGTTGTCAAATTAGACTTGACCCTCAGTATTTCCAACTTTATGATTTATATACAACTTCACATTAAGGCTGTGGGTACATTGAAGATTAGTTAAAGGTTTTAATTTTTTGTTTTTCCCCTTTGAAGTCTTCAATTATCCTTTAAATATATTTGTAGGGTATTCCGGAATTCCCTGCTGAGCCACCAGCGCCAGTTCCACCTGCTCCAGCACAGACAACAGCCCCAGCCACAGCTACAGCTACAGCTCCGGCCACAGCCCCCGCACCCGGCACCACCACGTCTGGGAGCGTCACTTCAAACCCAACACCACAAGGAGGTAGGTTCACATACTGATATAACTGCTGAATGTGTATGAGCTTTTCTAAAGGGTGGATATCTACATATGTTTATTGTTTCGGCTGTCTAGAACAAAGAAGCAGATCTACGTTCCTCAGCACCAACAGCAATAATCGTCAACTTTAGCCTACAGCAGCAGAATACTAATGCCAAAGTGATAGACCACATCATAAGTTGAACATAAGTTATTTTACTTGATATGGAGTATACGTATACAGGGTTTTAAAGTAATAAGAACATATGCAAATATTTCTAACCATATCAGTAAACTTCAATTATCACATTTTGCTTGTTCTTCTGGAGGACTTGTGTAAGTTTTAGTCATATAAATGTTCATATGTTAGATGTAATAATATTTTAGCACTTTCGTTCACTAATTTTTAAAGTGCTAAATTATGATAACCGCTAAATATATCATCAGGATTAATAGCTGTTGTGCTAAATCATGATGTAAAACTTGAAAACTGTTGAGAGTGCACTAACATGTATGTTTATTGTATAGTTAAAGCTCATTTATGCATATATGTGGCAGTGCTCCAAGTAATAATATAAGAACAAATGTAAAATTTCTTAACCATATCTGTAAATAATTAAATTTCTTGGGTACATATTTAATTTTAATCAATATACAATGTCATAAATAATGTATGCATTGCAAAATAAATGATACTTTAATAATGTTAACTTTAGTTTGTTCTGACAAGTGATTTGTGTTTTGTTGGCTATTTTCAGAGGAAGACACCCTGGCATTCCTTAGAACACAACCTCAGTTTAATCACATGAGGAGGCTTATTCATCAAAACCCTTCTCTTCTTCCTCAACTCTTACAACAAATAGGTCAATCAAATCCCCAATTATTACAGGTAAGATGATGAGACAGCATGCACAAACACACTGCTGGCTATGCTTTCTCTGTTTTAAAAGAAGTACCTTAGGTTCTTGCTGTCAATATAAAGATTACAATCAGAATGTTTTATACTGCTCTTATAAAATTTTGTTTTAATTTAGAAAGTCATTACACACAAAACTGAAAATGCAATTAAACTGATACAGAATTGTTAACAAAATTGAGATAAGATTTGATATTCAGATTGAAAACCTTCTAAATATGGTTTGATGTTATTATGTTGTAGCTTATTAGTAGAAATCAAGAACGATTTATTGAGATGTTAAATGAACCGGTCGGTGATGAGGAACAGGCTGAAGGAGGTGGCCTCCCCGGGGCAGGAGGAGCACCAGGAGCTAGCCCTATGGGCCAAGGATATGTTCAAGTCACACCACAAGAAAAAGAAGCAATAGAAAGAGTATGTGTTTGTCATCACAAGAGAGCATCAACTTTACACCTGCATACATCTGTCAGCAGTAATTTAAAAAGTGCGATGAGCTTATTTGGCCTGGCCTTAACTCATTAACCCCTGAAGACACATTTGAACTCTTCCAATTCAAAGGTTGGAATAGGAATAGTTCATTTTGAAATTTCAAGGGTGAATGAGTTAAGAGTGGAACTGAGCATGTATGACCGTAATCAGTTATCAGAGCTCAACTTTTATCTCTTTGCTTTTTGTTATCGGATAATTTCTTTATAACCTGAAGTGAACACCTGTCTTAGAAAACATTGTGTTATTATTTTTTTTCCCTAGAACAGGTTGGACTATTGTTTTATGCAAGATCAGTCTGAAGATTTATGGAGGCAAAGTACATGTAAATACTTATTGTAGATTATTTAATTGTTCATGATTGTCAAGTTGAAGTCCGATGTTGTTTTATTTCTATTTAGTCCAATGATGTTTTATTTCTATTTTCAGTTAAAAGCATTGGGTTTTGGAGAAGGAATGTGTATTCAGGCCTACTTTGCCTGTGAGAAGAATGAAGAATTAGCTGCCAATTTTCTATTGTCCCAAGGTTTTGATGATGATGATCAACAGAGCTGATCCATTTTATGTTAAAAGACTTTGTATGGTTAGAGAAGTTTGAGCTACAGGATGGACGTATCCAGCTTGTTAACACATATTGACATATTATATCAGCAGTACGTACTACCATCTCTGTGTGGAGCTTTCAGTGGTGGGCAACAGCAGGTAGTGCATTCACACGGTCCAATCTGCGGAGTAGCGTCACATTGAGTTTGGTACATCGGTTGTAGTGTACTCTAGATGGCAGTGGTGTGGAGGTGGTGGTGGTGAGGTAATGACGAATCCCAGTGCCTCCCATGTGATGCTGACAAATTGGGGAGTTACGTGGTAGTGATTAAATTCTATTTACATTTGTAATTCACCAAGTTATCACCTTTAAGCATCCCTACATCAGCTGCAGTTGCATAGAATGCAAAGCCATTTGTTTGCATTTAGAGTATTTACCTGAGAGCATTTGTCATAGGTGATTTGCTCCGTCATTTTAATGTGAATTTCTTTTTCCTACACAATGCATTTATAACTGCAGATCCATCATTTGTTCTGATTTACATATATATTTTCCCCAAACTTGTTCTGTAAAGTTAATGTGTGAATAATTTGGCGATGCTTTAACTTGTAGAATTGTGTTATTGCACACCATAATTACCTCGTTAAAATGTCGGCCAATGTCAATTGGTAGATTTCTTTCAGTTGATGATGAGGTAATCCCTGTATATTTATTACCGGTATACAGCTTATTCATGATATGTTTTAACAAATTTCATGAAATAAAGCCAAATTTATACTTGATTTATTACTTTTTATCATTTCTTTGTTTTTTGGATAAATTGCTGTAAAATTTGCAACTCCCGATTTCCTTGTTTTCATCTCTTATCAGCCAAGTTTTGCACCTTACTGCATAAATAACATTGCAAGAAATGGTTATGTGATACAGTTATATAGCAAGCATGATTGAACTACATAAGTAACAGACAATGAAACTTCACATCCAGCATTTCATATCGAAATTAAATTTAATGCTCATGTTTTAATATATATTAAGCTGTGTTTTTTTTTTTTGAGAGTTCCTTATCAATAAAAATTGGTTAGAAACACACCAGAGCTGGATGTGATGTGATTAAAAAGTTATTGTGTACATCACTACAAAATGCAATCACTGTTTATGAAAATGTATTCTAACAGCTTCAATATAGTGAAATATAAGGTGTGGCTATGTTTGAACGACTAGCTACAATAAGTTGTATCAATTCATTAGTCAATACTTAGCCTGTTTTGTCAGATAGACTGGGTATTATGGGTTTGATTCAGTGATGTTCAGGAAAACATTATACACTCGCCACTCTTGCTTGGGCGAGTTTCTAATGCTTTTAAAGAGAACCAATTTCAGTAAAACAGCATCTAAAATATCACAAAATTTGATATGAAATTTTCAGTTTAGTGTGAAACATTCATTATCTAGGATGGTTGACTAAACTTTACGATACATGAGTAGGTGGCTTCTCCAGTGTTGAATACAGTCAAGTTTCATTATTACTAACTTGCATAGATGTCAAATGCTGTGTTTATCTGAAAGTAAGTTGTTGGTCAAATTGCATTTTATTGTGCAGTGCATTTTAGCTTTGAATTCCCCATTTCTTCTCCAGTTTAATGATGTTCGACTGTATTGAAATTTGTAATCGGTGTGTTGTTGGACAGATTTGTTTAACACTTCTGTCACTACATGCCAATCTGGTATGCTTGGGAGATGAAACAATTAAAATAACATTTGTAATACTAAACCCTTGGCTTCATTTATCTTTGAGAGGGATCTAGACAGGAAACTTAAAAATAATACTGCAAGGTTAGTTTTTTGGGGATTATGAAATATATATTTCATATATATTGTGTGTATAGTAAAAAGAAATGACAAAACTATTCTGACTGAACTAAAACTAATGATACTTGATTATTCTGACTGTTGACTGAACTAAAACTAATGATACTGGATTATTCTGCCTGTTGACTGAACTAAAACTAATGATATTGGATCATTCTGACTGAACTAAAACTAATGATACTGGATTATTCTGACTGTTGACTGAACTAACACTAATGGTACTGGATCATTCTGACTGAACTAAAACTAATGATACTGGATCATTCTGACTGAACTAAAATTAATGGTACTGGATCATTCTGACTGGACTAGAACTAATGATACTGGATCATTCTGACTTAACTAAAACTAATGATACTGGATCATTCTGACTGAAATAAAACTAATGATACTGGATTATTCTGACTGTTGACTAAACTAACACTAATGGTACTGGATCATTATGACTGAACTAAAACTAATGATACCGGATCATTCTGACTGACCTCAAACTAATGGTACTGGATCATTCTGACTGAACTAAAACTAATGGTACTCGATCATTCTGACTGAACAAGAACTAATGATACTTGATTATCTTGACTGAACTAAAACTAATGGTACTGGATTATTCTGACTGAACTAAAACTAATGACACCGGATCATTCTGACAGAACTAAAACTGATGATACTGGATCATTCTGACCGAACTAAAACTAATGGTACTCGTTCATTCGGACTGAACAAGAACTAATGATAATTGATTATCTTGACTGAACAAAAACTAATGGTACTCGGTCATTCTGACTGAACTAAACCTAATGGTACTGGATAATTCTGACTGAACTAAAACGAATGGTACTGGATCATTCTGACGGAACTAAAACTAATGGTACTGGATCATTCTGACTGAACTAGAACTAATGGTACTGGATCATTCTGACTGACCTAAAACTAATGATACTTGATTATCCTGACTGAACTAAAACTAATGATACTGGATCATTCTGACTGAACTAGAACTAATGATACTTGATTATCTTGACTGAACTAAAACTAATGATACCGGATCATTCTGCCTGAACTCAAACTAATGATATTGGATCATTCTGACAGAACTAAATCTAATGGTACTGGATTATTCTGACTGAACTAAAACTAATGATGCCGGATCATTCTGACTGACCTCAAACTAGTGGTACTGGATCATTCTGACCGACCTAAAACTAATGATACCGGATCATTCTGCCTGAACTCAAACTAATGATACTTGATCATTATGACTGAACTAAAACTAATGATACAAGATCATTCTGACTGAACTAAAACTAATGGTACTGGATCATTCTGACTAAACTAAAACCAATGATACCAGATCATTCTGACTGAACTAGAACTAATGATACTTGATCATTCTGACTGAACTAAAACTAATGATACCGGATCATTCTGACTGACCTCAAACTAATGGTACTGGATCATTCTGACTGGACTAGAACTAATGATACTGGATCATTCTGACTGACCTAAAACTAATGGTACTGGATCATTCTGACTGAACTAAATCTAATGGTACTGGATCATTCTGACTGAACTAAAACTAATGGTACTTGATTATTCTGACTGAACTAAAACTAATGATACTTGATCATTCTGACTGAACTAAAACTAATGATACTGGATCCTTCTGACTGAACTAAAACTAATGATACTGGATAATTCCGACTGAACTAAAACTAATGGTACTTGATCATTCTGACTGAACTAAAACTAATGATACCGGATCATTCCGACTGAACTAAAACTAATGATACTGGATCATTCCGACTGAGCTAAAACTAATGATACTGGATCATTCCGACTGAACTAAAACTAATGATACTGGATTATTCTGACTAAACTAAAACTAATGATACTTGATCATTCTGACTGAACTAAAATCAATGGTACTGGATCATTCTGACTGAACTAAAACTAATGGTACTGGATCATTCTGACTGAACAAGAACTAATGGTACTTGATCATTCTGACTGAACTAAAATCAGTGGTACTGGATCATTCTGACTGAACAAGAACTAATGGTACTTGATCATTCTGACTGAACTAAAATCAGTGGTACTGGATCATTCTGACTGAACTAAAACTAATGGTACTGGATCATTCTGACTGAACAAGAACTAATGGTACTTGATCATTCTGACTGAACTAAAACTAATAGTACTGGATTATTCCGACTGAACTAAAACTAATGATACTGGATCATTTTGACTTAACTAAAACTAATGGTACTCGATCATTCTGACTGAACTCAAACTAATGATACTGGATCATTCTGACTGAACTAAAACTAATGGTACTGGATCATTCTGACTGAACTAAAATTAATGATACTGGATCATTCTGACTGAACTAGAACTAAATTGTACTGGATATTTTTGACAAGTAATACTAATGGTACTGAGTTATTCTGACCGAAATTCATGCAATACAAATAAGTTTTTATTATACTTTGACTCTGGTGTTGTTCCAATGTTACATGTACATGTCTTAAAGTGGGTTTACAAATAATACATCTTCTGTTCTTTGTAAATATTCATAGAAAATGAAAAGTCTTGGGTGTCATCACTCTTAATGACTGGTAATACAATTATATAAAAATCAACTTGTTTCAGGTAATGTTATACTTTTGACCCAAAATAATAACAAGAATTCCACGGAAGTGGATGTGTCGCCTGCGCAGGAAGCTAGGAGATTACGAAGAAATAGATACACTTTTCATTTCAAGAAATAATGTTAAAAGTAAGCAATAATCATAGATTATGTTTGACCTTTGACCTTCGGACCTGAAAAACAATCGCAAGCAAGCACTTCTGGTAAGGAAGCACTGCATGAAGTTTGAGTTTGATCGGCCCAAGGAAACTCCAGTTAACGCATGGAAACAGATTTTCTATTTATAGTAACAGTGACCTTGACCTTTGACCTTCGGACCTGAAAAACAATCGCAAGCAAGCACGTCTGGTAAGGAAGCACTGCATGAAGTTTGAGTTTGATCGGCCCAAGGAAACTCCAGTTAACGCGTGAAACAGATTTTCTATTTATAGTAACAGAGACCTTGACCTTTGACCTTCGGACCTGAAAAGCAATCCCAAGCAAGCACTTTTGGTAAGGAAGCACTGCATGAAGTTTGAGTTTGATCGGCCCAAGGAAACTGCAGTTAACGCACGAAAATCTCTGTGCAGACGACGACGCCAACGCCTACATAGCAATACCTATGTGTCACCAACTTTTCACAGGCGACACAAAAACCTTGCCAAGCAGAAATTGACATAAACTGGAAAGTCATCTGAAAGATTTTAAAAGTCCTATGTAGAATGATAGTGTGTCTCGATGGGTTTCATACTCATTGTCACAGTCAATCATTGTGAAAAGTTTGAGTTATATAAACGTTCTATGCAACGCCATACCCATAAGGTTAGGTTATATCGACAGGCTTTGTATCCTCTTGCATAAAGATGGTCTTTGAAAAAGATATGCCATTCTTCAGTTTTTCAGTGTGGAAGAAGGCAGTTCAAGTGGAACAAATGTGTTAACTCTACAATATTAACAGAATTGACCTAGCATGGATTGCAGTATTAGTTAACTTAAAGAGTATATTTCTAATTGAATAGCAGGGAGAGAAGATTTAAGTACTCATGCTGCTGAGTTATACAGAGGAGATACTTGATCTCTTATTTCCCCCATCCTTCACAGGTGTGTCTCCCTTTTACTCCCACCCTTTACAGGTGTGTCTCCCTTTTACTCTCACCCTTCACAGGTGTGTCTCCCTTTTACTCCCACCCTTCACAGGTGTGTCCCCCTTTTACTCCCATCCTTCAAAGGTGTGTCTCCCTTTTAAGCTGGAAAAGATCAGCTTGTCACTCCCTGGTGGATTTAAGATAGCCTTGTGCAGAATGGCGCGATCTTAGTCATAACAATAGTACGACGTCACGTCATTAATGCATTGACGTCATGTCAACAGTAGCAGACCAAGGAAGACAACTCTGGATTTGCTGGAAAAACATGCAATCAACGTTCATATTTCATGCAATCACTGCTTGTCGGCGTATTTGTGAGTGAAAAGGGATGGGAGAAAAAAACAATCATTCCCTACCTTGAGGGTGTGACAGAGAAATCTCCAACCCTCTGAGTGATATTCTTGAAAGTCTTACCCTTGAGTAAGACAATCAAGAATATCATCCCTCGGGTTGGAGATTTCTCTGTCACACCCTCAAGGTAGGGGAAAATTCTATTAGTCTACATTTTATACTTGGTCATGATTAAATCAGATTACATGTATTTACCTTTATACTCAATGATATAATGTGAATCTTTTTGAATTTACATCAGGTGCACATCTTTGCTGCTTACAAACCTTGCAACAAAAATTTTGCTGACCAATAAAAAATGGTACATGATGTTTGTTGTTTTGGTAAATCATTACAAAGACATTTCTATGAATAATTCTCCTTTATTGTACCAGTTGAATAAGCTGAAAATTTTAGAAAATCAAAACAAGAATAAATAAAAATAGAATTATTATCATCACTGCAGTTTCTCCAGTCAGTAAAACTTATTGCCAGAACACAATTTAGACAAAAACGGTACTTAATCATTCGCATTATTGTGACTAACACCCGTTACCTGAAAATTGCACGTACACCTATTTCTATAAGCATAAGTGCGACTTTCACATGGGACCGAATGCACATTTTGATTCAAGTGAAGGACTGACAAATATGTATGTAGAAATATTTTGAGAAATATTAATTGCTTAACTTACCAACAAAAGCTATATTAATTTATATACTCTTATTATTTCTTTTGTTAGTTACAAGTAAATGAATATATTGCTTCAAGCACAACCATGTAAATACTGTGTTTTCCACTTAGTGTCACAACCATGTAAATACAGTGTATAAAACTGCATGTCACAACCATGTAAATACAGTGTATAACACTGCATGTCACAACCATGTAAATACAGTGTATAAAACTGCATGTCACAACCATGTAAATACAGTGTATAACACTGCATGTCACAACCATGTAAATACAGTGTATAACACTGCATGTCACAACCATGTAAATACAGTGTATAACACTGCATGTCACAACCATGTAAATACAGTGTATAACACTGCATGTCACAACCATGTAAATACAGTGTATAACACTGCATGTCACAACCATGTAAATACAGTGTATAACACTGCATGTCACAACCATGTAAATACAGTGTATAACACTGCATGTCACAACCATGTAAATACAGTGTATAACACTGCATGTCACAACCATGTAAATACAGTGTATAACACTGCATGTCACAACCATGTAAATACAGTGTATAACACTGCATGTCACAACCATGTAAATACAGTGTATAACACTGCATGTCACAACCATGTAAATACAGTGTATAACACTGCATGTCACAACCATGTAAATACAGTGTATAACACTGCATGTCACAACCATGTAAATACAGTGTATAACACTGCATGTCACAACCATGTAAATACAGTGTATAACACTGCATGTCACAACCATGTAAATACAGTGTATAACACTGCATGTCACAACCATGTAAATACAGTGTATAACACTGCATGTCACAACCATGTAAATACAGTGTATAACACTGCATGTCACAACCATGTAAATACAGTGTATAACACTGCATGTCACAACCATGTAAATACAGTGTATAACACTGCATGTCACAACCATGTAAATACAGTGTATAACACTGCATGTCACAACCATGTAAATACAGTGTATAACACTGCATGTCACAACCATGTAAATACAGTGTATAACACTGCATGTCACAACCATGTAAATACAGTGTATAACACTGCATGTCACAACCATGTAAATACAGTGTATAACACTGCATGTCACAACCATGTAAATACAGTGTATAACACTGCATGTCACAACCATGTAAATACAGTGTATAACACTGCATGTCACAACCATGTAAATACAGTGTATAACACTGCATGTCACAACCATGTAAATACAGTGTATAACACTGCATGTCACAACCATGTAAATACAGTGTATAACACTGCATGTCACAACCATGTAAATACAGTGTATAACACTGCATGTCACAACCATGTAAATACAGTGTATAACACTGCATGTCACAACCATGTAAATACAGTGTATAACACTGCATGTCACAACCATGTAAATACAGTGTATAACACTGCATGTCACAACCATGTAAATACAGTGTATAACACTGCATGTCACAACCATGTAAATACAGTGTATAACACTGCATGTCACAACCATGTAAATACAGTGTATAACACTGCATGTCACAACCATGTAAATACAGTGTATAACACTGCATGTCACAACCATGTAAATACAGTGTATAACACTGCATGTCACAACCATGTAAATACAGTGTATAACACTGCATGTCACAACCATGTAAATACAGTGTATAACACTGCATGTCACAACCATGTAAATACAGTGTATAACACTGCATGTCACAACCATGTAAATACAGTGTATAACACTGCATGTCACAACCATGTAAATACAGTGTATAACACTGCATGTCACAACCATGTAAATACAGTGTATAACACTGCATGTCACAACCATGTAAATACAGTGTATAACACTGCATGTCACAACCATGTAAATACAGTGTATAACACTGCATGTCACAACCATGTAAATACAGTGTATAACACTGCATGTCACAACCATGTAAATACAGTGTATAACACTGCATGTCACAACCATGTAAATACAGTGTATAACACTGCATGTCATAACCATGTAAATACAGTGTATAACACTGCATGTCACAACCATGTTAATACAGTGTATAACACTGCATGTCACAACCATGTAAATACAGTGTATAACACTGCATGTGATAACCATGTAAATACAGTGTATAACACTTAATGTCACAACCATGAAAATAAAGTGGATTTCCCTGATATAACATTTTAGTTTAAGGCAAGGGGTACCACTGTAACGTTTATAAACAGGAATAAGAGTTTACCTTCCCACCTGAGTTGTGAACTTATGGTTTATCCTTCATTGGCATTAATAGTTTTTACCTTGATGTACTCTTTATGTCAAATATCACTGAACATTTTAAAAATGTTGCAATCCAGGAATTGTACATGCACAATATCAAAATGAAATATGAATACCACACCGAAGGTACAAAGGTAGCAACTCTTAGTCAGAAAAATCATTTACCTTGAGGTAGCTTGATTTGTCTACACACAGGGGAAGATAACAACATGTCAAGAACACAATTCTAGGTGGAACTTTTCTTTGCAATTTTATTTAGTGCAATGTTACTACATGTACTTAACTTAAATATCACATATTGCTTAATATCATATTGTCCTATGACATGATAATAACAGGAATTCTTCGAGCACAAAATCAAACTATTTATGACAGTGGTATGCAGACGAAAGTAAAGATATATATATCAAATAATTCATTTCCCCACATTTTGACAAATATACAAGTACTATAACTAGTGAAAAGGATGCTGACAGGAACATGAAAATATCCTGTATTTAAGAAAGAAGTAATTAACTTATTGCAACCTCACAATTTCAAAGAAATCAACAGAAGATTGGGATATCCTGCACCCCAGGTGTGGACTGCTGTCCTGCATATATACAATGTGTTGTCTGTAATACATAAATAGGTATGAGAAAACTGGACACTTTGAACCACACTTGGACTACAAAGGCGCTACTTGAACCTTCTTGTTTCTCAAAATTTTCCCCAAATCTGTAAATACACGGATTTCACCCAAGGTCCATCAAAGTTTTAGTCCAAATTCTTGAATCCATTTCAGTCCATCTTCAGTTTTACCTGTTTGAAAACAATGTAAATTTTTAACTGTTGGTATGAACAGAAACAGTCTTGAGAAATTTTGGGATGTAGGAAATTTCCTATGGATATCGTAATGCTGAGATTTTCCATACATTTACATACTTGCTGAAGATTTGAAATGAACACTGGAAAAACAACAAAACACAGTAAACCTGTATTCTTTCTATGCATGTCTTTTAAATACGACCAGTGAAACTGCTCTCTGACCAACAAATATCTGGACCAATAAGGATGCTGAATGAATTTGTATCTATGATATCTTATTCCTTTTCTACTCATGACTGTGAATTATTTCCAAGAAAAAGTTTTTCTGAAGTTTTTGAAAAATAATATGATGATAATGGCTGTGCTGTGCTGTGCTGACCTCGAGGGATGTATTCCAGTCCTATGTAGCCCGTATACCCCACATCCTTGAGGAGTTTGAAGACGTACGGGAAGTCTATCTCCCCATCGGTGGGCTCACCCCGGTCTGGTACTTGGGCAATCTGTATGTGACCTTCAGTTGAGATAGAATAATGCACAGGTTTGTAATAACGAACAGGTAACAACATTTAACTTAATCTGACAGGTAGATTTACTGATATCACCCAAGACATATACTGGTAGCTGAAATACTGAAACTGAAACTACTTGATGGCACTGTAAGGTCAAGGGCAATTTACATGACCAAGGTCCAATTAGATATCCAACTGTCAATTAAATGACCAAGGTCACCTAACAGTCTCTTTACTTAACCAATGTTCATTTAAGCATCCATCAGTGTATTCATTTAACCAAGTTCATAGTAGATATCAACCAGTGTATTTACTTACCCAAGGTCATGGTAGATATCAAACAGTATAATTACTTAACCAAGGTCATCGTAGATATCTAACAGTATAATTACTTAACCAAGGTCATCGTAGATATCTAACAGTGTATTTACTTTACCAAGGTCATGGTAGATATCCAACAGTGTATTTACTTAACCAATATCATAGTAGATATCTAACAGTGTATTTACTTAACCAATGTCATGGTAGATATCTAACAGTATAATTACTTAACCAATGTCATGGTAGATATCCAACAGTGTAATTACTTAACCAATGTCATAGTAGATATCTAACAGTGTATTTACTTAACCAATGTCATGGTAGATATCTAACAGTATAATTACTTAACCAATGTCATGGTAGATATCCAACAGTGTAATTACTTAACCAATGTCATAGTAGATATCTAACAGTGTATTTACTTAACCAATGTCATAGTAGATATCTAACAGTGTATTTACTTAACTAATGTCATAGTAGATGTCCAACAGAGTATTTACTTAACCAAGGCCATGGTAGATATCTAACAGTGTATTTACTTATCCAAGGTCACAGTAGATACCAAACAGTGTATTTTCTTAACCAAAGTCATGGCAAATATCAAACAGTGTATTTACTTAACCAAGGTCATAGTAGATACCAAACAGTGTATTTACTTAACCAAGGTCATAGTAGATATCTAACAGTGTATTTATTCAACCAAGGTCATGGTAGATATCTAACAGTGTATTTATTTAACCAAGGTCATGGTAGATATCTAATAGTGTATTTACTTTACCAAGGTCATAGTAGATATCCAACAGTGTATTTACTAAACCAAAGTCAAGGTAGATATCTAACAGTGTATTTACTTGACTCAGGTCCTGATATATCCAGGTATGCATCTAACAGTGAACTTTTTCCAATTTGACATACCTATGTAAGGAAGATACTTCTTCAGATTTCCTGTCAGGTTGCCATCCATTATTTGAATGTGGAAGAAATCCTGTAATCAAAAAGAAGTTGGATCTTGAACAGCTCACCTGGTTATTATGAAATCAATCTGAAAGTCTGCCTAGTGATGCGTAAGTAGAGTGCCCACAAGGAGGGCAGGCCCTTTTATTTGTATAACTTTTGATCCTCATTGGTTATGGGTGGTTTTATTGCAGTTTGCCAAGTATTTTGGAAAAAAATGTCATTTAAAATATTTCTTCAAATTTGATAGCTTTCACTCCACCCCTTAGCCCAAGGAGGGTCCGCTACTGTATTGGCATAACCTGTTATCCCAATGGGCTAAGTATGCTAACACTACAATTTGGCTGAAATCTGTCCAGTGCTTTGGGAGAAGATGTCATTTAAGGTGGCTCAACACACCACGAAAAAATGGATAAAAACCATTGAAATCAAACTATTGCAATTGTGTTTCCTATGATTACCCAATAACTTCCTAGACCTTAGTATAGCATCCGGCAAGCTCATTATTTTTTCCCCCAATAATCATGGAAAATGCCAATTTTTTAAAATAAAATGTTCTCAACTTTTTCTCGATGTGTCGAGTAACCTTAAAGCCTATCGGCCTATTTGACCCAATTTGAATCAGTCCCTAAGCTCCCAGGAGGGTCAGTGGCTTTATTTGTATAACTTTTGATCCCCATGGCCTAACGATGCTAGCAACAAAAGTTGGTTGAGATCTTCTGATCCTCAATTCAGAATTGTGACCCTGAATTTTACACCCTCACTCATTAGCCTGTCATTGTTATTTTTGCTAATTCAAAAACTTGCATAAAATTATGAAAATATTGATAAAAAATTAGGAATTTTTATTAGATTATACTTACAAATTGTAGCTTCAAATTAGGGTGGTCGATTTTCTTTATATACTCTATTGCTGAAAAGAAGAAAAAGTCAGATATATCACAAAAAGAATTACATATATATAGGATCACTCATAAGTCTTACTACTCATCAACACAATAAGGTCATACAGGATCACACAGTAGTCCTGAATCTACAGAATCACATGGTGGTTTGAATGGCTCATCAACACAATTAGGTCATAAAGGGCAACAGAAGTAGTCTCAGACTTATCAACACAATAAGGTCATAAAGGGCAACAGAAGTCGTCTTAGACTGATCAACACAATTAGGTCATAAAGCCCCAGCCACAGCAGTAGTCTCAGACTTATCAACACAATTAGGTCATAAAGGGCAACAGAAGTCGTCTTAGACTTATCAACACAATTAGGTCATAAAGCCCCAGCCACAGAAGTAGTCTCAGACTTATCAACACAATAAGGTCATAAAGCCCCAGCCACAGAAGTAGTCTCAGACTTATCAACACAATTAGGTCATAAAGCCCCAGCCACAGAAGTAGTCTCAGACTTATCAACACAATTAGGTCATAAAGCCCCAGCCACAGAAGTAGTCTCAGACTTATCAACACAATTAGGTCATAAAGCCCCAGCCACAGAAGTAGTCTCAGACTTATCAACACAATTAGGTCATAAAGCCCCAGCCACAGAAGTAGTCTCAGACTTATCAACACAATTAGGTCATAAAGCCCCAGCCACAGAAGTAGTCTCAGACTTATCAACACAATTAGGTCATAAAGCCCCAGCCACAGAAGTAGTCTCAGACTTATCAACACAATTAGGTCATAAAGCCCCAGCCACAGAAGTAGTCTCAGACTTATCAACACAATTAGGTCATAAAGCCCCAGCCACAGAAGTAGTCTCAGACTTATCAACACAATTAGGTCATAAAGCCCCAGCCACAGAAGTAGTCTCAGACTTATCAACACAATTAGGTCATAAAGCCCCAGCCACAGAAGTAGTCTCAGACTTATCAACACAATTAGGTCATAAAGCCCCAGCCACAGAAGTAGTCTCAGACTTATCAACACAATTAGGTCATAAAGCCCCAGCCACAGAAGTAGTCTCAGACTTATCAACACAATTAGGTCATAAAGCCCCAGCCACAGAAGTAGTCTCAGACTTATCAACACAATTAGGTCATAAAGCCCCAGCCACAGAAGTAGTCTCAGACTTATCAACACAATTAGGTCATAAAGGGCAACAGAAGTAGTCTTAGACTTATCAACACAATAAGGTCATAAAGCCCCAGCCACAAAAGTAGTCTCAGACTTATCAACATAATTAGGTCATAAAGGGCAACAGAAGTAGTCTTAGACTTTTCAACACAATAAGGTCATAAAGCCCCAGCCACAGAAATAGTCTCAGACTTATCAACACAATAAGGTTATACAGGGAGCCACAAAAGTAGTCTCAGACTTATCAACATAATTAGGTCATAAAGGGCAACAGAAGTAGTCTCAGTCTTATCAACACAATTAGGTCATAAAGCCCCAGCCACATAAGTAGTCTCAGACTTATCAACACAATTAGGTAATAAAGCCCCAGCCACAGAAGTAGTCTCAGACCTATCAACACAATTAGGTCATAAAGCCCCAGCCACAGAAGCAGTCTCAGACTTATCAACACAATTAGGTCATAAAGCGCCAGCCACAGAAGTAGTCTCAGACTTATCAACATAATTAGGTCATAAAGGGCAACAGAAGTAGTCTCAGACTTATCAACATAATTAGGTCATAAAGGGCAACAGAAGTAGTCTCAGACTTATCAAAACAATAAGGTCATAAAGCCCCAACCACAGAAATAGTCTCAGACTTATCAACACAATAAGGTTATACAGGGAGCCACAAAAGTAGTCTCAGACTTATCAACATAATTAGGTCATAAAGGGCAACAGAAGTAGTCTCAGTCTTATCAACACAATAAGGTCATAAAGCCCCAGCCACAAAAGTAGTCTCAGACTTATCAACACAATAAGGTCATTAACCCCCAGCCACAGAAATAGTCTCAGACTTATCAACACAATAAGGTTATACAGGGAGCCACAAAAGTAGTCTCAGACTTATCAACATAATTAGGTCATAAAGGGCAACAGAAGTAGTCTTAGACTTTTCAACACAATAAGGTCATAAAGCCCCAGCCACGGAAATAGTCTCAGACTTATCAACACAATTAGGTCATAAAGGGACACAGAAGCAGTCTCAGACTTATCAACACAATTAGGTCATAAAGACCCAGCCACAGAAGTAGTCTCAGACTTATCAACACAATTAGATCATAAAGCCACAGCCACAGAAGCAGTCTCAGACTTATCAACACAATTAGGTCATGAAGCCCCAGCCACAGAAATAGTCTCAGACTTATCAACACAATAAGGTTATACAGGGGCCACACATAGGTCTTAAGGCTTGTCAACAAAAAAGTATCAGACAGGGTCACACAGTAGCTTTACACCTCGTCAACACAAAAACATCACACAGTACTTTGAGCAGCTCTCAACCCTTTTACGCCATTCAGAGTCACACAGAAGCTTTAAGCTCACCAACACAAAAACGTCACACAGTACTTTGAGCACCTCCTCAACACTTTTACGCCATTCAGAGTCACACAGAAGCTTTAAGCTCACCAACACAAAAAACGTCACACAGTACTTTGAGCAGCTCTTCAACACTTTTACGCCATTCACGGTCACACAGAAGCTTTAAGCTCACCAACACAAAAACGTTACATAGTACTTTGAGCACCTCCTCAACCCTTTTACGCCATTCAGAGTCACACAGATGCTTTAAGCTCACCAACACAAAAACGTCACACAGTACTTTGAGCACCTCCTCAACCCTTTTACGCCATTCAGAGTCACACAGAAGCTTTAAGCTCACCAACACAAAAACGTCACACAGTAGCTTTACACCTCACCAATACAAAAACGTCACACAGTAGGCTACTTTCAGCAGCTCTCAACACTTTTACGCCATACAGGGTCGCACACTAGCCTAAGACTCATGAACACAATTATGTCACAAAAAACCCACACAGCAGTTCATACAGGGCCTTGCAGATGTCTGAACAGCTCATCAAAAGAATAGTGTTGCACTGTAGTCTAAGCAGTCCATCAATACAATAAGTTCATATGGTAGAAACTGACTAATAGAATGTTCCCCTACCTTAAGGGTGTGACAGAGAAATCTCCCTCCCGAAGGGGTGATGTTTTTGGGTTTTCTAACCCAAGGCTCTGCCAAGGTTTAGAAAACTCAAAAACATTAACCGGAGGGTTGGAGATTTCTCTGTTACACCCTCAAGGTAGGGGATGATTATTTTTCTCCCATCCTATCATTTTAGTTACAACTCCACCGACAGTAGTCTGCCATGTTTGTAAACAAAACACATGTGTGGGGTATGCATATCATCATTCACTTTTGATGACGTCACAATTACCGATGACGCATTTCAATGATGTCACAATTGAACATGTGCTAATCGGCACGAGGTTATCTCCCCCTAGGGGGTGACAAGCTGATCTTTTCTGGCTAAAACGGGAGACACACCTGTGATGGGTGGGAGAATAAACAATCAATGTACATAGGCAACCACTGCAGCAAAAAAAAAGTTGAAGGAAGGTGTAGAAAGGGAAAAAGAGAAATGTTCCCAATTATTGTAATATCATTATAATAAGTGAGATAGATCAATCTTGTTGTCTATGTGATCTCAAAAAGAGGGTAATAAATAAACCCTCTGATTCTGCAGGGAAGGCCATTTAGTTGTCTCGTGGTATCATATAGTGGAACATGACAGGCCAATTATTATGTATCTTACCTTTGTGTATGTCTGTCAGAAAATACTTAGGAATGGTCAATCTGTTGTTGATTGGTTCAATCAAAGCCATAATGTTTTCCTGTGATTTAAAAAAACAACTTTTAAAATAACACAATGAATATGTTCTAAACTACAATATGAAATACAAATAATGCTGATACTTGCAAATTAAGTTAATTGTGACTTATATGTATGTGCATCAGAATAAGGCGCGTCCTTTGAAAATATGTGTGTTGTGTACTTTTAATTAAAACCAGGTTAAGCAATTTTTTTTATACACTTTTTCTTTCTTTCTATTTTATTTTTTTCCTGTAACAATTATATTACAGTTAAAAATCTTCCTATGCTACCTGTAAATACAGGGTACTTGGTAATGAGTGACGGTTCTTGCCTTGCTAAGCCTGTCAGCAGCATAGCGCAAGTTGTCTAGGTACACCTCTTCCATAGCTTCATCGGTGAACACCGGCTTTAGTCCAGCCATCACATGCATCCTGTGGATAACAGGTATGTTTTGGTATTACACAGGTTGTTTACCAAGAAAAGAATTTTATGACTAATCATTACAATAAATGTATGATAACTATCTAAACAAAGAGAAAATATATCTACTCAACAGAGACAAAAGATTGTGAATTATTTACTCTAGATGGTACTGAATATGAGTTTCATTTAATCTGAAAATGGCTGTGTTTGTTGATATACAGAATAAGTACATCAAAGCAAGTCTAAAATATTAGAAACATTTAATGTTAACATTAATATAAAACAAAATAAATGGCAAAATATGAAAGAAAAAAAATCTTTAAAAGAGTATGTATGTGGTGGTATTAAGTCTGAAACAGTAGATTCATGCAAGTAATAAATAATCGCGACAGAAAAGTAAGGTTTTTTTGTAGGAAAGTTGAGCATATCATTAAAAGGGAGGTCACTTGTAAGTTGTACCTGATGTTAACATAAGACAATGAAGGACATGTTGTTTTTATGTAAAACAAAGGGATGTGAAAATATGAAGCACCTGGTCTAGACTGTCGCCATTTTGAGATGTACGTACCATATCAAATTGTACAATCATAGTTGGTTCTTATTTAAAACCTAATTCATATTTATTAGAAATTGTATCATTATAACTATAGTCCATATAAACAACCCAGCATTACGTCTGCACTGTAAGAGTCAGTAAATGATTCAATGAATCTGAAAAGGATCTTAAAACAGCAATGCAAACAATAAAGAGTTTTGAGACCTTGGTAAACCTAGGATATTTCTACTGTTCTATCGCTAATTATAGTCTCTAAAGGATCTATTAGATATCATAATGCACTTTTTAGGGCTGCAACGATACATATCTATTGCGATATGCTGGTCACCATATGATACAGATCACGATATATATAGCATCAGTAGAAGCAAAGCGAAAAGATGTGCTGCAATTTTTTAATGGCAAATTGTTACAACTGGAAATAGACTTGGTCCGACATGGGCACGACTTGAAAAGTTTTATATAATTCACGTCTTTTGACCTGCATGCCGAGCTGGAGCTGGAGCTCACCATGTTGGAAAGGATATTTTTTGAGTAGACTAAATTCAGAAACGACAATAGCCCGAAAACATCCTAGGTGTATCGTGACCTCCCAAAGAATATTGTGTATGCTACCTTATTTGTTGCAGCCCTAGTATTTTCACATCCCCATTCTAAAACATTCAGATCTAACTGTAGGTATTAATGACACCTAAGCGCCTGTGCTAACCTTTTACAGCCCAGTGCCTTGGCATAATCTATGGAGGTCTCCAGCTTGTCCTTAAACTCCTGTCTTTTATTAGGAAGGGCTGCTAAACCAAGCTCACCATTTTGTATGTCACCTAAAATGAAGATGATATCAATATATTTTTGCCAGTGACAAAGAACAGTTTGTGGTGAAAATAAGTTTAAATGGATATTTTTCTGATATGAAAAATAACATTTGTTTGATGACAATTTTTTTCAAAATCCAAATGCAACTATTCATTTTTTTTTTTTCAATGGATCCTAATTGTAATAGAAGAAGGGGGAAATACACAGCCTGACCGGGGATTTGAACCCGAGCCCCACCGAACTCCAGGCAGTTGCTGTACAAATTGAGTTTCCTAGTCATCAATGATCGACCCAGTCCAGTTCGGCAACATTCATCCCTCCTTTTTCTGAGTCTACCCAACTCCCCACATCTGAAGACACAAACTATTCAAAACCCAGGTTTACCCAGTGCTTGAAACAAGGGTTGGTAAGCTTGCCAATTTCATAATGGAAGAAAGGGAAATGAACCAGCCAGACAGGGATTTGAACCCAGAACCCTCTTAACTACCTGGTCACAACACTGTACAGTTCTGCTACACATTTATCTGAATATAAGTTTTTTGACTTTTCCAATGCACAACTATTTAGATTTAGTCAATGATAATAAATATAATAAACTTAACTTCTAGAGGATAATGATACAATCAAAAAATATGATTGCACATTTTATAATGACTACAGAAAACAAGAGGCCTATGAGACATGTATTGCTCATTTATCATTTGATGGTATTTTACCAATATCAACCGATCAACAGACTCTAGAGGGTATATTAGATATCACATGTAGTTTAAGGATACTCCTACCAGTCAAAAAACTGTAACCATGCACTGGAACTCTTTTTCGCACATGACTAGTCTATTCCGTCTTTGCGTATTGCAGAGTTATCTTCTCTTGGGAGCAGGTATTGATTGTTACGTCATTGGTTTGTGCGAGAAAATTACGTCGTTTTCTCAAAAATTGATGACGTTACTCTCACAAACAAGTGACGTAACAATCAATACCTGCTCCCAAGAGAAGATAACTCTGCAATACGCAAAGACGGAATAGCTTCTGAAAGAAAACCATACCTTGCAGAAATTTCATGAAAAGAAATAAACAAAAGAGAATCATCAGTATTCTGGGTGTAACAGTACGAGTTAACTACTGGGGGCAGCATATCCTCCCGAGGATGACACATGCAGGATTTGCTATAAACCTATTAGGGATTTGACTTCGAGAAGGGCATGATACTTTTGTTATACAATAATTCTATGACGATGTGCTACCCATATCTCTGCATATAAAATGCAGATTTTATACAATCATCCATTAACAACTTTCACTAAAGACCAGTATATCTGCCACAACTCCCCATTTGATCTATGTATCATGACAGTTAGTTTTCAAGTAGCAAAATTCCATTTTTAGCAACGGTGACCTTGACCTCTGACAGGCCACCCCTAAAACCAATAAACTGATTTGCAATCACTGGGCACCCACATACAGAGTACAAACTTTTTATGGTAATTCACAAAATTCTATTTTGAGCAATGGTGACCTTGATCTCTGGCTGACCATGCCCAATATCAATAGGGTTCTTTGCATCAATTGAAAGTCTAATTCTAGCAACAGTGACATTGACCTTTGTCTTACCATGCCCAAAATCGATGGGGTTAGCATTTCTGTCGATTCCATTTCAGCTTTTAACCGGCTATCCAGAAGAATACTAACTGCTAGGGCAGTTATTTTCTACTTTGAATTTCATCAACATGGAATAAACTACCTGAATATATTACTTCAGCAAATAATGTTAATTTTTTTAGAAATGAACTTTTAAGACAACCACTGGAAAAACCAAGAACTTTTTTTTTAAATAACAGAGCTGCAATCATATAATTGTCAAACTATTTACATCATACGCATAATCATACTTTGTATGTATTTTTTGAGTCTGGTATAGAGGGCTTATGTATAAACAAGCAACAAACTTATCTTATCTTATCTTATGTCCAATATCAATAGGGTTCTTTGCATCCATTTGGGCAACCAACACATCAAGTTTGTTGACAATTTATCATCTGGACAAACAAAACCAAGCACAAGCTTATGTTAGCAATGGTGACCTTGACCTCTGGCAGACCTTGCCCAAAATGTATTTTCTATATTTTCAATAGCGTTCTATACACAACCAACAGATTAATACTGAACTTTGCATGATCGTTTTCAAATATCCTCGGGACAAAACCCCATGTATTAAGATTAACAAAATATGAATGCAAAAGAGCCCCTAATTTTTCCAGTTATCTTGTTCACATTAGCTGGGCTACATCCACCAGCTAAAAAATTAGTCCTCAATCAGTACAAAAATAGAATCCACCATGCAGTTATCTCCCTTATATTGTGTTTTTCAGATATACTTGTCTAGTGGGTTTTTTTCAGAAATATTTTCACATTTTTATCAACTATTCCATTCAAACAGAGATGAGCAAACATATTTACTTAGCTGATAATAAATAACGCAATTCGTTCATGCAACAGAACTAGCTAAAGACTGAATAAGACATCCGTCAAAACAGGTGACGGAGCAGAGAAGATAAATCTTCATAATATCCATAAACAGGAATGTGTCATCGTTATTTAAGAACATTTCCGTGATCATACCAGGCCATGCATTGATGAGGATCTGTTCCACTCCGGCTGCTGCCCGTGCTTGTTTAATGGATTCCAGTGTTTCCACGTACGGGAACCCACACTCCACATACTTAAAACCGGCGTCTTTCGCAGCTTTGTAACGCGCCGACAGAGACGGGTGTTCTTTAAACATCATTGACAGGTTTGCTGCCAGCTTGTGTGACATCCTTATTTGTTGTGAACTGACAAACACACGTGCAACAGAAAAGCTGAAAGCAGACCACAACATCTACTAGATGGTCTCTGGAAATTATCGGTCACAACCCGAAGTCACGTGAACAGACCCAGTTGTACAAAGAATTGTTAGCTTTAAAAAGTTAAGCAAAATTTTACGAATGCTTTTTTATGGTTCTGTGGAAACATTTTTTATAGGACGTAAGAGTGAATGTAAAACACATTACTCTTTCAATTCTTTTTTATTAATATGTTGAAAATAATAAATGCAAACATTTAATTACTATTATCACGGAATTAATAAGTCCGTGCTATTATAAGCTACATGTAAAATCTACTACCCCGTCACGATCTTATTTGTTTAGTATGAATTGTTTAACTATGAAATGTTTACTTCCTTTTTGAAATAACAGGATCCATTTAGAGAGGATTAAATGCCCGATAGTGGACACTACTGGAAGAATTGTTTAAAAGGTCGATCCCAGGACATCAATTAAGACAGCAAATAAATGCTATAGACTAACGACTAACGACTATACAATTCCAAACCTGTGTTGATTTTTTTTCAAACGACTGTTTCTTCGANGGGGGGGTAAGAAAAAGAAAATGCAGGTGTTCTGGTATAAATATAATACACCTATATATGGGAGAAAGTGTGCTCCATGGAAGGTATGAGAAAACTAGGCTCAAACTTGACAAATTGAGTCAACATTTTAATTTCATTGATTAATGCAAATTTCAACTATACACAATCATTCCTTAATGCTACCCCAATCAAACTTTTTTTTCTTTTAACTGATTTTTGATAAGATATGAACAATTTCAAATTATAAAATTTCATAAGCCGTATTTTTTGCGATACTGATTATTGTACTTTCGGTAAAAATGACACCCCCAATGATTAAACCCTCGTTTACATGTATATAAATATAATCATTTGGGGTGATATTTTTGGTTTACCGAAAGACGATCTAAACCCCTAAAAGATAAAATTACTCTGAACCCCTTAGTTTAGGTCCAAATATAGCTGTAACACATTCTCAGGTCCCTGTGATTGGATACTACTATGGTATATCTGTATACTATACTTATATATATACTATATTTGTGGGAGGATCATATGTGGAGGTCCTTCAGGTCAGCTATAAACAAACAGATGGTGATGATACGCTCAGTGCATGTTATTACAGATGCGTGTTTACATATTGGGAACGTATGGTGACCAATTTGTGCCATTTTGTCTCTCCGTTTTTTTACGTTTATTTCATATCGCCTATCAAAACTCCGAAGGCGAAGGAAGAAAAAGACGAAGAAATGGAGAGGACAAAACGAAGATAAGAGTACGTTAATCATATTCATTAAGTAATAATTACACAGGCTTATCATGATTACCCATGCTTTAAACAATCAAAATATTCTGCCATCAATCCTTAAAAGAAATGGCGATTGAAAGATTACTACCATTTGCATGGGACTCACAGTTAGGCCAGTGCTGTACAAAGTCCTAGATGTTTTGCTGAAGCACCTGGATAAGATAACAGACACACTCCAGGCCAGACTTCATAGAGGATACTGTACACCGGGCAATTTTAGCGGCAGTATTATTTTCGCGGAACTCGGGATGCACGAATTCAAGATTGTAGCGAAAATGTCCAGCTCCCAGCAATATTGTAAGTATAACATGCAGTTATCTTACAGACAAATATCATCATACATTACAGAGTATCAAAATTGCATTCCTCAATGTCATATTATAACCACGACTTAATAAAAAAAAATGTTGATACGGAATGTTGCACCTAATCTCAGGGGACTAACTGTTTCTAGTCCCGTTTCCGTTGTTTAGAGTCACTCAGTTAAAATAGAAACCTCCCTGTCTGCTCTTTCAAATGCAGCTTCTGTTTCAGCTTTTCTTGGTCTGGTTTAAAATATCGGAGCGTAGATAATGTGTTGCTCGACTAAATACAGAAGGAAATTGTTCGGGACATACATATACATGTATACTTTAATTTGTAATCGGGTAAATACGTACTTTAATTTGTAATCGGGTAAATACGTACTTTAATTTTTAATCAAGTAAATACGTAAGTTCAGGGCACTTTTACTAGTCAGTTTCAACCAATCAAACATATGTCCACAGTATGACGAGGCTATTTTAAGGTAACACCTACTGTTCCTCGTCACATATATTTCCTGATGAAAACGCGAAAATAAAACTGCGCGAATTCAAAGCTGTATTCTGCCAGGTCATTTCTGGATGCAAAACTGGCATTTGATGTTTTGTGTATAACAGCCAGAACAGGAATCTCAACGACTCAAGGTAGAATCAGATCGTTTTCCTGTTCGACAGGGAGCAGGCAAGGCGGAGTTCTGAGCACATAACTTTACAAAATATATTGTAAAGGTGTCTTAAAGGGATTCGTCCAAAAGCTTCCCTACGTAGATCTCAAAAATTATAAATTTGAGAACCGGGAACAGTTTTTTTCAGACCAGGAAAATGTATCGAAATATGCTGTGCTAATTGGGAACTACGGCCCGGTTCTCACAAGGAAATGTCACCATCTGTACACACTTGCGTTCAGATCACAAGCAGCTTTTCTCAAATTTATTCAGGCATTTTTACATTAAACGTTATCGCAACAGAAACACAAATGCATCATGAAAGAAATTTGAGTTAGGAAAATTCACTTAAAAATGCAGAAATGCGTGAAATAAATGGGAGGGGGTGCTTATGGCTTTCAACTAGCAGATGACTTATGCAGACCGTCATTTGCAAAAAACAAAGCCCTTGACGTATTAAATTCTACAAATATGCCTTTGCATTATCGTTTGAAATTTGTGAATCTGTTCTATGTTATACACTGAGCTTAAAAATGCATTTATATATTTCACAAAAATGTCCTTAACTTGAGAGAGATCATTTACTATAACTTGGAAAACAACAGTAAAGTATTTGTGGCATTCTTAGACAAGCGAAAGGCATTTGACACTTTGTGGCATCACGGCCTTATGCAAAAGCTATTCAAGTTGGGATTGCGAGGGGAAATCCTAACTTTAATTAACAATTCATATATTGATATATATATAGCACAGTTATGACACACGGTACAAGTGGAATTAGACAAGGAGGAGTGGTCTCCAGCTTTTTATATCTCGTCTTCATAAATGATATTCTCTTGGGGTTGGAACATAGCCGAGTTGGAGCCAAGATTTACGACATACATTGTAGTACGCAGCTATTGCAGACGACATTGCCTTGATTGCAACCAGTCGGTCAGCCTTACACACGCTAAAACAAGGAAGGTCACGTACAGTGCAAACAGTAGCACAGTTCTTATCTTCGGGAATAGCCATAAACGGAATAACGATTTCAAATGGTCAATCATGGAACATAACCTACAAACCTCTGACTCATATAAGCATGTAGGTGTTATTATCTCCACCGATCTCAAAAAAGTACGTTAGCTATAGAAAATGGGTGTAATAAAGGCAGGAACTGTTTTAATCTATTAACCAAATTTGGACAAAAACAACGGAATTTTACAAGAAAGTCATAATCCCAAGTGTTCTTTACGGTTCCGAGTTTTGGTCTAAAATTTCTAAAAATGATCTACAGCGCATAGACGTCCTACATCACACAATTGCAAAAAGAACTCAATGCTTCCGGAAATTAACCAGATCACATATGTGTGAATCTATGCTAGGCCTTCCTAGACTGTCGTCAGAAATCGACAAAAGGAATTCGAAGCTCACTTCCTTTCTACTCTCATTCACCCAAAGTCAGAAACTCTTTCTAAACAGATATTTCTGCGAAGGTTATACCAGTACATTCAAGACCCATTTAATAACCAACTTGGATGTATACCTGATATTTGGTCTATGTTATGTAAATACAACTTACAGCAATTCCTGCAAGGGTACATAACAAATGTCAATTTTCCCTCAAAAGTGATATGGAAACGGATTGTAAATTACTCTATTAAAACAAAGGAGGACTCTCTCCTGAATGAAAGACTTACGGATGATCTTGACTTTTTACGATATAGCGACATTCATAGTAGGTGTACGTCTCCGTACATTCTGTGGAAAACACCTAAAACTACTAAGGACCTCAACATTGTCAAGTTTGTGTGTAAAATGGTGACGTGTTCCCCTCAATGGATAGAGCAACAGTGTAAATTATGTAACGTACTGTACTTAGATGCTATTTTACATTATGTGACTGTTTGTCGGGCTACAGCTGACCCGAGACGTGTGTTATATATACGTCTCTGAACTGACCTTCGTGACGTCTACATGACACTGATTATAGATAAATATGCCATATATTATATGGCATACCATTATTTGTCTATTTGGACAATCTGCAGTACGAAGACTCCCTAAGGACTCTTCTCGGGAAGAGAATCAATCAACGGAAGGGAAGAGCGCATAGAGGTTTTGTAGTCCGAGTAGAGACAAGATTTGAAGATCTCCACAGATTTCACAAGGACTTGTTTGTCCTGGAGATGGTTCCAGTCTATTATAGTCATGGGGAAAACAGACTTCCTGAGTGTTTCTGTTTTCGCAGCAATAGTTTGTAACACTATTTTCAACGACGTTTGTTGAGATAAAGCTGTCAAAATGCCTTGCTGTCACTTTGCGTTTAATTCTCACTGGTTTTAAGTAGGGCTTAGGTGGTATAGCCGGTACCAACCCTCCACCACCTTGAACAGGAAGGTCAGACGTAGCTCCTTTCTGCGTTGTTGTAATGTTTGCAGGTCCAAGTCCCTGAGCATGTTGGCGACGCATCCAGGAGATCTTGTTCTGTGATCGCGCGAGATAAATCGAGCAGCCTTCCTTTGAATCCTCTCCAGCTTGTCAATATCCGACTGTAAGAATGGGTCCCATATGATGGCTCCATATTCCAGTGTTGATCTGACAAGCGAGATGTAGGCCGATTTCCGTAGTTTGGCTGAGCAGTGGTAGAGGTTCCGCCTAATAAACGCTATCCCTTGAAGGTGTGTCAACCAAATATGGCCTGAAGCAAAATTGGGCCGATCAGACTCAATGTTGATCAATGGAAGCTTGTGGAAACTTTGTTTGCATGATCTATTTAAAGGAGAATTTATCATAAGAGCACATTTGTGCTATAGGTATTATGGGTCTTGATCAGAATAGAATGGATGCTAGACATCATGTCGAAAATATTTCATGTTCAGTACCCCATTCTCTATGGGAAAGGAACCCAAATTTGTTGAGCACTTGTATTTAGGACGTGTCCAATACGACACAGAATTGATAGTTAAGGAATCAAATTTCAGCACTAGATTTTTATTGTTTCCTTTACAATGTGAAAGTTACAATTAGTAACTGCGATGGCCCGGTATTTCAGATACACGAGGTAAACATCTATTTTAATAAGTGATGTTTCAGAATTATAAAGATTGACAAGTAAACCTGTGGTCTGCCTCCAACTTGATGATGTCATATTAAAGATATGCTGCATAAATAGAATGTTATTTCTTAATTCTTGAATTGTTCTAAGTTACAATACTTTTGTTGGGTATCTTGGTGTAAGTTATTACTGAAACCAACTACAATAATTGACCAGTAAAACAAAAATGATTGTGATACAGTTTATTTAATCATACAATGACTTCAGCATCATGATGCAGATTAGTTTGATATTTAAATGCATTTTTTTTTTAAAGATTTCACAATGATCACAATAAATTCTTATTAATACAAGGAATGTAGCACTTCAATTTCTCTTGCTGTAGATTGAGATGTAAAAAAAGAAATCATTTGATGAAATGTAGGCATTAAATGGTATAGCAGTAACCCTCTAGTAATTATACCTACAATTTGTGTAAGAATTATCTCCCTTTAAACAACACTGATTCAATACTTTTCTTGCATACCTTTCTACATGTATGTATCATTCATTGTATTAACCCTTTCACCACTGTAGACCATAATGGACTCGTCCAAATCAATGCATGGTAGAGTTTCCTAAAGATTCATAGAGGTGAAATGATTAATACTAGAATGTTATTCATGGCAGACATTTCACATGATATATATAGAGTGGAACTCTTTTAAAAAGGAGGTGTTTTTCACACTTGTACAGTGAGGTAGCTTGCACCTTTAATGTAACAGGTGACATTATCTAATGTAAAAGTGATGTTTGGCATACAGGTGTCAGCTGGATCTCAATTTCAAAGATTAGGATAGACAAAGTGTGATGGAACCATTTGTTTGATTATACAGTATCCAACATATTACATTAATTTTGATGTGCCCTATATGGGTAAGGCCAAAATTTAAAAAACGTGTGTTTCAGGTATCCCGACCTACCCTAGATTTTACTGCCGACCCTAGATATTTGATCAACTACAATGTTCTAGTATCACAACCACTCATTAAAATGTACTTTCTTCCTGTTCTGGGAGTCTGACCTTATTCTTGACAAATTAATAGCCATTGAAATGTGTGCAAATGCATTGTAAACTTTGAAATAAAGCAGAATATTAATTCACAAATATTGAAAATTTACATTGAAATAAAATTACTTGCCTACCAACCTGTGCTATTTTTTTCAGGCATTTTACCTGAAACAACAAGAAAATGCGGCAAAGCTGCTGGACACCAAATCTTTTTTTATGAAAATGACTGACAGTCTCAACAACCTCGAGGATACTTGAATTTATTTAATTATAATAATAATCTTATAAATTATTAAGTGCATTTATTTTGCATTTAGCACTGTTGTTGCTATTTTGTCATACAGCACGCAAATGTACATTTTTTAAATGCACGTTTACATGTCAACAATTAGGTAATAACGTCATCTTCTGAGAAAGAGAAGCAGCGATTGTTACAAATATTTCTATTGTACCTCTGAATAAAATACCAACCGTCTTCTTACATTTTTTCACGTCATCCCACGCAAATATTGCTACATCAGAAAAAGGGCGGGCATGTGTAGCGTATTGTTTGACGCCAAGTTCTTATGAGGTCACGCTTGACAACAATGCAGAGCGCCGTTTTGAATAGGTGTTTACTTTAAATTTGCCGTTTGTTGGTATTGTCTGGGAAGATTTCCAGGCAAAAAATGATATTAATAGTGTAGTTATGTAAAAACAATTATGTATGCTGCAAAGATGTAACATAACCACTTATTCTGCCGTCGCTTCTTCTCAACTTGACACTGAAAATCTACGCAGAGAATAGAATGTCCCGTTCAGATTGCACAATACTAAGAGTGACGCCTTCACATGTGAAGATAAAACATTTCGTTTATCTTCACTGCATTATGATATGTTTTTATCAAATGGAGAATTCATGATATTTCACTAGTAAACTGTAATAATTACAGATACCGTAGGATTTGCTATCATATTTTTGAAGACAGTGTGCAGCCTTAATTTTCCCAGAAGGCTTTCGTGCATGGGGAAGCACTGGAAGTGGACAAAGTGGTTACAGAGCAAACCCCGGCAGCGTTTTGCGCCACTTGGGGGTTTGAAAAATCTTTTTTTTTGGCCTAAGTAGAAAGGCAGTCACAAGGTACTTGGGTACCGGCAAGGTTTTGTGTCTACCTAGATTGCAAGCAAAAGTAGCACCGGAAAACCAGAGGGTATTCCAACAATGCATGAATAACAACATCACAAAACAAAAATTTGTTCTTTGTTCCTCCATTCACACCTGAAATTTCATAATGAACTATTCCAACCTTTGAATTGGAAGAGTTCAAATGTGTCTTCAGGGTTGAATGAGTTAAGCCTTCTATGAAGCTGATACTGCAATCATCACAACCTTCAGTTAATGTAGGTTTATCAAGATGATATGCAACATATCAAAATAAATATATATTAATTATACTTGTTATTTAAATAAATGGTCAAGTCATCTACAAGAAAGGGTGAGTTTTACCTAATGTCTTGATGAAGCAACATAACAATGCTGACATCAAAACGGTGCTGACATCACAGTCAAGCCTATGAATGTTATCACTGGTAGGGTTAATAAGTGGCAATGCCGAGCGAAATTAGATCAATTAATAAAGTTGATGCATTATAAATGTTGATATTGCCATAGAAAGGTCAAATGTAAGTTGCATATCATACTTTAAAGCTCTTTAAAGCTCTTTAAATGACTAAGAATTGGGTTTCAGTTTTCGTATACTGGATTCAAAATTTCCATACAAATGACAGCAATAGTAACAAGATTATACAACATCACAGAAAGTTAATTTATACCAGCAACAATCACAGTCTTCATGTTATCCTATGGAGTCCTGCTCATCAACAACTTGGAGTGATTTGTTGAGCGCACATATTTTTGTTACATTATCTTCTATGGCACATACTGGATTTCCCGCTACTGACAACTTCTTTAGGAAGACACATGTTCGAAGTTCTTCAAACACTTCAACATTGCATATAGCTGTAAGGGGGTTAAGGATTATATATAGCCATTTTACTGCACAGTCTTACTGTACAGTTAAGAGACGAAGTCCAGATACGCATTCAAAATATATAATATTTGTGTGGATTATAAAAATAAATAAAAAATCATGTTTAAACAGTTTACACCATTTCATTTAATACACAACCTTAATCTACCATTTATTAGGTTACACAAACCCCAAGATACACAACCTTACTCTACCGTTTATTAGGTTACACAAACCCCAAGATACACACAAGTACAACATGAAATATTTGTGGGTACCATTTTCTGATACACTCAGTACTACTGTAAGTTTATCAATAGTTTCAAGTCAAACCCCAAATATACATACTGTACAATATGAAATATTTGTGGGTACTATTTTTCAGTTGTACAAGTAAGTTTACAAAACTTTGCATGATGCGGACAATGATTTGCTGTTCTACTGGAATAGCTTTATGAAGTACATGTAGATCGTTATTTGACTGTATATTAAGTCTAATCTTATAGCAGGTGAACTAAAAATCACAGAACCGGTTATCTGTTTGTTAAACAACAATGGGAATGATTTTAAAATCTCTAGTACTGAATTTCTAGATTAAAGGATAAAACTGAGTTGCATGGATAGTTCAAAAATGACTTTCATATATCTTCGGCAGGAAAGGCTGATTCCAGCCTAATCCCAACCTCCCCAACCCAACTAACTTATGCTGTGGTCAAAGCCCTCTAGTATGCCCACAGAGCAAAAGATGATACTGATTTATCTCAAGACAATACGTAGTATCTATTGTTATCAAAATAACTTAATATACAGGATCTACAAAACTTTAGGGCCATACTTAATTTAGCTTTTCTGATTTATCTCAAGTCAATGTTATCGATTCATATCAAAACAACTATAAGATTACGTAGAATATTCAAAGGATACAATTATTCTTCACAGACAAATCTGTAAGTCTCCTGCAAAATGCCAGTCCTTGTAAATCAGCCAGCTGATTATTGTCAAGGTTCAGACTTCGCAGGCACTGGAGATCAGACAAGCTTCGTACCGATTTGAGGTAATTCTGGGAAAGGTCAATGGAGGTAACTAGGACCATCCAATCCGTGTGATACAGACAGCTAAGTCCTCGTTGACACAACTTCACGTCCCGTACCTTGGAATCGTGGGACTCTAAAACACTCTCTATCAAGAACTTGCTCCCTGCAATAGAAAAACAAATAAATGTTGAATAGATAAAAACTTTCTTTTACACAAACGTTGAAAGAATCCTTTATGACAACTCACAAACCACTGGAGAATTCCAACATGGTTTTCTGTGCTAACATTATGAACCATTCCAAATTTTGAATTGGAGGAGTTCAAATGTGTCTTCAGGGGTGAATGAGTTAATTTTGTTTCATTTATTACTGTAGTGTGACTGGGTAAGTTTACTACCTTTGACCAGGTAGCTCAGGTGTTTAGAGCGACAGTATCATGATCTGGTGTTCAGGGTTAGAATCCTGGTCTGGACCACTGGTATAGTTACACCCAGAACACTGATGCTGATATTTTCTTTTGTTCAGTACATCATCATTTTTTCTTTCATCAGAGCTCCACAAGGTATTAAATTTAAGAGGCTAAAATGTAAGGTTGTACTAAAAATAGTTTCTGATGAGTATCAACAGTCTTTGGCAGCTGTACATGGATCCTTCATATATACGAGGGTAATGTATTTTATACTATTCAAAACAATAAAACTGATATCTTTTAATAGACAATATAGGCTTCTTTCCCACATGGTTTTACTACATAATGAGTGTTTTTTAAAATATATATATTTCATACGAAAAATGTCAGGGAGCAAACATCAAGGCCCCTTTCCGGTTTGTCTGTTTTTAAATGAAACATTTTCGGGTATAAATCATGGCAGACATGCAAATGCTTATGTAGGCCTTGCAAGGCTTTGTCAAGGCTTGCCTGAAAGCAGCATCAGATTACTAGGTCCGACTATATTTCATAAACGAATATCTCTCGTCCAACCGGTTCAACCGTTTGGATCGTGATAAACAAATGTGGCCTTATGAACATTTTTTGTACCTGGGGAGACTAAAAGACACAGTTTTGATGTTTTAGCTCATCATTGATCAGCAAGAATCGATGACATCATAATCATAGAATGTTGTCTAAGGTTAGAATACCAATAATTGAAGTTGCATAATCTATAGAAGCAATGATACAATTAATAATCAAACCCAACCAGTAACTCAGAATAAATATTGCAATCTACGGAGATCCGTGTTTACTAACTCAATTAATAACCCAGACTATGTATTACAATCTACGGAGATCCGTGTTTACTATCTCAATTAATAACCAAGACTATGTATTACAATTTACGGAGATCCGTGTTTACTAACCCAATTAATAACCCAGACTATGTATTACAATCTACGGATATCCGTGTTTACTAACTCAATTAATAACAAAGACTATGTATTACAATCTACGGAGATCCGTATTTACTAACTCAATTAGTAACCCCGACTATGTATTAGAATCTACGGAGATCCGTGTTTACTAACTCAATTAGTAACCCAGACTATTTATTACAATCTACGGAGATCCGTGTTTACTAACTCAATTAATAACAAAGACTATGTATTACAATCTACGGAGATCCGTGTTTACTAACTCAATTAATAACCAAGACTATGTATTACAATTTACGGAGATCCGTGTTTACTAACTCAATTAATAACCCAGACTATGTATTACAATCTACGGAGATCCGTGTTTACTAACTCAATTAATAACCCCGACTATGCATTACAATCTACGGAGATCCGTGTTTACTAACTCAATTAGTAACCCAGACTATGTATTACAATCTGCGGAGATCCGTGTTTACTAACTCAATTAATAACCCAGACTATGTAATACAATCTACGGAGATCCGTGTTTACTAACTCAATTAATAACCCCGACTATGTATTACAATCTACGGAGATCCGTGTTTACTAACTCAATTAGTAACCCCGACTATGTATTACAATCTGCGGAGATCCGTGTTTACTAACTCAATTAATAACCCCGACTATGCATTACAATCTACGGAGATCCGTGTTTACTAACTCAATTAATAACCCCGAATATGTATTACAATCTACGGAGATCCGTGTTTACTTACTTAGATCCCAGTAGTAGGATTTCCTCATCGTATCGACAGCAGCAAGTTTGTTGAAACTTTCCTCCAGTTCAGCCGCATATTTAGTGTGTTCTGGGTCGATAGCCTTCATCAAGTGGATCATAGTCAACAGTACCCCTGGTTACAGAAAAATGGATCACGTAATTCCTAGTAACACAAAGGTATATATAGTACCCCTAGCAACACAAAGGTATTTATAGTACCCCTAGCAACACAAAGGTATCTATAGTACCCCTAGCAACACAAAGGTATTTATAGTACCCCTAGTAACACAAAGGTATTTATAGTACCCCTAGTAACACAAAGGTATTTATAGTACCCCTAGTAACACAAAGGTATTTATAGTACCCCTAGTAACACAAAGGTATTGATAGTACCCCTAGTAACACAAAGGTATTGATAGTACCCCTAGCAACACAAAATAATTATAATAATCCTAGTACAGTAAAACCTTGATATAATGCCCCTCGTTTCATTTGCCACCTAGTTTACCACAAACATATTTTATTGTTCCTTTTTCTCATTTTCTAAATGTTTCCCTCAGTTTATCACCAAACACCTTTATAATGCCAAAAGTTTTCTAGACAAATGCTGGCAGTATAATGAGGTTTTACTGAACATAAAACACAAAATCCAATATAGTACCCCTAAAAAGACAAAAAAAATACATTTCTGTATACTAAAATAAATGAAAGCCAATAATGTTCCCATTAAAAATTAAAATATCCCATCAGATGACATCATGCAGGGTATCATACAATATAAAATAGATAAATGTTTATCAGATGACATCACACAGGGTATACATAGTCTATACATACAATAGAAAACAGATAAATGTTTATCAAATGACATCCCCCAAAGATATTCAGAATAAAATGAAGAAAACAGAAAAAAGTATAAAGAAATGTTATAAATGGTTCTCACACTTATTGTTAGGCTCCAGGGATTGAAGTTCGCGGATGCTTTCCAGTTCCTGGGCCATGGTGGAAGTAGCTGCTGCACTCAGTTCAGTGCTGTAACATGTATAAGACATTGGATAAGATGTTCAAAACTTTTATTGATACAAGATACAGCCTTTGTGTCGAAGTCTCACACTTACAAGTTTGAAGAGAACTAGATAAACTGAGAGCCACCTCACGAAGATATAACCCCCACTTGCGCTTTCAATGTCGTTTCTTGCGATGAAATTCAAGTTTCAAGGGCCATAACTCCAGGGAAAATAGTCAAATTGCAAATTCCTTTCTTCATGCAGATCTTCAGAAGATGCACTTTCACTGTGTCAAGTTACAAAAAAATCTATGAAACTGTTCAGGAGGAGTTGCGCTTACAAGGTGTCTGGAGCAGAAAGTTTAAAGGGCCATAACTTGTGGAAAAAAATGAATTGCAAATACCTTTCTTCATGAAACCTACACAAACGATGTTTTGTTACTGTGTAAGCTTACTAATGAATCCAACACTCAATATTGGAGAGTATCATGGACAGACGGACGGACGGAAACGGACGGACGGACGGACGGACAGGGTGATTCCTATATTCCCCCTTCCCCCTAAACTTTGTTTGCAAAAAGCCATTAAGTCTAGCTTTGATCATATCAATCTCTTCCTGTAACCATAGTTACTGGTATCTGATGTACGTAGAGCAGCAGCTATTTTAATCGAACATGGTTACCTGAAGCGACTTCCTTGTTTGAATTCTGCTACAGCCCAGGTCTCCTCCTGGTCTGGCATCAGTTGAAGGCCCTCAGAGAATTTAGTACAATAGCGGTCGTCCATCAGAGTGACCGCAATTGAAGCCTGTTTGTCCACTGGCAAACTCTGGTCAGGTAGGTCAATAACCTAATTACAGGAAAAAACATGTCGAAATTAGGAGAAATATGGTAAGAGGTATATTTATACAATTCAATAGACATTGATATTCCTGACAAATTTAAAAGAAATGTTTTGTAAAACATATGACTCTATTAAAATGATAAACAAAGCAGACAGCTCTAGTTCTACATACCCATAGAGTGGAGTACATCCTGGAGCCAGTGATCGTTCTCCATTTCCCTGCGACTGGGGTGGTGTCGATACTGACAGTGAGGCAGTGACCTTGACCCATCTACACAAAAATGACAGACAACATAATCATAGCAGTATTATTAGCACATTTGTCTGTGATTGTAAATCAATAATTTTAGGGTGGGTAGCACACTTGTCTTTCACCAACGCGGTCAGGTTTTAATTTCGGACTCGAAAAGGTATGGGGTTGCCCGCCCGACCACATGTGTTTTCTCTAGGTAGTCCGGTCTCCTCCCACATTAACAAGAGTGATTGATGTAAGTTGTAAAAACTTTATCAATAATTGTTTTAAAAGTTTATATATTTTTTTTAAATCAATACTTTCAAGAACTCCATATTTTTAGGGTAACTCAAAAACCTGTATATTTCAAATGTCACATCCACAGAATGTTTGTCAACATACATCAACTCTGTAAACCTACCATTACTGGTCGTGACAACAGAACAACGATCCTCTGGAGATCCCTTGAAACATGGACACAGCAAATCTGTAGCTTCTTCTGACCTGAAATCAAAACCTTGATGTAGAACAACACAGAGTTATACAATTTTATTTGGCCAATTATTCTGTGCAAGTTAACATCTTGAGTTTGTTTGCTGCTCCTGAGTTTGAAAATGTAGGAAGATGATGTGCATTTATGAGGATTTTTTAATGATCTGGTGATTTCACTTTTAACAACTTGTTTTGATTTGTGTGATGTTATTTACCTCTACCCAACAACCACCTCTGGTAAAACCATGCACTCTGGTCATCAGGATCTGTGAACACGGCATTCTGTACGACCTCAAATTCTGTAAAGAAAAATCAACACATTTATTAAAGCTACAAACAGCCTGACCCTCCGACCTCTAGTCTCTGAGAGCTATTAATAACAGCTGTAAATGAATTTATGGTATGTATAAAATTTGGGTAGAACTTCAACTGCAAGCAAGCCTACAAGTACCTTAGCGGTATATTTTCTCACAAACATTTCTGGTACATACTTTCTAGTGAACTTACATAAAAGCAATAATTCAAGCAAGGGCCTATGGTTGATATAAAGTAAAGTCATCAGCTTTTGTGCCTTATTTGAGTGTAGAAATTCATTTAGATTACAAAATTAGGGGAACTAAGAAATTAAAAATGTTGAACACTTATTTTTAAGCACTATTTAAAGGAAAATATCGTTATAAGAACACCTGTCTTAAACAAACCACCGCATTGTGTCACATGTGCACTGACTTAAACAAAACATTGTGTGTACCGACTTCCGTCGTATTACCTTTCAGCAGAACGTCTTCCTGTACAGCCACTGGGTGACTAGAGTCAGGGTGTATCACAGGCAGCAGCTTACTCCGATAATGCCACGAGGAATAGTTGGAAAAGTTGGACTGAATTTTTTGCGTAGTATATTGTAGTTCTTCGTCCAGGTTCACATTAGAGCGTAGCACGACATGGCGTCTGTAGTCCCAGCAGTGAACTAAACAAAACAAATCAGGCTGACTTGACCACTCGCTTACACAGAGGAATTAAAACTGTGACACACAATTTATTGGTAGTCTTGACATGGGGTTATTTTCAAAATTTCATTTGAATAAGAATAGCATGGCAATAAAAGTAAATTCTAGCAAGCTTAGACTTGATTCAAGCACAACAGGAGAAGGAGCAGGGAGTTTTTGTAGTTCATTAGAAGTGTCAACCAGATTCGCCCTTACAGTGGGTGTCTGCAGGATCAACAAACTTTAAGCAATCTAAAGGACAATTTACAGTTTCGCAAACTTAAGGACAACTTACAGTTTCTCTCATCTAGGTTGAGGAAGGTATTGCACAGGTGGAGTTCCCTCCCCCAGTCAGGTTCTGGAATGGCATCCATGACAAAACAACGATGATGCCATGCCCCATAGGACTTTGGGTTCACTTTCAGACATGCTTCTAGGAAATGGAGCTCATCTTGTAACAGCTTCTGTAACTCTGCCTCCTCTCTGTCAACACAGCCAAATATGAACAAATCAGACAATGTAACCCAGCTTCTTTACTGACTGATTGGCCATTTGAGACAGTTTCAAGAAAAAATATTTTCCAGGCGATCTAAAATTTGGAGACTGCAATAGACACAGGCTTACTAGGTATATACATGTACATCACTTTTAAGTTTTCAAAAAGTTATCTACTTAAAAATACCTTTTGTCTTGGAGATCAATGAAGATTTCTCTTCTAAAATTCCAAAAACTATATATATCAGGATTGACACCAAGAAGTTCCCCCGATAACTTCAAGCCCTCTTCATCAAACTCTTTGTTTTTTCTCTGAAAAAAAAGACTTTATATTACTGTACATCTAATGCAAATACTTTGATAAATATTTTAATATCTGTTACAGACAAAATATTAATGTATTTAACAATGCAGAACACATCTATTGAGTTTTTCAGTGCTGTATACATATACATGAACCATTATTCAAGTATAAGCAATTTTTATACAGTAATTTACATTCAGGATCAATAACCAAAGTTATAATGATAATGAACTAAGAATGAATAACAATGAACTAAGAATGGAATTTCGCATTACTTTTTGGAAGACCGCCTCTGTTCCAGCATTGTAGATTTTCAGCTTTTTTTCCCTTTCCTTCCTTTTGGCCTCCTGTTGCTCTGCAGTTGTTTTCACTTTGATTCTTCCATGCTTTAATGATGATATGGATATTTTTTATGAGATGTAAGTGTAAATAATGATTATTATTAAGTCTTCTCTGTATTACACAATGTCATTACAGCCTTGATAAATGAGGACTAGACGTGTGTACATTTGATGGAAAGTTATCTTGTCCCATTATGATATACCCACCTACATTTGTCCTGTTCTTGGTAGAGGAATGAGGGGGAGGGAAACCAGGCCCAGGGCAGTGGTGGATCCAGAGGGTTTTTTTGGGCTTCAGGAAACCCCCCCAGTCTGAGAATTTTCTTTAAAAATCATGTATTTTCACAATTTTCCTCAATTTTCCCCACATGGAACCCCCCCCCCGGAAATTTGGGCCCCCCCCCCCCGATAGGATTCTGGATCCGCCACTGCAGGGGTACCTGTTAGCTCTCCCTTTTGGTGGACTCTCCATATTAAACTTTATTGCAATATTGTATACCTGGTAATACAGTTAAAATGATATATTTTACGATACTTTCTATCATTTTGGGCAGTTAACATATTAGTATTTACATACAGTTTTTGAAATAAAAGTTTACAGATATGGCAGGGGTGGGATGATTAAGGTATAGTCAATTTTAGGAGGTTATATTTTTATATACACATATTTATACATTACACAGAAACGTTAAGTTTTTCCAAAGAAATGCAAGCAGCAAGTCCATCAGAAATTGCAACTGTCTACGAAAATAATATAAGGTTTATTACACAATTTTGTATTATTTGAAATACATAGCTAAATACCCAGACTATGAAGGGTTTTTTTTAATCGATAAACTCGGTAAAAAAAAGAACACTAAGAATGGAAGCCTGTTACTTCTGGGGTACCACAAGGATCAGTACTTGGCCCCCTTTATTTGTTATATTTGTAAATGATCTACCTGAAACAGTTTGTTCCGATATGTATTTGTTTGTTGACAACACGAAAATCCTTAAGATAATCACCAAACCGGAGGATAAGGATTCGCTACAGAAAGATCTAAGGAATCAAAGAATGAAATATCAAAATCATACCACATACAAGGGACAATCCTGAAAACATCTGTTAAGGAAAAGGACACTGGAGTTGTCATTGACAAATCATTAAACTTTGAAGACCACATAAGCAAAAGGGTTTAAACAGCAAACTTGATGCTTGCCATTATTAGGAGATCATTCAGTTTTAGACTACACAACAATCGTGCCACTCTTCAAATGTTTTGTGAGGACACAGTTGGAATATGCAGAAGCAGTATGGTCACCGTATAAATTAAAATATGTAGACAAACTGGAAAGCATACAATGTCGTGCTATGAAATATCTACCGGGGATGAAGGGCATAGAACACCCAGAAAGATTAAGGAAATTGAACCTACCACACTAACATATTGGAGACATGATCGAAATGTACAAGATTGTAAACAGAATTTACGATAGCAAGGCATGAACTTTAGTTAAGCTTTGGAGTGAGGAATCAGTCAGAAATACTACAAAAGGAAACTTGAAAAAACATTCCCATATCAGTCAACAACATCCCTGAGAAGAAACTATTTCACCTTCCATACAGTCAAAACATGGAATAAACTTCTGGAGGACGTTGTATCCGCTCCAAATATCAAAACTTTTAAGAACAGAATATATAAACTTTGGCAGAATGAAAAACTTTATTATAATAATATATAATTATAGGGCAAATTTAACAACTTTAACTTTTGTTTTTATTTCTTTATTCCATGTAGAGGAGCTCAATCAGCTCCTGTATTGGAAACTAACTTTAACTTGATATGTCAATTCATCAAATATATGAAATTGGTCTAACCTGAACTATGCATAAACCGAAATAATGCTCAAACCAGACCATTCCATTTAAAGACGGATATGTTAAAAGGTTTGCTGTACTGTTTCGTTTGACAAGTTAAATATACAGGGAATAAACATGAAATGTTGGGTGTCATTTAAGCATTGAACTGCTTTCAGTTGGCATTCTGGAGTTCATTTTTCCTATGAATGCCAATAGAAATCAGTTCAATACTTATATTTACCATTTTTCTAATCAGTTCATTTCATAGAAGATCCAATTTCATTTACTATTATTCAACATTTAGTTTAAATCATTTATGTATCGTTTATGCTTGTTCGATGAATAGAACAGCCATCGCCCAGGGAGGGTCAGTGGTATCCAACGTAACAATTATGACGTCATAATAATGATGACGTCAACAATCGGTCCATGGCATTTATAGCCTTTATGAATGCCAACTGAATTTGGTAGGTTTATATAGTGATAATGCCATACGATGGTAAATATATTCATATATTAGCTATATATAGTCATGTGATATTCTTATACATGACATCACTTTCAAATCATCCAATTTCGAATGCATCTCTATATATTAATTTAAGGGTATTTCTGCTCGTTGAAATTTTCTTATTGTTCATTATACTTTCATTACTTCGGAACTATGTTGTAACAATACTACAAAATAAGACCAATCGACTCCGGTACGCTTGATCATAAATGTCAACAACCGACCACGTAACAACACCCCCGTAAAACCCGGTATTTTACAACCACAGAATAAAATCTTAAATATAACTTTTCAGAGTTCTCACTATTCAGTGTAAGTTTGCTGTAAACTAAATGAAATGTGACCTTAATAATAATGTTATATCTGCAATTATTAAAAAATGTTTGCATGCATACCATTTTCTTTCCGGAAACGACCACTTTCTAGTTTTCCACACAGAAGAGTCGGATGTAAGTGAAAAGGTGGAACGGAATACGGATCGATATTTCATACGGATCTATGGCACTTTCGTGTATTGCATTTTAAACCAACCGAGTCGTATAAAGTAAAACAATTTGAGATTCTGGTTATAACTGAACGATACACATATACTCTACAGCTAATTTATTTGACAAAACTTAACAACTTCAATATTAAAAAAAAAATGTGACTAGATACGTCACGCTAACACAATATTTAATTGGTACACGGCCAGAAAATGGTTCAAATAGTACTTTAAAATTAAATTTAATCATTTTCCTTTGACAGTATAACAAAATAGATATTTATCAGCATTTCCACCTAATATTTTTGTTTTCAGGAAGACTTTAAGAGTACACGATCATGATGACTTCAAAGTAAACATATCAGAAAACCAGTAAAAATGACGTTCATCGACGAAATATTGGATGATTTTGAAGCGGTTAAATATAAGCAGAGGCGAAAAATACAGAGATTGGCAACTTGCTCTTGGTCTCTTACCATTGGTCACTGGTAACCGGAAGTCATATAGTAATATGTATTATACGTCTCTGATATAAGCATGTTTGAATGTTGATTTCTGGTCCTTATAACTGGATATTATAAAACTGTATTTAAACAAATGTAGTTCAGTATGGAATTTATAAAAGCAATAAATTTTATTGCAATCGGCACATCAACTAGTAAAATCAAAAACAAGTTGCATAGCCTGTGATATGGTGTACCAATTTGGGTACTAATCAAGGTCGAAAAACGAACGAAATCTCACTGCGAGTTTAGCGTTCTATTTTCAAAAACAAATTACTTAGAAATAAAACTTTTTCTGAAAATGAACCACCATAGGTAGTCTTTGTCAAGAATCAAGAAACATTCCAAATACAAGATCTGAATTTTTAAATATCACCGAAAAACTATCAAAATTGTACCAATTGTGGTAGCGTGACGTTACAGTACAGTAATTATCAAAGAGTCCCATTATTCGAACTCAGAATCGATAAAACTAGGATAAAATGTGAACAAAAGAAAGACTTCATGGGGACTCTTGAAAAAATGCTTACTGACGACATTAGCCAACGGTTACTTCTCAAATTAGATAAATATGGCATAATAGGGAAAGTGTTAGACGTACTGGATCCAAAATGTTCTCGGGCCGATACTATTTTTAATATTCATCAACGACATGTCAGAAGTTGTACAATCCTTGCTACTAATGTTTGCTGATGATGCCAAGATAATAAAAAGGTTTAGGTTCCGCCAATGCCACTCAAGAGCGAACAACATTTGGACGATACAGTTGAATACAAAAAAAAAATTGCAAGCAAATGTGTATTGGGTACTCGAAGGAAAATTTAAATAATTACACCACACTGCCAGATGCTCCAAAGCCAACAGTATAACAGGTCTGATATTCAAATAATTCACCATCATTGTCAAGTTTGCATATATAGTGCTTAAAACGGTGTTAAATTGAGATAATTGACATGTACTTTTTGGTTGCTTTCGCGCATCCCGGTTGAAACACTAATTTCAGGCGGCACAGACGTATTCCGCAACAAACAAACTCATAAACGTACATGGACCGAAACTGTGCCATACTTATAGGCGGAGCTTAAAATGTACATGTTCCTAGTCTTGTGACAAAGAAATAACTATATCAAGAATAATATTTCTAATTGTCCTTTTTCCACGCGTGAGCTAACCTTTGTAGCTACATGTGAATCAACATTTTTTTAATGCAGAAATAATGTAAATTGGCGACTGTCAGCATTTTAGTTCCAGTCAGCCACAGCACGATCGACCCTTCCATTTACACATGCCGAATTTTCAAGAAGTAGCCATGGTTCAGATCTGGTGAACCTGCCGTTTATTTCAGGTTCAGCTGGCTGAAACAGATACGCAAAACGGGGTTTGTCAATTCCATGTATAATGTAACTTCAACAAAACGAAAACCAGGGCAATGATTACGGAATAACATGGCACACATTAGCATAACCAAAACCCACTGTCCTTAATTTCACATAAGGAGAGAGAATATATCCCTACTCAATGGTTATGATGACAATTTAACTTGCTCGTAATGATTCTTCATCAATCTGCATCTCTAAAAATCATGTGTTGTAAAGTCGTCTGTCAGCAGTCGAACCCTGTCGATGAATTCATGATATTAGGTGCAAGCCCTTTAATATCGAATCAACTGTGTCACTTAAACACTGTAGGTTGATGTTACTATCAAGAAAAGGGAAACTTATTATTAAACTTATCATAATACTTAGTGGTTAGCCTTCCCTGTTCGTAATCTTGCAAGTAAAGTTTGAGGAAAGCAGCTGATTTAGAAGAGTCTAGTTTCTTTGAGCTTAAGTTTTGGCCTCAAAAGGTATATATACGATCAATGTGTTCAATACACTTTCTGTTGTTGAAAGACAGCATGTCATTTTATCTGAAAGTGAAACTGAAGGACTTGGCAAGTATTTCATTTAGAGTCTTTATAAGCTCTCTGGTAAATTTAGCCTTGTTTATATGTATATAAAAAGTTGATCAGAGGAGGGTCATAGTGGGGTTTTATGCTAAAAGTTAGGTAAAGACTTTAAAAACATTTTGCTACAGATTAAGAATATTACGCAATAATTGACTTTCATGTCCAAAAACGCCACTATTCCATAATATACTTGACATTTGGTGAATCCTTTATTTTCACATTCAAATATATATTGATGATGTTTTTTCTGAAGTAAAATGCATTTTGAAAACTCCTCCTTTTCATCTATCCTCCAGATATTGATATTAGAGATATCACTGACTGCTCTTTTTCAGCTGAAATACAGACATTTACACCTCAGTATGAAACACTGTGACACATGTGATGACTCCTATATTTCACGATCGTTCACTTCTCTTCTCTCAGTAGTTACATCCAGTGTCCTCTTCAAATGGAGCAACCGTCACATATGATTCGCTTTTCAAGAATCTGCGTAAACTGCTAAACTGTTATTTCTACATGATAGACAAAAAGCTGCCATCTTCAACGAAAACATATTTAGTGGTCATAGTTAAAACTTTATTTCCATTCGTGAGCTTTAAGTGTGTTGCATGTCCGACTTATTTTTAGCTCACCTGCCTGAAGGGCAAGTGAGCTTAGGTCATGGGTCCACCGTCCGGTGTCAACTTTTTAGGTCACCTGAGACAAAGTCTCAAGTGACCTATTGTATTCTAATCGCCTTTTGTCCGCCGTCGTGCGTCGTGCGTCCGTAAACAATTTACATTTTCGACTTCTTCTCAGAAACCACTGATCCGATTTCAATAAAATTTTGCAACAACCTTCCTTGGTCAAATATGCACCAAAATTGTGAATTATATGGTTCCCATCCCCTGGGGCTCTGAGGGGCGTGGCTAAAAGTGGTCAAATTGGCTTAAATTTTTAAAATCTTCTCCAGTCCCAGATATGCTGGAAACCAATACTCTTCATGGGTGGAAGGGTCCTGAGGTACTTTATCAAAATTGTGAATTTCATGACTCTCGAGCTTCACGAAAATACAACTTTTGTTCATTTTCTACTGGAAATCATTCAAACTTGATTTACATCATAACCATGAGATGACAGTTTGATACTTTGACATTTTTAACCCTGTCTCATCCCCAGGAGCTGAGGGGCAGAGCCCAAATGGGGTCATATATCCAGAAATTTCAACAGTCATCTTCTCCAGACTGAGATAGGCTGGAAACCAATACTCATCATAGATGGAAGGGTCTTGAGGTGCTTATAAAAATTGCGAATTTCATGACCCCCAGATTACATGTTTGCCCCTGGGGAGGGGGCAAAGTTTACTATAGTTTATATAGGAAAATTATACTTTTGGGTATGTTTGGTTCATTTTCAATTGGAAATTATTCTTACTTGATTTTACATTACATATAGTTCAAGTTAGCTTAGTTACAAAATGAGTTCTTTTTTTCATCCATAACATCAGTTTTTAGCCCACCATCATCTGATGGTGGGCTATTCAAATCACCATGCGTCCGTGGTCCGTGGTCCGTCCGTCGTCTGTCCTTAAACAATTCTTGTTATCGGTATTTCTCAAGAAGTACCAGATGGATCTTTCTCAAATTTTATATGTAGGTTCCCCTTGGTCCTAAACTGTGCAGGGCATTTTTTGAGAGTGATCTGATAAACAACATGGCCGACAGGCAGCCATCTTGGATTTTGATAGTGTAGGTTTGTTACCGTTATTTCTCCATAAGAACTAGAGGGATCTTTCTTAAATTTTATATGTACATGTAGGTTCCCCTTGGTCCTAGCTGTGCAGGGCAATTTTAGAGACTGATCGGATAAACAACATGGCCGACAGGCAGCCATCTTGGATTTTGATAGTGAAAGTTTGTTATCGCTATATCTCGGGAAGTACGGGAGGGATCTTTCTCAAATTTCATATGTAGGTTCCCCATGATCCCTCGTTGTGCATGTTATATTTTGAGACTGATCATAAAAACAAAATGGATTAAAAGAAGAACTAAACAGATCTTTCTCATATTGCAATGATCGATTCTATTTCTTTCATATTAAGTACTGTACTAGTAAACTACTACTGTATGTGAAATGACAAACTCACTTTGAAGGTTGGCTTTCATACTCATCAATATCAAGTTTAGATCAAAAGTTACCTCAAGGTGCATTTTCTGTTAACATGACTGGATCAAACAGATTAGAGGAAAAAAGAGAAAAGATTGAACTGACTAAGAACTTATGAAGATGGTACGAAGGTGGGCGCCAAGATCCCTCTGGGATCTCTTGTTACATAACTCAGGTGACTGTTAAGGCCCATGGGCCCCTTGTTAATTTAAACAACTTCTTTTCAGTAGCTTAAAGGCCTAGGATGATGATATTTGACAAGTAGTATGCTGGGATGAAGGGCTACCAAGTTTGTTCAAATGAATGACCTTCGTTCATTTTCAAGGTCACAAGGGGTCAAATATGTTTATGCCTTTTAACGACTTCTTCTGAATAACCAAGAGGCCTTGGTGATGATATTTGGCAAGTAACATACTGGGATGAAGGGTTTAAACCTTTAAACAACTTCTTTTGAATAACCAAGAGGCATTGGGTGGTGATTAATGACCAGGAACATGCTGGGGTGAAGGGCTACCATGTTTGTTCAATTGAATGACCATGACTGATAGTCAGGGTCACAGGGGTCAAATATGTTGAAAACTTTTAACGACTTCTTCTTTATAACCAAAAGGACCAGGGTGATGATATTTGGCCATTTACATGCTGGGATGAAGGGTTACCAAGTTTGTTCAAATGAATGATCTTCACCCATTTGCAAGGTCACAGGGGTCAAATATGTTGAAATCTTTAAACAACTTCTGAATAACCTAAAGGTCCAGGGTAATGATATATGGCCAGAAGCATGCTGTGATGAAAGGCTATAAGTCCATTCAACTTAATGTCCTTGTTTGACTGTCAAGGTCAAAAGTGTCACATGTTTAAATCTTTTAATAGATTCTTTTGAATCAAACACTGGTATAATGCATGTAGCTGTATTTTAGTCCACTTTTAAGATAACAAGTGCGAGATTAATACCAGGTGAGCGATTCAGACCCATTGGGCCTCTTGCTTTTTTTACGCAAGGATGGGTGCCACCTGTGGTGAAGGGAATGATTACACTCTGAATCATCCGATCTCGACCCCAGTTTTTGTGTGTGTGGTATTTTGTGTTAATTTTTTATGTAAAAATCCAAACTCTTGTTGAACAGAGATGAGATAATAATAAACTCCTGCTCGGTAATAAGTCCACCTCATGAGGAACATGTTACCAGTGATAAATCCATGTTCAGCAATAGTCCCGTTCATTGATTAACAGAAGACAACCAATGAAAAGTCCATGCTCACCCCTTTGTTATTCATGTAAGCAGTGTTAAGACTGTGCAGATATCAGCCCATCGTTAATTGAACGGATGCTATTGGTATAAACCCATATTCAGTGATAAGCCCAACCCCCTAGTTAAAACAGAGGTTATCAGTTTGGTTTGTTTGTGGTTTTTGTCCTATGAACAGATATGGTCATTTAAGGACATGCCAGGTTTTGGTGGTGGAGGAAAGATGGAATACCTGGAGAAAAACCACTGACCTACGGCCAGTACCTGACGACTGCCCTAAGTAGGCCCTGAACCAGCGACCCAGTAGTGGAGGGCTAGTGGTAGCAGAAAATCAGACACCTTAACCACTCGGGTAACGTGGCCGAGATGTTACCAGTTATAAGCCAATGGTCGGTTTTAAATTTGGTTCACTAAAACAGGTCTATACTGATAGGCTCAGGTTCAGTAATAAGCCCACCTCTTGTGAAACAGATTTAACAGTGATAACCTGACAAAGGCCCTAGCCCACATACTGCTATGGACAATATCACCATCACGACCAATGGTATCACAAAACTCTTGAAAAAACATAAAGCTGCTGGCCCTTACAAAATACATGGTAAAATACTGAAGGAATCTGCGGAAAAAATCGCACCAATCCTTGCTCATATTCCAAAAATCATTCGACTCTGGCTCTGTCCTGCGTGACTGGAAAATTTATGCCCAGTCTACAAAAAGGGAGACGAACACAATGCTATAAACTACCGTCCCATCTCTCTCACTTGTATCTGCTGCAAACTCTGTGAACTTATCCTCTGTAGTAATATCATGAATCACCTTGAATCTAATATTATCCTTTCTGAACTCCAACACGGCTTCCGATCATCCCGTACCTGTGAGACACAACTTATCTCCTTTATACAAGATCTAGCTTCATCAAACAACCAGAACAAATGCACGGATGTTATTGTCATGGATTTCGTAAAAGCCTTCGATAAAGTCTCCCACCCCCGTCTTCTCTACAAGCTAAATTTCTATGGTATAAGATCAAACACGCATCGCTGGATAACTTCTTTTCTCTCAAATAGAACCCAAGTTGGCCTGAATCAGTCCTCCATGATGGCAACACATCTGATACAGTCCCTGTCACATCTGGTGTCCCCCAGGGTACTGTCCTAGGTCCCATTCTATTCCTAATCTGTATTAAAGATTTGGCAGAATACATGAAACACAGTACCCTACGTCTATTTGCTGATGATAGTATCATTTATCGAGATATTAAAAATACCAGCGATGTTGAAAAACTCCAAATAGACCTCGATGCTGCGGCAGCCTGGGAAATGGACTGGCTGATGTTGTTTCACCCCGATAAGTGCTCGGTTCTCCAGGTCTCCGGTAAACATCAGTCAAACCCACCCTCAATATACAAACTGCATGGCTACACACTACAAACAACAAATTCTGTAAATTACCTTGGAGTCACAATCCAATCGAACCTCAAATGGGACAACCACATCAATTCTATGATCTCCAAGGCAAATCAGTCACTAGGTTTTCTGCGCCACAACCTAAAAGTAAATTCTCAGAACATCAAAGACCATGCTTACAAAAGCCTGATACGTCCCAAACTAGAGTACAGCTAGTGCCTCAGTTTGGGACCCACACAACTCCTCTCAAATTAACCAGATCGTAAAAGTACAGCGTCGAGCAGCCAGACATGTTTGTAACAACTACCACAACACTAGCTCTGCTAATGCCATGATGAACACTCTCAACTGGCCACCCCTACATCTCCGCCGTCTCCGATTCAGATTAGTCATGTCTTACAAAATTGTTCATTACCATGCTGCTCTCAAACAAAGAAATCTTCTCACACCTGTTGACTTGTGCAAGTCATCATAACCCATATGCCTTCAAACACCTCCAAACGTCTAAAGACTGCTACAAATACTCCTTTCGTTTCTGTCGACACTGTTGATGCCTTCAAATCTACCATCACAGTGTCCTTTCTCGACAAATTTAAGTCACTTCATTGTTTTTATCATAAATAAAAATAACAATCAAAAGCATTGATGGCCCACTAGTATTCAGAAAAAGAAGAAGATATGTATGTCCAGTAATTAGCCCACTTCTTTAACAGATTTTACCAATGATAAGCCCATGTTCAGTAATTAGCCAATCCATTGCAATACAGATGTAATCAGTTGTAAGCTTGACTTGTTTACTCATTCACCCCTACATGTTTAAATTGGACTTGCCAATTCTTTGATTGGGTAAAGTTCAAATGAGACATTAGGGGTGAATGAGTGAAATAGATTTTACAGCACAGCTAGAATCAAGCTCTTTCTGCATTTACTGTTAAATTCAAGATTGAAATTGAACCCATATTCATCCGTTCTCATGAGTTGGTTCCCATGGCTTAGAACAGGTTAACAAGTAAATGAAATACAAAACTGTTGGAGCAGATTCAAAATTTTCAACGTTGTTTAAATTGTGCAAAAATTCTCTCTGTTTATCTCAAATCATTAACATATACAGTAAAACAACACTATAGTTTAATTGACATTTTAATGTTTATTTCTCTGTGCCCCCAAAATATAAATCCGACAAAGACTTTGCAGTTGACCACTTCCAAGGAAGGTGTACAACTATATACAGATACTTTTAATATATACACTCTAAGATAAACAACAACACCACACTCTCTGTAGTAGAAGATGTAGCCCCACATTTCTATCTTCACCGGCAGATATTGCAAGGTAACTCATGATAGACAATTAACATGAAATATCAGACACAAAAGGATGTTCGTTTCCATTTTATTTTCCCAGACAGGAAAATAATTTGAGAGGTTCCCCTTCAATTGCGGAATACATACTTTTTCATCAAGTTTTGGTATGCCCTCTGTTAAATCTACATACTAACAAAGTTTGTTTCTACACACACTGAAAGGGCTCTATACTCAAGAGTGTAAATAATGAATGTAATCACAAACATAATTCTGTTATTACATAATTTTTATACAATGTTTTTTATCTCATACATTCTAAAACATATCACAAACCCTATAACAGTAGAGGCCACACAACCATCACAAGTTAAACTATATCATACATCTATATTGTTTTATTTTAACATTCTTGCACTCAGCTATCTACATATTTGAAGAAAAAAACCCCGAACTATTTACTAACACGATGTGGGTTCAGTTCAGGTCTTGTACAATCAACTACACAAATGCTATAGCCACACGAACCAGTAATGGTGTCCAGGCATACTTTTATAAACCTCATTTACATAGCTACACAAATCAGTGTGCTTTAGAAAACTTGTTAGATAGCTACCCAAGTCTGTGTTTACCAGAATATCTTCATAGACTTACTTTTTATAGTTACTGTAAAATCACAAATTTTCGTGGGACATTAAATTTCGTTTATTTCGTGGATAACAAAAATCCTAGAAATTAAATCCCAACAAATACATAAATTTTGTATGACATAGATAGGAGAAAATCAGAAATCAGCAAAATATAATGTCCTTGAAACAGGCTAGTGTATGAAAACCCCGAAATTTTAACCCCACGAAAATAAATGATTCTACAGTATATCAATCAATGTATCCAAGAATATCTTTAGAAAACTTGTTCAGACAGTTACACAATTCTGTGCATTCCAAAATATCTTTAAAGACTTACTTCATATAGCTACTATAAAGTCTCTATATCCTAGAATACTTTTATAAATCTACTTTATAAAGCTACTTAAGTCTGTAACTGTATCCTAAAATATCTTTCTAAAGCTATCAGGTCAGTAGTTTATATAGCTACACAAGTCAGTGTATCCTAGAATACCTTTATAAATATAGTTAATATAGCTACACAAGTCAGTGTATCCTAGAATACCTTTATAAACTTACTTTGTGTTGCTACAAACGTCTGTAATTGTATCCTAGAATACCTTTCTAAACTTAATATATAGCTATCCAATTCAGGTTTCCTAACATATTATGTTAATTTTATTGTCAGATCTATGAATTCTTATTTCAGAGAGAGTATCCCTAACAAGTAATGCTTTAAAAAAAACAAAATGTTATGATTTGAGACTGTGTGTTTAACCATTCAGCTCTAATTTGAAGTCTTCCTGGTGAAAATGAAAAATGAAAGTTTCGTGATGTGTTTTTTGGTCTCCATATCATGAGTAAGTATTGTCGGTGCAACTGATTACAACATTTCATCAGACGTGTTACCTGGCAACCATGACACCGGACAGGTATGAGAGAGCCATACACCTTTACTGGTACATACATTCTGTGTTATCATACGCCTACTTAATGGATTCACAGTCTTGCAGAGATACGATACAGAAGGGAAAAAACATTTTTTGACAAAATCACACAAAAAAATCTTCTGTTTACCAATCAAACAGTATAAATGAATAACAAATATTATTATGTAATACAAAACAAAATATTCAGCTAAAAATAACAAGCATACATAATCATTTAGAAATACAAATGTTTGTCACTTTGGATTTTGAACAGTACAATTTTGTTTCTGAAATCATCAAATAAATATAAAAGAAATCTTTATGTGGGGTGTTTATTTATGTTAAAGAAGCTAGTTACACTTTTAGCGTTTTTTGTAAGGTCTTGGATAAATAAATGAGCTAATGTGATAAATAACTAAGGACAGTATCTACCTTCCAGAAAACAAAAAACAGCTAATTGGAAACATTCACCAGAATAACATATATACAGCACAACTTTTTTCATATACCTTTACAGTTAAATAAATATAGAATCAACATATAATTCTACAACAATTTTTGTAGTAACAATACTATATACTATGTCAAATACAGCAATGAGAAACAAGGTAGTGTAACAACTATCACACAAATTATGTGTTACAGATCCTATAGGGAAACGGTTATCAAACAGGCTGTATTACAGATCCTATAGGGAAACGGTTATCAAACAGGCTGTGTTACAGATTCTTCGGAGAAACAGTCATTACACAGACTGTAGTGAGGGTAAGTCAACTTAGTATAAATCTAAATTGGATATGTCAAACAGGTAGGCCAACCTCCTTATAGCTACATATTACCCGACACTTTATCCCTGTAGGGCCTGTTTGTTTATGCGGACCAGCCAGTTTATGTGTTTTATTTCAGGGGTAAAACCTTGACAGACCTTTATTGTTCATGCGGTCCTTGAAAGCCAAGATTCACCGGAAAACAACATCAAATTGCTAGATCGGTCTCTATTTCATAAAAGAACAACTTTGGTCCACTTTTCCAACCGTTTGGAACGTGATAAATGAAAGCGGCCATGGTTTCTGTTAGAGTTATCTCCCTTTAAATGATTTATCCGAGTTTTCAATATACTTTTTCCATGTTTCATTATACTGTATTAAAGATCTCCGTCCCACTGTATGCAAAGCACTAGAGAAATTCCGCTGTAATATTTTGTACGAACATTAACTTCCCGTTAATTTCTTTTTAGATATAACTGTAGCGCTACTGGGTCTGTAAACTGCCATTTACCAGGTAACTCGGGTAGATAGAGCACCATTGCCTGCATTGAGAGTAAAGGGTCCGAATCCTCATCTGACACTGTTGCATTTTTCATAAAAGTTATGGAGGGAATGGTTTTCTTTGCAACAAGGATTTATCGTGCCAGAAAAAAACGTTTCCAATGCAAAATTACATCTTTTGGCAGTGGTACGAAGATCCTTGCGACTAAAACACCATCATGACCGAGCTTTTCATGCTTTCTAGTGTGTCGCTCTCTTGGAAAGGAGATACATCGTAACATGTTACAGGTAGCATGTGTCCTTAATACCACTGCATCGGTTCATTCCCAGTAGCCATCATTTTTCTTCCCTTGCTGTCAGAAAAAAATCTTCAGTAATTTAACAAAATTTACAGTTTAACCTTAGTTAACATAATTTTACCTGTAGTTGAATTCACTTTCAATTTTGATTGTTCATGACCATATTTTACATATATGTTGAATTGTGTATGTCTTCAAAGTTAGTAAATGCCCTATACACTGTATGGGAGTTTGTTATTTGGTGTTTGAATACAAAATATATGTAAGACTTCATGGTACTCAAACATCAATAAATTATCACACACACACACACACACACAAACATTTGTAATAGTAACCTGTGATTACCCACACAGCAGTGTAGGAGAGGATGAACCTGAATATTGATAAGATCAATGTTGAGTTAGCTAACACTGCTTAGTGAAAATTAATTAACAGTGGTGTTGATAAAATGTTAACAAATTGATTAAGTTTCACGCTGTATAAACACAGCAATGCCCAGATTAGTTTCATATACATGTACTGATATAGGTCAAGAAAAGTCACTCAGGTACGCTCCAGTGATTCAGGTCAACAAAAGTCACTCAGGTACGCTCCAGTGATACAGGTCAACAAAGGTCGCTCTGGTACGTTCCAGTGATATAGGTCAACAAAAGTCACTCAGGTATGCTCCAGTGATTAAGGTCAACAAAATCCACTCAGGTACGCTCCAGTAATTAAGGTCAACAAAAGTCACTCAGGTATGCTCCAGTGATTAAGGTCAACAAAAGTCACTCAGGTATGCTCCAGTGATTTAGGTCAACAAATGTCACTCAGGTATGCTCCAGTAATTTAGGTCAACAAAGGTTGCTCTGGTACACTCCAGTGATTTAGGTCAACAAAGGTCACTCAGGTATGCTCCAATGATACAGGTCAACAAAAGTCACTCAGGTATGCTCCAGTGATTAAGGTCAACAAAATCCACTCAGGTACGCTCCAGTAATTAAGGTCAACAAAAGTCACTCAGGTATGCTCCAGTGATTTAGGTCAACAAAGGTCACTCTGGTACGCTCCAATGATACAGGTCAACAAAGGTCATTCAGGTACACCTAAGTGATTAAAGTCAACAATGATCAAATCTGGTCACTCCAAAGATACAGGTCAACAAAAGTCACTCAGGTATGCTCTAGTGATTTAAGTCAACAAAAGTCACTCAGGTATGCTCCAGTGATTTAGGTCAACACAGGTCACTTTGGTACGCTCCAGTGATTTATGTCAACAAAGGTCACTCTGGTACGCTCCAATGATACAGGTCAACAAAAGTCACTCAGGTACGCTCCAGTAATTAAGGTCAACAAAAGTCACTCAGGTATGCCCCTGTGATTATGGTCAACAAAGGTCACTCTGGTACGCTCCAGTGAATCAGGTCAACAAGTCATTCAGGTATGCTCCAGTGAATAAGGTCAACAAGTCACGCAGGTATGCTCCAGTGAATCAGGTCAACAAGTCATTCAGGTACGCTCCAGTGAATAAGATCAACACAAGTCACTCCGGTATACTTTAGTGAAAAAGGTCAGCAAAGTTACTCAAGAATACTAGTGAGTAAAATCAACAATGCCCCTGTGAATATGGACAACAAAAATCGCTCAGGTATGGTCCAGTGAATAAGGTCAACAAAAGTCATTCAGGTACGCTCCAGTCAAAAAGGTCAACAAAGGTCACTCCAGTATGGTCCAGTGAATAAGGTCAACAAAGGTCACTCGGGTACGCTCATGTGATTATGATCAACAAAGGTCACTCTGTTACGTTCCAGTGATAAAGGTCAACAAAGGTCACGCGTGTACGCTCAAGTGATAATGATCAACAGAGGTCACTTTTAGTAATGAAGGTCAACAAAGGTCACTCGGTTACGTCCCAGTGATAAAGGTCAACAAATTCACTCTGGTAAAGTATGTTTTAGTAATGAAGGTCAACAAAGGTCACTGAAGAATTCTTAAATGACTGTGATCAACAGAAGTCACTCAAGTTCTTAAATATTAAAAGAGAACAAAAGTCACTGAAGTAAGTTTCAATGATAAAGGTCAACAAAGGTCACAGAGTGAACACACCTCATTCAAAAACTCTCAAGAGACAAAGGTCAAGAAAAAACTCACTTATTAGCACATCAATGTGACAAAATTTAACAAAGATTGCTCTGAAATAAAACGAAGTGTCATTGAAGTGTATTCTAGTGACAAACGTGAACAAAAGCGTCTCTGAAACAAGTCCTACGGGTTAACGGAGGTCACTTCAGCACATGAAAAATGAGTTCTAATACTATGGCACCCCCATGGCTCTGAGAGGCTGCACTGTGTATCACTGGGATGAGTTCATTGTCAAGGTCATTCATGTAAGCATCTGGTAACTTGTCTTCATTGGCACCTATTTCATAACCAACCTGAAACAGAAACAGTACAATTGGCACCAATCTCACAACAGGTATATACATTTAGCTAAACATAACTGACAGATACAACTCCAGCCAAATCTTCTATTTTTTTGTTTTTTTCATATGCAGTTAAACTTCAGCCCCTTTCGGGTATCCGGTTCAACCAGTTAAAACGGTTGAACCTGAAAGAAAACAACAGGCGCAAATACCAATACTCGGCACAAGTAGATTGCGGGGTCCAGACGTGCGTGAGTTGACTATTGTTAGTCTGCTTTATTTTGTTATAAAACAGGTCCAATTCACATGTAGATTTTCAGATAATTTTGAGGACGTGTGAAAGAAGGATATATTAATCTTGATATCATATTTTTTATTCTCTGAAACAGTGCATTTTTAACTCTGACTACAGTCTGACCACCTGAACTGTTTCAACTTGGATGTGCCACCACCCTACTTGAGTGACTGACCCACCGTATTCACCCTCCTCCTGTATTATGTGATCTCAATTATTCCTCCCTGACTCTTCTAATATACAGGACCAGTTTTCAATGACCTCTTGTCTTACCCAAATAGTTTCCATTACATACTTAACATATTTAACTCCTCTTGAGATTATTATTTTGTGGTAAGTATTATTTTGAGAAACACTATCAACTAATGGTACACATCTGTTAAAAGATTTTATTAAAATATCTACGAAAACAGTTAAGATGTTAAGTAATAATCTGGACAAATGAAGAGTTAATTGTGCTTAACGTTAAAGATGCTAATGAAGGTTAATGAAGGATTTGACCTTGTGTCAAAGATCCTTAAAACGTCAGCGACAAAAACCTTACTTTCATTGATACATAAATTATGGTTTGTACAACCAAATTCAAAGATATAAATAAAAAAAAAATCTTCTTTTGTACAACCAAATTCAAAGGTATAAATAAAAAAAATATCTTCTTAACAAGCATGGAAATGTTCACATTTCACCATTTCCTCTGTTATTCTGTTACTTATTTAGAAACAAATATATTTCACAAAACTTACTTTCTCTGGTTCAATGTTGACTCGCAGTCCAATCTTTGTGAGAGACGCATCATGAAGCGAGTCAAGGTGTCGTGTTAAAGCTATGCAGCAGGCATTGGACAGTGTCTCTGCCAATCGGCTGAGGTCTACCGGCTCCCACTTAGCTGAGCCGGAGTCCTCGTTTTGTATGAAGAACACATCTGTCCACCTGATAATATAGGTCTCTCCTACGTAGTCAGTGGCATTAGGGATGTGGATACTCTCGATGCCGTCCATCAGCATGCTGTCCACAGGACTTTTCACTCTGGAGACAGAAACAGTTCGTCTATACCCATCAGTTTCAAGTAACATTGCTACCATACTATTTTATAAATTTTATCTTTATGATCAACTCATAATTGAATCACAAAAGTTGTAAGATACTATAAAATTAAAGTTCAGTTCCGCAGAACCAAAAATTAAACAGATAAGTAAAACCTCTTCCGATTCTATAGCATCTTATTTCATCGTAATAAAACCAACACTTGTAATACAAAACCTTAAAGTAACTAAGTGCATACAATCCTTTTTTCTGTCTTCACAAATACAAAACCTGTCCACAGGCCCAACATCCCTAGGCCTTGTCATGAACTGTTAATTTGGGTTGGTTGTTATTGGGTTTTTTTTTGTTCTTGAACTTTGTGTAGGAAATGTCGGAGAGAAATTTTAAAGGGTCTGCTTTGTTTAAAGTAACAAGTGATCTTGATTATTAATTTTTGGTTTTAAATTGTATACGGTAAAGTCTACAAGAAGTTGTCAAAGGGTAGATACAAAATTGCACAGCTAAAATTATGAAATAATTTTCTTTTAATTAAATCCTTGCAACTTTTTAAACTGATAAAAGTTTGGAAATTTCTGTAATATATAAATCTTTTAAATACATATTCTTGTGTGGATATTTTCTCGCAAACTTACCCAAAAACAAAAATATGAGCATTTTGACACCAAAAAATTACTCTTTTACAGAGCACAACTTCAGGACAAGATGATAGCGGGGAGTTTTTTTATCACTGTACATGTTTCACTGAGAGATTAGAGTGTCGTTGTTGCATTGAAAGCTATTTTTCTCACCCAATGTTGATGTTTTTGTCATCATCAACCCACTGCATCATGACAACCTCGTCAGGGGCAGGGTTTGTGATGCTACCACACTCGACTGTGTACTCCCGCATATCCTTCATGGCCTGTTTCAGGGCCACCATGGAGTCCGGCGTTATCTGTACCATCAGACCATCTTCTACGATACTGGACTTTGCACGTAAACCTGAACTTGTCTTCAGAGCACCATTAAACACCACAAAACTCGCTCCAGTCACTGTAAAACCATTTTTTTTTTTTTCATTACAAGTACATGATGTATGTTAGATTATATTTTGATTATAATTCAAAAACTATTTTCATATAAAATATGTGAACATATTTTTTTATTAAATCTGGTGTTCTCCAGGGTTCAATAATCAGGCCCATGATGTTTTTAATATATGACAACGATTTGACGTACTATTGAAACATTGTGAATTGTACATGTTTGCAAACGATACCTCCATGCAAAAAGCAGACTGACCATAAATGTCATTGAATCATGCCCACAGAGTGATTTTATTAAATGTGAAGTTACAAAGATCATAGAAGACTCAATGATACGATTGTAGCCGACTAAAGCTGCCCACCTTTCCGGGGTTTGTTCTGTATGTTGATAGCCTGTGTCTGGTAGTTGCCGTCATCATTCTGTATACACACCAGGTGGGAGTCGGCTTGAGAGCTGAAGCTTGCTCCGATGGCCATCACATGCTCGTTACTGTTACTCACAACCTTCATCAACTGTCAAATTGGAAACCAGAATTAATTATCTTCACACTTGTTACTGTAAATACAAAACATGTAGAATGTTTACCTCCCACAGTTAGATCTGATACTGTAAATAGAATATCTATTTTCCACACATGACGTTGTAAACAGAAAATTCACTCTATGCATTTCCTATCGAAAATTAAATAACTTGAATTTACAGCCAATATCCATGCCGAACAAGGAATCAAAGATCTGTCTTTTACATTTTTAAAAAGAATAGGGCTTTTAAAGCATAATCTCCAAAACTACAAAAGTTAAATGATGACACAAGGTAAAATTACTGATCAAGTAGAACGTACATCATCATATCTGTTTCTGGGGAAATTCATGATAGTTTTCTTGTCTTCCATATGTATAGTGACTCCCTTTATCTGGGGCAGCATGTACTGAAAGTTCCTAAAGTCTGCCAGCAGGTTCATGATTGTATGGCCGATCTCAAAAAACACCGGCTTCCTGTTCCGCACACTAATCAAAGGACACGGGTAATCTGAAATGGAGGCAATATTTCATAAATTCATTGAACTCAACAATGTAATTCTATAGTAACTTCAAAAGTAGACATTTCTATTTTTGAGGCTAAATGTTGCAATATTTCTTAATTTGCGAGAAGTTCTTAATGCCAGACATTTTTTTACAACAAAACCATCAATTTTTAAATATACCGGTACCTCTAGATGTGATTAATACTGAAAATTGTTCTTACGAGTCGTTCATGAGTCATTCATATAGATATATTGAAATACATGTACAATAATGTATAAATAGTTTGTGTCTGGAATCACTGTCCAATGAGGTACTGGAGTTACTGTCTATTACTGAGTGGTGATCACTCTATAAGTTTTAGCAGGTGTTTTTCCCCAGATACTGGAAACCACTCTGTGAAGGTGTTATATAACAGTACAGAAAGTGTTGAGGTAGAAGTGGTTTATGGAACTTAAAATGTTCCACAAAATCAATCTGCCCATTAGAACTTGACTTTAAGTTTGAAATAGTTTTTTCAAAATGGCGGCATTGGCGGCCATATTGGATTTCTGAGCGACCCGAAAAATAATAACACTTGGTCAGGGAGATGTCAGTAACATTCCCAGGAAATATAAATGAAATCCCTTTGACAGTAATTCAGCTTAAGTTGAAAATGTAAAATGTTAATGGACGACGCACAACGACGGATGAAGACTTATAGCAAAATTAGCAATAGGTCACTTGAGCTAAAGCTCTGGTGACCTAAAAATCCTTAAACAAGTTCTATTGAGATACTTACATCTGTACTCAGCACCAAGTCGCAGCAGCAATCTGATGGGGAAGACCTTGGCCCAGGGGGTCTCCCACTTCTGTAGTAGTATCCCAAACACGTAGGGTGGCTTTGGCAGTACCAGTTTGTGCAGACACTGGAACGTGGGGTAAATATACAACATCCCACCATGGTCACGGCTGTTCAGGAAACTCTGGTTAAATATCGTGTGGCCCATGTCCGAGACAGTGTTACCTACCATGACCGGAAGAGAACACGTTTTAGTGTAAATTTTATGAATATAATATAACGGTTGTTGAGGTCTCAGACAAAAAGCCACTGAACCAGTACTATTTTTATTTTGTTTTCATTCAATGAATCATAAAATTTGAAATTTAGACATTATTTTCATTTAAATACATCAGGAACACTACTGTATACCAGGACATTTTTGCTGCAGTTTAATATTCGTCTCTTTTGCCCTCTGTATTGATGGTGAATTTATCATTACAGCGAATATAACTAAACAGCATAATAAACACAATAATTAGATGTGAAGGGCGAAATTAACACTGGGCGAAAATTGATTTAATGGGCGAAGGGCGAAAGTTTGACTGGGCGAAAATGTCCCATTACCACTCATGATCAATTAACTTCAATGGAAATTTATGTTGAGCCTCCGTTATTGCTAAAAACTTACCTTTGCCTGCCTCCTCATACATGGTCTGGAAATGACAGAGGATGTCCCGAGGAAGTGTGGCCTCATCGGGCAGGACCTCAAGAACAATGACAATTTCATCCTGTCCGACTGTACACATGCCTTTAGTGGTTAAACACCAACAGGTCCTGTTCACACAGCAGTCAACTGTAACACAAAGGTCAAAGCACTAAGGTTAACATACAGAGGTCAAAATACAAAGGTCAAAGCTCTAAGGTTAACATACAGAGGTCAACATACAAAGGTCAAAATACAAAGGTCAAAGCACAAAGGTCAAAATCTGGAGTGTACACTTTCATAGATAGTTCACTACAGGGAGGCTTATTTTGATTTTTTTTACTATGTTGACCTTATTTTTACAGTCAAATCTAGGACTTTTACAGATGCTGTAACCAGATATTAACCGGCTTTTTTTCACTGATGCACTTATAAATATGACCAAAATATGATATAAAAATGAAAAAAAATCTGATGTGTTGCAGTGCAGACAGCAGTGAATACTTTTCATGTTAAAGAGAGTGTCTTAAATACAAAATGTCTATTATGAATTGTACAAAATTCAACATAATTCTGCTTCCTGTTGGCAATCGTTTCCATTGCCCATACTGTAAATCTTATTGAACTTGTTTGGCTTTACACAACTCTGATCAACTTACGTGTGACAATTTTGACGAGAACAGACAGATTGTAATTGACAGCAAACATCACAGGCTCTGCCTCCTCATCTGTTCCAACAGACAATGTTTGATATCATGGTATTTTACACATTTGAAAAGACTATCAATCCAATTTAAAAATTGAGTTCTTTGGAAATTATGCAAGAGTTTACACAGTTTTAAATCAATGATCTAGAAAGTAAAAGTTAGACCTCTTACTAATAATGAAGAGTTAACTGAAAACAGGGAAGAGTTAACTCATTCACCCCTCAAGACACATTTGAACTCTTCCTATTCAAAAGTTGGAATAGGTCATTATGTAATTTCAGTGGTGAATGAGTTAAGAGTAAGAAGTTGTGTCCTTAGAGTCAATATAATGAAAACCACGTTTTGTGACGTCTTCCTACCTTTGATTTGCGGTAAGTATTCAGCCATGTCGGGGTGCTCATCCATTGCATTATCTATAAAGGAAACAACTCATTAACTCATTCATGTGTAATGAAATACCACAACATCAACAAGCCATTCAAATTGATACGTCTCCCAGGTGCCCTGCTTTGACCATCGATGCACATGTCAAGTTTGGTTGGTCTAGCGCTTGCAGTTTCAGAGAAACTATAACTTAAATGCAAAAACTTTACGTTGATGGAGATGCTGATAAAGTCAATGGACCATGAAAGGTAGGCCGCATACATCATTTGATGCATGGGTTGAGATGTTCTACCAAAGATACATCTAAGGTCCAAGTTTGGTTGGTGTAGCACTTATGCTTTCATTGAAACTAACTTAAACGCAAAAATTTAATGTTGACACCACTGTCACCGGAAAAGCATCACCTGAGTCTGGCTTCCTCTACTTCGTGGCGGCGAGACAAAAACACATCAACCTTTATCTCTCTCATCATCACAATTATGTTTTTTCATGAACTTTGGTTATGATAGATAAACAAAAATCCTATGAATATGGGTGTGTTGCCTGCCCTCTCTGGCCGCTATGTTGATTTTCTAGTTTGGTTCAACGATGAACTAGAGTGGGTAATAATACTTAGGATAGTTGTAGAACATGTAATGAAAATTAATGTATTCCTTCAAGGTCTATCACAAGAAAACCATGCGATTTTTCACAAAATCCATAATGCATGGCTATCTGGGATTGCAATAACGAAATTGCAGCCGAGTGATTTTTCAATGAAATTTATTGGTTTTCATTTGGTTTTACTTTGCAGTGTGACTTACTAAATTATGAGTATAAAACCTTCTATATAGACCATAAGTGGCACAACTATCTTTGCATCTCACTCACCTGTTTTGGTTAATATTACGGGTGGCAGACCATTCTCTGGTATCAGACATTTGTTTCTCCGCGCCTCACTATGACGAGACTTTCTACTGGATCTTCCAGATTCTGTAAGAATTCATAGATATGTATTAAACACAAATCACAGTAAATATGCACCGGTAAGAAAAACAAAATTTTATGATTACTTATGGTGTCAAATACTTCTGTATATAAAATGAAATGACATGATACACCAAAACTGTTTTGAAGACGATCAACAAGGAAGACTGACTGACCTGGGGAACCTCTGTCGACCCGTTTTTGGGCCCTACTTGTGCGTCGAGGGGGCAGTTTGTTTGCAGCATCTGAACCATCTAGCTCGGTCAGATCACCACCAGGTCGGATCCCGTCAGAAAACATCACCTGTTTTGGCTCGGATCGTTTAGAGCTTCCTACCAACAAAGCAACTAACATTCAGAATACATTAACATACACTAGGTTGTTTTTATAGATAAAAAGCCTGATTACCTGGTTGGATTATTTTTTTACAGGCAGCTTCCGTTGTTAGGATAGTAACATACTACATAAAAGTGTTCATGTCGCCCAAGAAAATATTCAGGCATTTGTAGGCAGGCTAAATATGCAATATGTTAAACAGATTCAAAGTGTAGATGAAATGTACAAATCAATTGTACAGACAGGCAGTAAATACAGTATATCATATATAATATATATAAAATGTCATACAACATATATATGTACTATATAGGTAACCAGTTGTGAGGGCAGTAAATAAAATAGGGCATCTTTCGCATATACGGTTCAACCTGTTTGTCTGGTTTAAAAAATAACATTTTTTGGTATAAATCCTGGCAGATCACCAAATGTTTACGCAGGACTTGCAAGACTTTGTCAAGGCTCGCCTGAAAGCAGCATCAGATTACTAGTCCTGACCTTATTTCATAAACGAACAACTCTGGTCCAACCGTTTGGATTGCGATAAACATATACTATATACATAAATAAAGTTTATTTAAATAAATGTTCAATGGGTCAAAGAATTAATAATATCAACGGTAGATTCCCATAATACACTGGATCCTGAATTACAACGTATGTTTGTAGGATACAAATTACTTAAAATTGGTATATGGGGCAAGGAAGTTATTCCAACAGTGTAGACAATATGAGGTTGTCTAAAATAGATTTGTACATTTTACCCACATCAAATAAATGTTCCATTTATATCTCCTGTACCTTCAGACTGCTAATATGTAATGAGCACATACTAGGTAGATCAGCTATACTAGCAGGCAGCCGTATACTACAGAATGTCATACAATGTACATACAGCATTGAGCCGAAAGCATTTGCAATTTCGCCAAAATTCATTCTAAATATCACGCATTTTCAACTTTTTTTTTCCATTGGAATTTTTTGGGGCTAATTCTAGTGGCATGGAAACAAAATTTCACAAAATGAAAGATATGTTTCTATCTAATTGTCTGAGAATATTTTCATACATTTGTGTTGACTGGTTTTCAAGGTATGACAAGTTATTCAGATGAAATCGATTTTTACAATGCCATTTTGTTCTTTGTCTTAAAAATAATTGCAGTGGAACTTTATTTCCAAGAATAGCTCACCAAATTTTGCAAATCATTCCATGGAAAAATATGAAAATATTGTTAGATAAAACAGCAATTCATTATCTTTCAGGGTGTCCAATTTCATTTCAGTGGCACACTAATTGGCTCCAGGGAAATTCAATGATAAAAGAAAGAGATGCATGAAATATAATTACATAAGAGTAAATCTGGGCAAATCGTGAATACTTTTGACACAATGCTGTAGTTACTTGTTGCCCACAGTCACTGTAAACCTACAAAGTAATTTCTATATACTCCACCTGTATCTAGCCAAGTGAACATGTTGGACTGGTTTAATTCAAAAGCAGCAGATTGTTAAATATAGCACCAAAGCAAGATATCATGCAAGTCTAGTATTACCTGGCATAGCTGTGCTCTACATTATTACTACAACTGGTATAGCTGTGCTTGGTAGGTTAAATTCATTACTAAGCAATTACCAGAAACACTTGCATTTTGTGGGAAGTCATTTTCAAGTACAGTTGGGTTTTATTTTCTTATTTAGAATCATTGAAGCTATTGATAAACATAGGTTAGGGAAAACAAATTTTTGCTGGCATTAGCTCCATTTATCTCTTTACAAGGCGTTTCTATAAGAGCCAGGTATAACCTTCTGTAAAGTGAAGTAATGCAAGAGTGATAAACAGGAGATAGAGAAAACGAAATATAGATAACCGGTATATTTTACCATGAACAGTACAACGTTGGCTGGTTGCAAGTCACACAACCCAACTTTATTATGTGTTATTGAAACTAATGCATAACAGATATTGGGTGTACAATTTTATAATTAAATTAATTAGATTACTAGTCTACAGGCAGACCTTGAATAATACTACCAGCCAGGCCTTTTTTTAAATACTGAAAATTTCTGTCAGCCCAAGCATCAAATCTACTAGCCCCTGTATATATAGGTAATCGTACATATTTAGTATGTTATACACTCAAAACAGCTCCACCAATTCTATTATAAGCTGCATCAATTTTAAGTGACACCATCAATAAACTGAGCAATACAGGAATATTTGTTCAATTTTAGTTTTATTTACATCTTATGAAAGCAGGTAGATAAAATTCAATTCAATGCTCAACTTTTCATTTGCTGTTGTCTCCATTTTTTTAGGAACAATTTCTTTAAAGGAGATATTTTAAGCTACACATTAAATGTAAACAGGAAAAGATAACATGCTAAAATAGAATACTAACACCTACAAAATTAATCTACACTTTAAATATGGTTAACTCTATCACACCTTTTTTTTAAAAATAAGTTTAAATTAGATTCACTGATTTCGTAACATACCGAACAGAAATTTGTAACGGGTCATACGTAAATTAATTTGAAAGTTTATTTTTATTGTCATCATGACACACCGAGTAATCAATAAAGTGACAATTGACTCACCCTCTCTCTTTAGCACCCCCACGGGTACCATGACGGTGGGAGGGGGTGATCGGGAGGACACCTGCTGTGTGGGAGGAATGGTGGAGCAGTATTCGCTGGGGTTATTGGGATTGGGACTGCGACCTGATCCACTGGTCATTTCCGCTGAGGAACCAAGCAGAAAGCTCAAATCAAAGCCATGTCTAGCAACAAGCAGCAGAAGAAACAGAAAATTGTGTTCAGTTCACTGACAAGTCACATTATGCACTTAACATACATATATATATACCTTCTGTAAAGTGAAGTAATGCAAGAATGATAAACAGGAGATAGAGAAAACGAAATATAGATAACTATATATGTCAGTACTCTTCAGCTTAGGTTACAAGTATATTGAGTGTTCACTTAAAACAATGTTATTTATCTCCTACAATTACATGTATGTTAGTAATCTGTCATAGAGCAGGGACTTTTTAATAATTTTATTCCAGGGAATTGTGGAATGTTTGCTGTAAATGGTGAAAATTAAGTGTAAAAGTGTACAAACCAAACAACGACACTCTAACTTATGTGTTTTTTTGTTCAAAGTGTTGACAGCTATAGCTGGATATTCAATCATACAAAGTTACAGTTTCTGTTGTTGTTCTTTTACTTTGAAATTTGGAACTTGTAAAATTTGGCTTAAAAAACTAGGAGTTTGGATCTCATTTGCTAAAGTTAAAGTGTAGATAGAATTCGCTAAAAAAAAATCAGTATGTTGTGTTTGCTATTTTTCAATTTATTATTATATCATGTGACATCTGAACATTATCAGCTTATTAGTCAGATATGGGATAGTTAATAGAATGAAATCTGGTGTGTAATAATGTGTTATCCAAAAATAGCCTTATTTCATTGAAGTCGTATGTTGGTTGATATTGGCTCGAAACATGACCTAAGCATATCTACCCAACTGAAGGTTAATAAATGTCTACCAAGGCCTCCATCCAGTTTCATTGTACAATTGGCCAGGCAACAATGCTCCGCTATTTTACGTTGTAAATTGATACATTTATCTTTAGCCTCTAAGTAAATTGCACACTTATGCCAGGAGCTGGAAGTTTTTCACTGTATTATTGAATTCACAGCTAAATCCTTCTGCAAAAATTATTATGTAATTTGTCACAGACATTTAACATTGTTATACTGTAAAAACACTCAATATAAATTTTCACAACGGAAACTGGCAGAGCCAAACCTAGGACATCAAAATGAAATAAGGAAAGATTCATATACTCGACAAAACATTCTTGAGAGTCAGACTTGATTATGCAATACCCTAAAATCTCAAAATGAACCTGAATTAACTCAATCACCCCTGAAATTTCATAATGAACTATTCCAACCATGAATAGGAATCATACTAATGTGACTTCAGGGGTGAATGAGTTAATAAAAGTTTTAAAATAACATCTTGGTGTCAAGTTTTTCTTCAAAATACAATGTCTGGTAAAATAGCTGTCCAGACATTTAGAATGATCAGTTACTAAGAAAAGATCAGTCATAATAAATTGTACATATATTTCACTGAAAATAAGGGAATATCAGATACACCTGTTTTTATCGTAAGTAAGAGGTAATTTTTTTTTTGATTTGCAAAGCAATTCAAAGCAAGCACTTTTGGGAAGGATATTCTGCATGAAGTTTTGAGATCAAGGCTGGTTTTTCTCACCAAATTGGGAATGGAACCAGAGGCTTTAGAAGTAGAAAAAATCCTTCACAGTAAACCAAATTGGGAATTTTTGGAATCATAGCAAACACTTATTTAGTTTTACAAAGTGTCGGCTAATTGACTAAAACATCCATATCCGTGTTGCTGTTGCATTGCCGTCTGGAACTCTCAAAATTTAAGATGACTGTCTGTCAGCCATCTTGGTTTCTGATCAGTCTAAAATTTGATATACGTAATTATGGACCATGGAGAAATTTCTTGTAAAACTTAAGAGAGATCCCTCCAGTACTTTCCAAGAAATAGCTCTAAAAAACTTAAACTCTCAAAATTCAAGATGGCCACCTGTTGGTTTTCCAATCATCCCAAATTTCCATATGCGTATTTTATGGACCATGGGAACCGTTCTTCTGGAATTTGAGAAAGATCCTACCAGTGCTTTCTGAGAAATAACACTAACAAACTTTAACCAAATTCAAGATGGCCACCAAGTGTTTTTCAGAATGGACAGACCATGGACAAGGGGTGATAGTGACCTTCATCTCTGACAGTTTTATCCAAAATGCAAGCATTTCGAGTAAGGGGCATCGAATAAAGGTACCATATAGTATATAAAATTGTCTTTCTTCAGGTATATCAAAGTTTTGCCCTTTGACAAGAAAACCTCTGTATAAAAACTGATTTTGATTCAGTCAAGTGAATTCAATTTACTATGTGGAATAGAACAAGTCTAGTAGAGACAGCAGGAAGGATTTCAACAACGTGGGAAAGGAGAGGATGGGTGACAATAAAAACTTCTCAGAAATCTACAAATTTAATCATTACCTACCATCTGAAATGATCAAAAAATATGATAGACCTCAAATTTTAGGGTATCTGTAGAAATGCACACACTTTAAAGAAACACCACAAAACACTGATTGTTTGTGCAGATCTGTCTAGTTTTCTGAGATCACAACTGAAATAAAATTTGGAACCCAAACTTAAGGATTGTTTTTTTTTTTATTAAAAAGCATCATATACAGATAAAATGAAATATATGTAGCATCTATGTTGCTTCTTATGAGAAAATACCTATCAGTAACAGAACATAGCACTTTGAATAAATATTTTAGATGGAATCCTTTTATCTGGAAACTTTTTATCTATTTATAGAACCCTTTTACTCATTCACCCCTGAAATTTCATAATGAATTATTCCATCCTTTGAATTGGAAGAGTTCAAATGTGTCTACACTTTATAGACGTAAGATTTGACCTTGAATGATCCTGACCTGTGACGAAATGACCAAAGAGAATGTAGATGTTTATAGTTACCTCATACCAAGAACAATTTTGTACAGCAACATTATGCAGCTTGGTGAAGATAAGATTAGAAATAGTTAATTATCAGCTATGGAGCAAAAATTATCAGCCGATGAAATGAAAACAAAGTGAGCAGACGTTAACATAGATATACCCCAGCCCCTTCCAAATTTGTCCGTGACTTTTGACCTTTTAACTTTAATCAATGACAACAAAAACTAACCAGGTGTAGAAGGCTATGTTCCATATTACAGTGTAAGTATAAACAAAATCTGCTGAGGGGTTTGTGAGATATTGTGTACACAATTGCAAGCTTTCTACTTCAAAAGTGGTAAAGTGTGATATTTGTCCATGACCTTTGACCCTTTTGCCTTGACGAAAGACCATCAAAATCTAATCAGGTGAAGAGGTCAATGTTACTGTAATAGGGTGTGAATATAAACCAAATTTCGTGGAGAGATTCATGAGATATCTTGTACATTTACTTTTTACTTTGAAAGTGTCAAAATGTGATATTTGACCTCAACCTTTAACCTTTTAACCGTGACCAACGAACATCAAAATCTATTCAGGTGTTACGGTGTACATACACAAACGGACGGACGGACGCACTGATGAAGTGATTGCTATATACCCAGCCTCACTAGGTGGAGAGTGTAAATAGGGGAATCCATCATGAATGACCTTGACCTTTGCTGAAATAACCTTTAAAAGTAAAGGTGTCTAAGCAGGGGAAAAAAATGTTTATAGAAGCACAAGCAGAAGACAGGCAAATGAAAAGGAGGATACGAAAAATTGACCAAAAGAAGATAAAAAACCCAGCACATTTGTAGAAGAATAACTGTTTTAGTACAAAAACTTCAGAAAAGCCTTAAGAATTTTGTTTGCTGTGTTATAAACTTATGTTTCCTATTATCACATTATTACTTGGACTAATTATTACCTCTAATGGACATTCATAAGTTGTTCCTATTATTGTTCAATTTAATTGGCGCTTATCAATACTGGTGAACATTTAATTTACCTCAAATACTGAATCAATCATCCCTGAGATGTGAGAATGATTTCCTTTTCTCTTTTCACTTCAACAAAACTACATTTGGATCTGTGTTGTATTATGAAAATTCTGTCTTTTAGGTGTTTTTCTTTGGGCAGCAAAATTATTTATAGTGTATCTTGACTTCCTCAATCAATTTTTCACCATTGATTTTAAAATTATTTACAGTGTATCTTGCCTACCTCAATCGATTTTTCACCATTGATGTTACCAGAATGTGTTTTGTTTGAGCTGATTCATACAAGGAAATTGATTAGTATGTAAAAGCAAGACTAACTCAAACCAAGTGCAAGTAAAAACAAAAGAGAGAAATTTCCAACACCTCGAACATGCATAAACAGATATTGTGTATGTCAGAGTGGTTCCTTCAGCAAACATTGGATTTCTACATTACAGTGGTAGCAAGTCTATGATTTTGTCATCCTGCATTAACTTGGATTAAAGTATCAAACTAGTGAAAGGTCTGTGAGCTGAATTTCTGAAAGGTGAACTGGGGTAGGGTGGGGTTGGGGAAGTGTTGGGGAGGGGTAGAGGTGGGGTAGAGGTGGGGTAGGGGACAGGGTAGGCAGTGGTAATATAAAGAGAGAATAGGCTGCACTACCTAGAAGGATAAGTTATTGTATGTATCAGGAAAGGGGAATGAATATGTAGAATAATAGGCAATGATATTAATGGATAATAAGCAGGGATAGAAAGGGGAACATGCAGCAATAGTAAGGGAGAATACTCAGTGATAGGAGAAAGGAACAGACAGATATAGGAAAGGTGAATAGGCAGTGATAGGAGAAAGGAACAGACAGATATAGGAAAGGTGAATAGGCAGTGATAGGAGGAAGAAACAGACAGATATAGGAAGGAGGAATAGGCAGTGATAGGAGAAAGGAACAGACAGATATAGGAAGGAGGAATAGGCAGTGATAGGAGAAAGGAACAGAGAGATATAGGAAGGAGATATAGGCAGTGATAGGAGAAAGGAACAGACAGATATAGGAAGGAGGAATAGGCAGTGAGAGGAGAAAGGAACAGGCAGATATAGGAAAGGTTAATAGGCAGTGATAGGCATAAGGAATAGGCAGTAATAGGAGAAAGGAACAGGCAGATATAGGAAAGGGGAATAGGCAGTGATAGGAGGAAGAAACAGACAGATATGGGAAAGAGGAATAGGCAGTGAGAGGAGAAAGGAACAGCCAGATATAGGAAGGAGATATAGGCAGTGATAGGAGGGAGACACAGACAGATATAGGAAGGTGGAATAGGCAGTGATAGGACAAAGAAACAGACAGATATGGGAAAGAGGAATAGGCAGTGAGAGGAGAAAGGAACAGGCAGATATAGGAAAGGTGAATAGGCAGTGATAGGGAAAAGAAAAAGAGAGATATAGGAAGGAGGAAAAGGCAGTGATAGGAGATAGGAACAGACAGATATAGAAAGGAGGAATAGGCAGTGAGAGGAGAAAGGAACAGACAGATATAGGAAAGGTGAATAGGCAGTGGTATGAGAAAGAAACAGACAGATATAGGAAAGAGGAATAGGCAGTGATAGGAGAAAGGAACAGACAGATATAGGAAGGAGGAATAGGCAGTGATAGGCATAAGGAATAGGCAGTAATAGGGAGAAGGAATAGGCAAAGATATGAGGAAGGAACAGTCAGATAGGGAGGAGGAATTAGCAGAGATATGAGGATAATCAGTGAAAAGAAGGAGGAAAGTTCAAAGAGGAATAATAGGTTATAGGAAGGAGGAAGGGTTTGAATAGGAAAGATTGAAAGAAGAGAGTTGAGGTTGATGAAAGGAAAGAATAGAAATGAGGAAAAAGGACACTATTAATGCCCTATTGGACGTAGCAATATATGAAGAGGTGGGATGTAAGGGGTATTTGTATTGCACCTTTTGGTAGAAGTACAGAAAAGTGGGATGCTATTGCACCTTAAAGTTGTAATAAAGGGAGGGGTCTGATGTGTTAAGGACTATATATAGTTATATCTACCTATTGCCAGTTGTTGATGACATGACAGACACACTCTTGCTTCTTTGTTTTCCATATATTCCAGTCGACTTCTCAGATTACAGCATGTTGAGCAAAACACCTGTAACACCAAACCAATTGTTTATTATTAACAACTGGTTTCTACCTTTTTCACATTCTTGATCCATTTAACTTTTAGAGCTTATTACAAATTGCTTTTGAATAGCTATACAGTCAATAATGAATTATTGTTACTTTACACATAACTATCGTTAATAAGTAATGTAATAAACACAATGAAAATTTTGTGAAGACACCTTCTGGTTACAGGAGAAATACATTTGTTAAAACCAGAATTCAATATAATAGCTTTTGATGTTCATGAGACATTTCCTTACCTGGACACGTCCTTAAATGACCTTAGCTGTTGATAGGACGTTAAACAAAATATAACCATTCTTACTTTGAGAGAAATATATATCTTGACAATAATCAAGGATTTATGTAAGCATGTTTAACAGTAAATAAATTCACCTTTCCACAAGCACGGCAATGATGTCTTCTCTTTGTGAAAGTAAACTTTGCCTCACAACCCATACACAAGGGTGCTTCTGCATCAGGAATCCACCTGGGTGCCACTTTACCCAGGGCATTTTCTGTCGGTGCTGCTGACGGCTCGACATCCATCGTTGGGATGATTTCCTCGGGGACACTACCTACAGCTCCACTCATCTCATCTGGGCTCTCCTCTGGTTCTGAAATCAAAACAAAAAGACTTGACAAATACTGATTTCCTTCGCTTACAATCATTTAAACTTAATAATGAAGGTCAAATCTGGAATGTTCTATCACATATATCAATCTTTAACAAGAAACTTAGTCGATTTTCAATTATTTAAAAAAAAAAAAAAAGTATTTTTTTTAATCTTTAAGAAGTTTAGTAATTTTGCTTTCTTTATAATTGTGTTATTTTTTGAGTTGAAATATATTGTAATAAAGGTTGACTTAATTATGTGGTATTTTCCTGCTCAGGGCTTCAGATTTTTTTTTCTCGATAACTACTACATACTATTACATGTTAAATACAAGTCCTTATAATTATATAACAGATATGAATACGTACCCTTTGTTGGTGCTTCGGTGGCAGGTCCTTGGACATCAGCTTCAGGTGTTTCCATGGATTCAGGTGTGGCCGTTTCCACGTTTGATTCCTGATAAGGAAATATAAAGGGAGCTTGTGTCCTCTCAGAGTTACCCACAACCAAGTCGCCCCGGGACGGGAGATTTAGACTGTTAGGACGTTTTTGTTGAGGGGGCACCGCCAATGTGGGTCCTGCAGGGCTCCAAGAACTAGGTCGTTGTGAGTCATTAGTATAAGGAGGAGGATCATGTGACCTCCGCATTACAGGTGCGTCTTCCATGTCTACATCCCCGGCCTCTCCCTCTGACAGCCCGTGAGAGGCAGGGTCAGTCACACTTTTGCTCGCCTCAATTTCTTCGTCGACACAGCGATTCACGACATCAGTTTTTAGTGCATCATCAGCCTCTGTTTGACAGTCGTGGTTTGCCTGTATACACTGAATTATTTGGCTGGCTATAGGCTCCAGGGAAGAAACACCTTCAGTGCTCAGACAAACTTCCCCATTCTCCTCGGGACTGGAAACCACACCAGGCTCTTTTGAGATATTCGATGGTGTCTCGAAGGGAACAATTGACAAGCCTCGAAGGCTGTTGGGTCGTGACAGTTCCTTGGGACGTGCACCTTCCCCAAATGATGATATTGAGCTTCCTGTTGGTGAAGTCTGTCCATCCAGAGCAATGTAGTTTTGGATAGCAGTACTGGGTGAGGTAAGTCCCGTGTCTGCCCGAGGAGGGTACATTTCTATCACAGGCGAATCAATGATCCTTTCCTCTCCTGAAATATTCACTTGCTTATTTTTCAAACAACTCACATCACACGAACCTTCATCCAAATTGCCAGACATAACTTGTTCATTGGTAGTTCCCGGTTTTGAGGTTTTATTTGCAAGTGCATTGACCAAATCAAAGTTTTTTGCATAACCTCTTTCGTTTAATATATTTGCATGGTTAGGACTTGTAATATCCACGCCCGACTGTTGGTCACCGGCGACCATTGATCCTGGATCACACTGCATACCATTTAAGTAAGAATTAATGTCGCTTTCTGTCATGTCACTATCAACCTCACCAAATCCGACCACATCGCCAGTGGCATTGGCGTTGGTAGACATTTCTACGGAGTTGCCAGTCATGTCAGATATTTTGGGAGCGTCCATTCCCACTCCTTCACATTGCATTGTGGCCTCCTCTTGGTTAACATCACTTGGTTCTATTTCTAGTTCGCTCCCAGCGACAAACCCATTGGTCGGTCTCTCATTATCCATTTGCATTGAATTAGAATTGTGACACTGATTCGGAGACAAATCTGAACTGTTTATATGCTTGGTAACCAGATCTGTGACAGGCAGGGCCTCGTTCTGACTAGATAAAGACGATACTTGTGAATCAGTTGCGTCCATTTCGTTACGACCCATCAAACTATCTTCTTCCTCCATTGGACTTTCACTTAACAGGGGCTTATCAAACCCTCCATTTGCAACAAAGTTATTACTTTTGCTCTCATCCAGATGATTTGGCATGTGCTCAGTTACTCGACTAATATCTGTTGGCACTGAAGGTTCAAATTGTTTATTTTCCACAACCGGCGTAAACCTGTCCACAACCTGTATTGGGTATTTGCAGTTAGTGTTGTCTGCAACAAACACCGTCGTTGATTGTCCTCCCTTATTCGGGGAGTGTAAATTAGAATTTGGACTTAAGTTTTGCTCCGGTGATATCGACTGATCTTCCGTCACTTTTGTATAATCGTCACCCGCCGTATCCACGACCACATCATTACGTTTACAACTTAGATCTATCGTACCGGAATAATTGTTGATAACATTGGAATTACTCACTGTGGAAAAAGAATTGAATTGCTTGAATTCACCTTGAACATCATTGTCCAATTTTCCGTTGTCTTGGTGACCTGTAGTTACTGCTTTTAGCAAATTTTCTTGCTTTTGAATAGCGTTTTGAATATCGTTGGTAAAGTTATCATAGATATCTTCCACTTTTGTATCTAGAGGCCCTGTGTATGTACTTTTCCCACTTTTCCCAACAGACGGTGCAAAGTCGGCTTCAGACAAGTCGAATGTTTCTGCCGGAATATAGGGTACATCGTAGACAGCCGTTGAGCATTTTTCATCCTCAGAGCTGTAAGATGTCCATGCAGAGTTGGTACTGATTGGTACTTGACTAATTTCGTCCCAGGGTCGATCATCGTTGGCATTGATATATTCAGAGTAGTCTGTAGGGGACTGACGAGTATTCCGTGATGATTCCTTCTCTGAAAATTAAGTTGATTTATACAACATGAACTGAAGTGTAATTGAAAGTAAGATTACAAAAGAAAGCGTGCATCGCTAAAATTATTTTTGCAATCAAAGTATAAATATGTTGTAAATCAATTTTTTTAACAAAGAGCAAACTATTTATTTTTGTATTTCAAGATAGAAGAAAGTACAACATGTATTATGTTGCTTTTGAAATACAATCTAAGACTCTTATTCTTTCAAATAATCCAACCAACTTGACAATAGAAAATATCTTTGATATGGAACTATTTTTGTGCATTTAATTTGTATCAATTGTTTACAAGTAATGTATATATATTTATATAACAACCTGAAATTATATACAGACACAACACTGTATATAACTATTTTTTTCAGTGCTAAAATGTTTTGGTGATATAGTAATTTTCAAATTTAAAGATTATGTGTATCAACCAATCATCTGTCACAAACTCTAGCATCTAAAAATCAGTATAAAATTAAATATGCCAATCAGACTATGCTTATAAACTTTTTACCTTCTGCTTCAAAGTCGTCCAGCACTTTGTCAAGGTCCACAATGAGACTGTCCATCATGTATCACCACATCTTTGTCTGTATGTACCTGTAACCACGTAACACCTATTAGTTCCTAGTTTTGATTGATGTGTGACAGGGAAAATCCTGGAGGGAGCCATGGGGCCATTGATATGTTGCAATTTTCGTTTAATTTTACATAGAATGGCCCCTCTTAATTTTGATATTGTCTAAAAAATTGCTGAAATGGCATTGCTCTCAAATTTCAAAAAACCCCTGGTATGTTGTTATTTTTACATTTCTGTGAATTCGAAAAAAAACCACGTTTGTGCCTAGCTAAATGACAGGCTTTGTGCTAATTATATACATGTATATTAGATGATACACACATTTCAAACAGCCTCAATAGTTGGATCATAATCACATGGAGGTAAGTGCTCTGTGATATTTGACTCAGAGTTACTATTTTAGAAATAGCAGGTCAACATTAACATTATAATGTCATTTCAATTTTAACATCACTTTGTTTATTGCCAAATGAAACAAAAAATTTCTCTGTACAATTTTAATACATTCCATCTTGGTTAATGATAGAATTCCAACGGAGTGTAGACAAGACGGCAGAATCTTGCTAATAGATGATTTATTCAGGCATTTCAATTTCTATCATCAAGATTTTGTTGTCTTGTCCATGCTCCATAGTATAATTCATTGATGAGCTGTTAGCGGGGACTCTGTAGTCCATATAGTATAATTCATTGATGAGTTGTTAGCGGGGACTCTGTAAACTACATTCGTACATGTATCTACAGCGGTAATCATCTGAATTGCACAAGATTTTGAACTTAAAAGGGAGGTTGTGTTTGCAACCCCATTATGTTGTTCAGGATTGTTTAGTGATAAAAACATTATTTAGCATCTAATACAACAATTAAAGACTTCTATTTCAGTAAATAAGTGGTTATAAGGACCTGAGAGGGTGATATCGACCGAGATGAAACCAAACATTCATCTCCAACAAAAGTCCATAATTGATAGATATGTTTATAGTGTTACTTAATTAGTAATGTATACCCTGGTGTTGGATTATTTAAAGAATCATTGAAGTTCATAATTGATAAATATGTATGTACCCTGTAGTACTAGTGTTACTTAATTAGCAATGTCCACCTAGGTGTTGGATTTAAAGAAACATGACCATGAAAATGAACTGTGTATAAACCTATATATATTAGTTACAGGCAGCTTGAAATGGTAACAGTATTTAACTTGAATCAAAATGGAGTTAGATTGCAACATTAATCTATTTGCTTATTATCAATTTAATGTCTGCTATAATATGTATAAACGCAATGTACACAAATATTGATTCATCATAAACATGTATCAAGTGTTCCAAAGGCTATATTTAGCTTAGAAAAATAGGGAGCAGTTTCCTCCTGTGGTATTAACAGTATGTTTAAACATCAGCATTCTCCGACAAAAACTCCTTGATAATTTCTGGAGCTGTTGACCTTTGACTCCCTGCATGTGTTATCACACAACATATCAAAATCATGGTATCATGACTGTAAATATCTTAATAAGGTTCTTTTGATAATGTTGTGAAAGTTTTTGACAGATCAAGCCCTTTTCACCTTGAAACAAAATCAAGGCTACAAATAAGGGAAATTCATTCCTGTTTCTTACTGGAAATTGCAAAATTTATGATCCTAGGTCTTTAGTCTTAAGATTAAGCTTTTAAAAAGAGTCTTGTTGGACAGACAGCAGACTATAAGCTCACAGATCTAGATGGTTTGGTGCCAGGTCAGCACGAAGCTAGAAGGCAACCATAAACATATGTACAACTAAAATCTGCCACACATATCCCCCTTTTTAAACATGTTTACCCTTGAACAACACAATAACCCCCAATAACTTCCTGTCACCATGGATGGGAGCTAGGGCACATGTACAGGGGAGCTAGGGCACATGTACAGACACCATTTGTAACAGTAAAGAGAGTAGCGTGCTTCCATCGGGGATCAAAGTCACAACCCCCAGCTTTCCAGTCCTCCACTCTACCTATTGGGCAAAAGGGAAATTCCCTTTAGTATGTAGCCAGAAGGCGACTGTAATCCAATGTTCAATTAAAATCTGCCCCAAAACTAACAAGCCACATGCCATTCTGTCTGGTTATATATATAAGTGGTTACACATGTACTGAAATATCAGCTTCTTGACCATATATAAAAAGTTTGGAAGCTTTCCATTGGTGTCTACAACTATATCAACTATATCAGAACACTTGTTGTTCCACTTCACCCAACATAGATATCATATGAAGAAATGTATCTTGCATGTAAACTTCACACCAATAAAAATCTTAAACGTGCATAGTCTACCAAACAAAATAACCCATTTATAAGGACTCGTTTCTGTAAATAAACCTATAATTTAATTATAAAAGTTGAATAAACAAGTAGCTGCGGTGTCGAAATAACACAAAGGAGACTCAAAGTATTCCAATTCATAGTTCACACATGATTTTCCATGTCAATGTTGTTGGTTTCACATCTGTCGTTTCCTGACCTGTAATTTGACATGAAATATTTCGTTCAGATTCGAAGTAATGTGATCAAATTACAGTAAAATTCATTCAGTTATATTCAAATGAAATCATAAATACCATATAGCCCCGTTCTATCCTACATAAGTGTCCATAAATGGAAGTTTTTCTTTCCAATTGGGATGGACGTCAACTGCGGATGATCTCATCTTATATTGATGCAGACAGCAAGGTCAAGGTAGTTTTAGAATCACATGACCTAAACCGGAAACGGAAGCGATCAAACTGAAAGTAGAAATGTGGTTGGTGTCGCGAAGTCGCGTGTTATCTTTACGACAGTTTCGTTTGGTTATTTCACAAACACGAGACATACATGTGACATCTAATAAACTTCGACACAGCAAAAATATCATGGCTCATGTAAAAGAAAATCTTAAACCACAAAATTTCCAATATTTTCTTGTTTTGGATTTCGAAGCAACATGTGATGACAACAAAAAATTACATCCACAGGTAACATTTAATTAATATTTATCATATTATGCCGAATAAATCCTTTGTAAGTATTTTGCTATATCACTTTCAAAAAATACATAACCAATATCGTCTATGATGAAAAATCAAAACGTTTGTATTCGATGTAATGTATTTCGAATTTGGAGAAAATCGGTCCAAAATAAGTATCTCCTTTTTAACATAATTTGAAGGGGGGGCAAGAGATGGTCAGATCTTCCTTCATAAGGCATAAGGTCTTTTTGAAAAAATGTGCCCTAGGTTTATTGTGCACTGAATTAATATTTCCTTGTATAGTGGAGCATGATGGTAAGATTATCTACATTTATCTCTGCCAATGTGCCAGTAAACTTTATAAAAAATGTCGGCAAAGTTCATTTCAAAACTTCATTTAACAGATTTCCTCAACAGGGTCTATTTTGTTGACAGGTGTTTCTGTCAATCTTGTGAGAAAAAAGGTTTTTCCTATGGTGTGTGTCTATAATACATGTCACTACATTTCTTTCTAATTTGACTAAACCTGAAAGAAAGAACCAATTAATATTGATACATCATCAATATATGTTAAAGATTTCTCTCAACTATGCTACAAGTGGGTGTAATATGACCTTGATTTTTTTTTTTTGGTCTGATGTCTGACATCACATATTTGATGAAAATGGTTGACAGAATCTGCAAAAAAAAAAATGGTCTCTATAGATTTGAAATTGTCATTGTCATCATTTTTACCAGTGCAGTGATAAAGATATATTTTTTTTTACCTTTCCTGAAGCCATCTGTGTACGGTAAGTATGTAGACATGCTCTCAAATACAACATAATTTAGTGCACACCAGATACAGTGAAATTTTCTTTAAAAGGAAATAGTTAGTTATTTCGGAATGGTGGAAAGAGTAATTGCTTCTAGAAATAATTATTAATTTTCATCAAAATCGTGTCATGTCCCAATAAAATGTCTTATAGGTATAATTTACACTTTTATATAAGATTAAAAAAAACCCCAACATTTACATTTAATTATAAAGAAAATGATATTTAGGAACGAAAGCATAAGACCTACTTATAAAGGTATAATAGGATGTTGAGAAGTACATCTATTTTTACAATATGCTTTATGAATGTTTCAGGAGATAATAGAATTTCCAGTTGTGATGCTCAATGCCGAGACGTTGGCTACAGAATCTGTTTTTCATGAATATGTACAGCCACGTGTCCACAACCGTCTTACTCATTTCTGTACAAATGTAAGTATCCCAAGTTACACAAGTTTGGTCACTTGACTGTAAGATTTTCTTTTTGAAGAAATGACAAGAACTGATCTTTTTTGTTTGTATGAAGTATTTTATTTAAAAATTGTAGACTACTTACAATGTTTTCTTTTTTCTACAATTCGTTTTGTCAGTTGCTCAAAATTAAAATTTTAACATTCATTTGAAAACTGCATAAAACTTAGACGTATCATGTTTTATTGTCTTCTGTGTTTTTACCTGGAGTTCATATGTGGGTGATATAACATATCAGATCATTTAGAAATCCTCGTTGTTAGTCTCGTTTATCATTCTGATGTACATTTATTTGAGTGATCAGGGTTTTCCTATGTCCTTTTTGGATACCCCCCCCCCCCAAGCAATTCCCCTAATAACCTGATGTTAATTTTCACAATTGCCTTCCTTAAAATTACTAAAAGAAAACCACCAAAAACAGAAAACGAAACTTAATTTTTACCTTTTGCTGTGGTGTGGCCTCTACCAACCGAATGAAGTCACCATTTTCCCTTTGAAACACTGTTAGTCCAGAACGGCTGAAAACGTAGATTTCGACCAAATTTGGTCTGGAGCATTGTTGGGCAAAGGGTACTCAAAGATAAATATAAAGGTGGGGTGTCCCCCACCCCAAGGGACACTTTATTTTGCATACTATTCAGTTTTCACAGTTGATAGTATTGAATATTCTAATTTTTGGACCCTGTTAAAAAAATCCATGGCATAGTCCTGGAAACTTTTGTTTGTACATCATTACATGTGATACTACCTTTTACAGATAAAATGTATGAAATGTATTTCCACTCCATTGATAAGTTCTGTATATTATCTCATTTCTAAAACAGTTAACGGGAATCATTCAAGAGATGGTTGATGGACAAGATCACATAGAGGATGTATTGAAGGTCAGTTTTTACACATTCATTAACTCATTCCCCCCCCTGAAGACACATTTGAACTCTTCCAATTTAAAAGTTGGAATAGTTCATTATGAAATTTCAGGGGTGTACTTATTGAGCTTTCAACCCAACAGCATTCTGCAGGGTCCGACAGTAACACTAGTCCTTTTGATCGAGACTAGTAAATTTCGGCAAGGACTAGTGATTTATATATAACATAACTGGTCCTTTGAATGCATAAAAAAGATCTGTTATCTCAATATCATTACATAGATTACAATATAAGAATAGTTCTTTTGAAGATGTGCTTATATACAATTCAATAGAATAATGATTATCAAAATTGTATCTCAAATATTAACAAAACTGTGTTGTTTACCATCACAAATATTTCAAATGTCATTTTAATCAGTAAATGAGATTGACTCAGATGGTGAACTGTGTACTGGTATGTTATAGAGTGGTATATACATTACAAATTCATAGCAAGAAAAGTTTGATATTTTTTCTATTTTTTTTAAAGTAACGAAAAGCAGTAGGAACTTGTCTTATAGTTTGTGCCTCTTTTGATTGGTATTCTTTCCTTCCCCAGAAATATGACAATTGGATGGAGGAGAAATTGCTGAGTAAGGGCCATACATTTGCGTTTGTGACATGTGGCGATTGGGATCTTAAAACAATGTAAGCTTTACCATGACAACCAATAAAATTATTCTGTATTATTATCACTGTGTTTTAAATGCTACCAATACCCATAGCGCCTGTAAATATCCAAATTGACATTTATGTTTTACGTTTTCGTTTGTTTGATGTCATTTATCAACCATTTATTGGCCCTAATGACCTTTTTTATGTGTTGATGGGCGGTTGAGAATAATAGTACATAGTAATAAATGCTTAGACTGTTTTAAACACAAACAGGAATTGAAAATTTGTTTTGCAAGCTTTCCCAAGCGTCGGTTGCCTTTGTCAAGCAAAGAGTGCAAATGAGTGGTATCTCGACTCTTTACCACTGAAAACAGCTCACTAAGCCACGATGTGCTGAGTTAATTCAGCTGTCAAAAACATAAAGAGACATTTTGCCAAATAGCACTCTAATACTACAGGCAGTCAAGAGGGACCCATTCTGCCCGGACTTTTTAATAATGATGTTTAAACCTTATGCAAAATATTTTCATGATTAGTAGTTGTTAAAGTTGTTAATTTCCATCCAATACATTTAGTAAACTTGAATTACGGTAAACTATAAATGTACATATTTTAGCAATGATCTTAACACTTTTCAAGCTTAAAGTATTGCGCTAAGTTATGATTGCATTTGATAAAGTATTGTAAATTGTTTTCTATTGAATATACTGTGGTTGCATCAATTCACTGAACTGCCAAGTGGTTAAGGCATCTGACATTCTGCTACCACTAGCCCTCCACCACTGGGTCGCGGGTCTGAGGCCTAAGTGGGGGCAGTCACCAGGTACTGACTGAAGGGTCAGTGGTTTTTCTCCAGGTATTCCGGCTTTCCTCCACCACCCAAACCTGGCATGTCCTTAAATGACCACAGCTGTTTATAGGACATAAAACCCAAACATACCAACCAAATCACTGATCTGTCAACATTTGATAATGCACTATACTAAGTATGTTAACAGTGTTACTAATATAGACAGTTCTGTTTTATTTCTCAGGGAGGGTCCGTTGGTTATGTAAACTTGGGAGTGCACTCCTGGTGGCCCTCAAAAGTTTACCTGGAGACCTAAAAGGGCATTCAAATCCAGACAGAGTGGACTCTGAGTGTACTTTATGTTACCATTAGTCTCTGCATGAACATGTAGCTGCGGACTATATACTCCCCACTTGATACGCACATCAACTTGTTTTGTGATCACTGATTTACATTACATATGGTGTATCTGGTTTAAAATATAATTTGTGTTATTTGCATCTTGTCTTTTTCTTTTAGGTTACCAAGTCAGTGTGATTACTTTAATATTAAAAAGCCGTCCTATTTTAATCAGTGGATCAACATAAAAAAGGTAAGACATTGTACATGGTTGAATGCCTTGTATACTAGAATACACATAGACACGTTTTCACGTCTGTTGGTTTATTTCTGTCTTAAATATTTGTCCAGTCATCCATTGGTATATTCTGTCCATCTCTGTTTGATGCTGTGAATGTCCTGGAATTGTGTTCTATTATACTCCATGAACCAGCTGGTAAGCACAACTCTTCCTAATCTGCTTGCTGGATATTTTTTTTTACTTTAACACAGGGAAAGTACATCATATGCAGATGTGCACGCAGAAAGAAAGGAATTTGCAATTTGACTATTTTTTCTAGAGTTATGGCCCTTGAAACTTAACAACTTTAAATTTCTGCTCCAGAAAAATTGTAAGCACAACTCCTCGATAATCGTTTGTTAAATTATTTTGTAACTTGGCACAAGGAAAGTACATCCTATGTAGATGTGCATGAAGGAAGGGATTTGTGATTCAATTAAATACCTAGATACGATTAAGTTGGGGGTATATCTTTGTGAGAATGCTCACAGTTTCTCTAGTTTGTAAAGTCATCTATTTATGTATTGTCCAAATTCATTTGTTACTAAGAATAACCGGAAATAATATGGAACATAGTTTGTATATGCAATAATGAACAATTTTCTGATGAAAAATCAAGTTCTTCTGCGAAATTTCTTTTTGCCTTCAAAAGATCAAAAATGTGTAAACTAAAGTAGGATAAACTTTTTAAGTGTCCATCAATATGTTACATTGATCTTAAGTTGTCACCTTTCTAGATATGTGACATGATCTTCAGTTGTCACCTTTCTAGATATTTGACATGATCTTCAGTTGTCACCTTTCTAGATATGTGACATGATCTTCAGTTGTCACCTTTCTAGATATGTGACATCCAAAAAGTAACATTTTTATTTTTATTTGTTTTTCTCTGATTTTTCAGGAGTATGCTGCAGCTACCAGTAAATATCCAAGGGGAATGCCTGCCATGTTGGAAGGTTTATCGCTAGATCTCGAAGGCCGACATCATAGTGGAATAGGTAAACCCACCAAGCCAGCTGGGATAGAATTACCTTGGTAGCAGGGCTTGTAAATCTGGGATAATACCCAAGATATCATGGATTTATAATCTGGGGTGATATAGGAACTGCAAAAAGCTAGTATCAGCAAGAACTGTTTGTCCAGTCATCCATTCACGTATTCTGTCCAATTAAAGTATCAGCCAGAATTCTTTGTCCTAGCTCTGAATTATCTTGAATTATCCCTGCTCTAAACAACTCTTTTTTTTAGATTAGATTAGCTTTGTCTCTCCCAGCTTTCTGATATCCTTACTATTCACAGGAAATGTTTGGTTCTCAAGCATGTATTAAGTGTGCTGAGACCATAAAACTAGTGTGTGGTACCCATTTTTCTTATGCTTGTTCACATTTAGTAGTAGGTCAACATTACAGTGGTTTTTTTTAAGCCTTGAATATGGAGAATATTATACTTTTGAAGTTGTCAATAGTTCCATAAGGGTATTCTCGGAAATCCAAGTTTTAGGTGTTTTTCTTTTCTTTCTTGGACATCAATAAAACTGTTCCCATAACATTGTGGAGCAACTGATTGAAATAAATGACATGATATGACTTACAGTAAATTATCAATTTGAAGGGAAGATGAAATTCTTCACCAGCAGATGATTTAATAACTTAACAATTTTCCCTTTTTTCAGATGACAGCAAAAATATAACTCGAGTCGTGGTTGAATTGCTGAAGAAAGGACACGTGTTCAAAATGACTGGACGGCTATAGGAAACCTTTCAGCTAGTGTTCTCGACAAAGTGTATGGAACCCAGAGAGAATGTGTTTAGTCTCATTAACGATGATCCTGCTTCTCAGACCTTGTAAACCTCTTGTTTCGTGATGTCAGATCCGTAACACAGAAATAGCAGCAGCCTGGCTCAAGATGGAGTTATTTTAAGGAAGGGATAATGAATTGAAGTGACTGTGGATCCAACAAAGTTTCATAAAATTTGGGTGAAAACTTTTGGTCAGGATCTGCGGACATGCCTGATGTATTATTTCCCCATTATTGTGTAAAACTTCTGTAGCTTTCAACTGACAGGATGGGGCCAACAAAAGCTTAAACAAAGGGATTTGTGTGTGTGTAAGTGTAAATTTTGTTATTGAATATGAATGTTTTATGTCAAAGAATGTTTTGATTTACTAAAAATATCGGTCTACATGGAAACTGTATAGTTGAAATACATACTTTTAAGTAATAAATAAACTGTTTTGTCTTATATTCTTTGTGATTTTATTTTTTTTATTTTTGCAAACCTGGTACTTGATGAAGGCGTTAATCTATTAAATGTATATGAATGATTTACCGTTTTCACTTTTCAAACTTTATTTTTATGTATTTTGATGAAACTTGTTACATGTATTCAATGTTAACTTAAATATTTTGAATGCATTGGATACTTAATGCTTTCAGTCAGTATTTATAGCTGCTGCTGCTCTTATTTGGTCACTTCAATATATTACCACCCTACAGAATTTATTATATCTGGATTTCCACCTAATTAAGTACAGATATTCATAATACCGATAAATATATCTTGGATGAGTTTTTTACACAATCTATTCTATCTATTTCTATCAGAGTTATTGCCCTTGGAAGGATTTCTTCTCTAGAAGGCACATTTTCAAGTAAACTTGAACAGATGTTCAAAACAAAAATATTCTGTCATGAATCTAATATTCAACATATTCCCCAGGGATTCCTCTTGTTCAGGTGAGATAATAAACCTAGGGATTCCTCTTACTCAGGTGAGATAACAAAACACAAAGTTATTTCCTCTGCAGGTATATTTATTATTTAGATATCAAGTATGTATCAAAACATAGTACACATGATTAAGTTGGCAAGGAAGAAATCCATTGGTTTCACTGTAATAACATATTTTAGGAATTTGCTACTAACAAAACATATAAACATATGTTGTACAGATTTACCAACTATTCAAAAAATGAAAGACAAGAAAATATGGAATGCACCTCTCACATACACATCCTAAAACACAACTGCACGCATACACATCCATACACCCATCCACACAAACATACCCATACATAAAGACCCTCACATCCACACCTTTCCACACCCACACACATACAAACTCACATAGGCCTAAACATCCACATGCTCACAGCATGAGTGAACCCCAAGTTGACCTACATTCTCACTTTAACAACATCTTGTAATTATATAATATGTGGTTTTATTGCACACAAATGCTTTTTTCTCTATCTTTAACTCTGGATTTACCATCACACTGTAACATTCATCATTAGACTGAATCTCCCAGTCCCCTTCATGTCAGTTAAGTCAGGCTTCACTATAAATTTTCACACATATACCTATGTGCTTTACTTGGCATGATACACACAAACTGTAAATACTGTTGCTGCAGCATAATTGTACAATAGGTTCGATGGAGACACTCAATAATTCAGCAGGGAAACAATTTCTAATATCACACACCATGGAAAGTAATTTAACAAGAAAACGCTTATTTTAGTACACACTTATGGAATTGAAACACGACTGAAGGAATTGATTGTTGGTAGCAGTTTGTTATGAGCGGGGTTATTGATTCATGAACTAGTGAACAATTTATAATGATGCTATCGTAGTTCATGTCAATGTAAGGCATCAAATGCATTCATCAGCCCATAATAACAACATGGTTCATAAAATCATCAAAAACTTGTTATCAACATGTACACAAATAGAGTATTTCAAACAACTTCACATTACAAAGAATCTTTATATACCGTAATGAATTACAGCCAGTTTCACAAAGGGGATGGACACTTGTTTGAGATTCTATTCATCACAAACTGAACCAAAAAATGTAAAAGCACACATTTTGTGAATAAATAGACGGGGGAAAATCAAATTAAAACAACGATTTTCCTTGTGATGTCACACAGGATGTTACTGTACCCATTATATCGTGATGATTATCTGATAGCTTTTCAACAATAGTCAAATCATGTAGAAAAGAATCTTCCATAATTTTATGTTTAAACTGTTTTTCAACAATAGTCAAATCATAAAGAAAAGAATCTTCCACAATTTTTATGTTCAAACTGATACAGGACTGAAAACATTTTGAAATCTACAGTATATTAATTTCATAAAATTCAGTTTTAAGTTAAAAATCGAAGTTGACGAGACTCCCCATTTCATGTTGTATGGTTATATCTTCTTTTGAAATTCGTCTGGCCTGACTAGTGAATTCTATCTAGGAATCCATTAACTGGGGTAGGCTGATCCTTGCTGAAAATACTTCTAGCGGATCCTGGATCTCATTCTCCATTGTATAAAATTTAATTATGCTTAAAAAAAAATACTCTCTAAACTCTTACATATGTCAAGCTCAAAATTCAGCCTCCTTACTTTCAATATGCTGTGTACTTGGTTGCAATGCACACATAAGTTTTCCTTTATACGAAGTAGATAAAAAGAATTATTAATTACCGTGCACACATGGATATCACTAACCTTGGTTTCAATTTGTAGATTAAGGGAAGACTGAAGAATTTTCAATAAAAACATAATCTCATGCCCTAAAGTTTGAGCTCAACACTGCTTGGTACCAGTCTCCCCTGTCTATAGGACACCAAACTTGATGTCCCTAGCCTCAATGTCACGTGAATACTGCTTTAGCACTTCCACAGTCCACTTAAAAGTATGTTTTCACACAAATGTGAACACTTCCTTGAAGACGTCGAACTGTCACAGATGGCCTCTAGAAGACGTCGGACTGTCACAGATGGCCTCTAGAAGACGTCGGACTGTCACAGATGGCCTCTAGAAGACGTCGGACTGTCACAGATGGCCTCTAATGAATGTTTTTGTTTAGACAAATATATCACCTAAAGTGTTTCTCATTGTAATCATGTAAGTTGATAATTACATATATGATGTGATTATGTACACCTGTGATATCAAAATGCCACACTATTACATGTGATGTCATGTTGTTGACCTGTGACACTGCTGTTGACCTGTGACACTGCTGTTGACCTGTGACACTGCTGTTGACCTGTGACACTGCTGTTGACCTGTGCAATCATTACGCAGACTTGTAATGTCACACAGTTACATATAAAAAAAAAAATTGCTCTGTGTTTTCACACTGTCATGTGATGTACGTCACTTCCTGGGGCTGTGATGTCATTGCACACCGATGATGTCATTTTGTTGGCCTGTGATGTCATTTCATGTGTCTGTGATATGTCACACCATTATTTATCATGTATTTTATTTTTGCTCTGTGATGTCACACTGTCATGTGATGTCACTGCCTTTGGCTGTGATGCCACGGCACACCTGTGATGGCACTTCATGTGTCTGTGATGTCACACCATGGACGCCCAGAGGTGGTAGCAGCAGACATTGACAAAGTCCTCCACATGTGAGTGCATGCCCAGTACATTCAGGTTAGGGTTCTCTGGACTGTGTTCCTGGTCTGTGAAGGACTCTCGGAATATCGCACACAGTTCCTGCAAAAACAAACCAAAGTTAAGCCTATGAAAACTCTATTAGTTATGCTAAAGTAAATGCATGGCAAACAAGGGTTCAAAGGCCTACTGTACATGTATTTGCTGTGATAAGGTCTACTGTATTTGCTGTGATAAGAACCCCTTCCCCTATAAGTGCCCATCCCATTATTTGGGAGGAATTGAAAATATATTAACTGCCTCTCCCTCACAGGCCTGACTAGGCCCTGTTAAAGATTCATAGTAATTACACTTCCAAGCAGAGATTTATGTCAGGTGAACATGGCTGGAAGTAGATGAAACATTTGATTTCCAACTCTTCTGCCACACTTGAATGTTTATAATGACCTTTGGTGACAACACTGGTTTAGCTTCACAACTTTTTTCCTTCATAACTCACATTTCATTATCCTTATAAGTGCCCCTCTTTAAGCATTTGTTTTTAAATACCCTGGGCACTAATTACGACAAATACAGCATACAGTATTCATATTAGTTACCAAACTTTTACACATTGAAATTTTTCAGGAGAATTGGAAGTGATTGCTATATTATCTTGGGGCTTGCTGGTTTTAGTCTGTTACATCACTTTAGGTTTCTGAAAAACAATTTTGAAAGAACATTCTTAGCCCTGCTCTGTACATGCAGTGTACTAACAACTGTAGGAATTGACTTCTGAACTTACAGCAAGTGATCCCACTTTGTCCTCATTTAGGATCCCTAAGGGGCTCAGGCCTACCATATGAACAATCATGAATTGCAATGCTCAACTTATGATACATGTAAAATGATAAAAGAAACTTAACCAGATATTAAAGTATAAAATGCGAAAAAGTTTGAAACTGGATGACAGATTCTGCAGCTGAGAGATTTCCATACAGCTACTTACTGTCCTTTTCTCCGTGTTGTCCAACATCAGCATCATAAACATGTCCAGGTAGTTAGGATTGAGGATGAGCTGAAAAATAAACATGTTTTGTCTTAAAACAACAGTATCACAATTTGTAACAAACCACTTAATTAAAACATTTCACTTATGAATGTAGCATAAGTTATTTTCGTTCAAATGTGTTTCAGAGCAAAACGGACAACAAAATAGGATTTCAAAAGAGGAAACAAAATAAGACCTCTATGAATGAAATATATAAATTGTCTTACAATGTACTGTGTTTGTCCATCGTGACTGAAGAAGCAGCGATGCGTGTCAGGATAATGCGTCTGTATGACCCGGAACAGGCCTTTGTACCACAGGAAGTTCATGGTCTGAAGCTGGATGAGCATCGGGTCAAGCTCACCCAATGGCGTCCTCACAACCTTCGCCAATAGCTCCAGGAACTCCTCAAACGACAGCTTCTGGTACTGTAAAACAGACATACTCATAACTACATAGCAGAATCTCAAAAGTCCATTGGTATTACATGTAGTATCAATTTCCATTAGCATTTCCTTTGTCAGTTAATACACGGACTGAAGAAATAAAAAGTCATATATAAACTTTTATTATGAACCTCTGCTCAACATCAATGTCCTTACAAGCCAATATATGTGACAAGTTACATATATATGCAAAGGCTTAAATTATGGTCTTAGATTTAAATTAATTCTCAGACATGAAATTATTCAACGTGACAGACCACAACGTCCACTTAACATATGTGCAAAATAAGATGAATACAACTTATTTTCTCTATAACGTTAATCGTGTATTCTACTCACCCAATCTCGACTCTCTTCCGTCTCGCTGCGTTTTTTACGTCTCCCGTCCTCCTCGGATTGTTCCCCGACCAACATGCGCTGCCACAACAAATCTTTACGACATTTTTCTGTCGAAACTTCCACCATGCTCTCAATTTTCTCCCTGGAAAAGAAAACATCACAAGTCAGTATTTTACAGTTTAAATACATTTTAATGTTACGGTATATTTCTAATGGCGTAGTGCAATGTTACACTCAAGTTTCATTTTTAGCAATATAGAACATGCTGATACTGAAGTTCTATTTTATATCAGAGTCTCTATATAGACTGGTGTATTATGAGTTATTATACAGTTATGGACTTTTGTGCTGGTGAATATGATGTGATATGAACCTGAAAAGGCAAAGCCGAGGTCAATATCATTTTTTTCAGGTTAATATCACATAACTGTTTTATCATATGCTTCACATCATATTTACTAGCACAAAAGACCATAACTGTTTTACTATATGCTTCAACAATAAAATTGTGTATAGTTAACCTTTACTAGAAGGAGCCTTCGTGTAAAATTTAGCCTGTGTTGAATATAACAGTTCGGCATTGTGGCTTTCGAAGACATCGTCAAGGTTCTTTTCCTTAAGATAAGCATGGAGGACACGCACTTCGTGTTCGGTGGACTTTTTTGTGTTAACAGCATTTTTATCTTCGAGTAGTTTTTGGAAATTTTCAGATTTAACAACGGAGACGAAGTGTTCGCCAGCAGCCATCCTCTATTGGATTTGGTGTAGGATATATTGCGTTCCTTTCTAACTGCGCTTGCGCTAAGACAGGTTTCGGGGAATTTCCATATAGGCTATATTTAGAAATCGATATTCACCGGATAACCAGTCTATAGCTACATGAGTCTTTGAGGACTGATCACGTGTATAAGATCCGACCAATGTGATTGCGAGTAATTTTCAAGCATATAATAAACCAGTAGACAGATTGGTACCTTGCAAGTTGTGCCTCCTCCATGAGCAGGTTGTACCCTGGCGTGTCGTGGACGTCGGACGTACGGGAGGTCTTCAATGTCTCCTGTCTCACTCCGATGTGCTGCTTTACCGGGACAGGCTTGCTTCGATCTGACCACACAAACACACTGATATTAAAATCCTTGTGAATCAGTGTTTAAATAAATACGGTACCTGTGTAATCAACTTTGACAAAACATATTTATAATTTGATGGTTTATCTCCGCAAAATCTGTACAGGAAATGTTTTTGCAGTGTTATGGCAAACATAAATACACGGCCTACTATACAGAACATAACTGTGGTGAAAGGCAAAATTAACACTGAGTGAAAAAGGAGTCTACTGATGAAGCATGTTTCATTTGGTGAAAATTTCCCAGTATAGAGTTTATCATTTTTCTGTAGAGAATATATTTAGGCTCATACACAGGTAATCTACACAATTTTGCCAGGGTTTTGGTATACCAGTATACACATGTATGTTCTCTGTAAAGTCCCTAGAGCTTTATAATCTATGTAAATGAGTGAAAAGGTATATAATATATATATACTCAATTCATAAACAATATACTAACCTGAGAGAGAAATAATCAGATTTTAAAATTGAATTACATAAAACTGCATACAACTTAATGAGAATACTTCCTAGAAATAAAAATAAATAAAAGTCATGATGACTGGACTTTGAAAAAGAAGGATCTGTTTTATAGCACAGAAATGATATGATGATACAAATATAGTATCATTGACAGTATGTAGTCAGGTACGCGAGACCTACCTCTGAGCTCCTCCAGGAACACACCCTTGGTGCCAACCTTACTGTCGATGGTGGCCTTGGGGAAAAGCTCTCTACAGCTCGTCATCACCACATAGTAGTTCAACTTCAGTAAGGTCCGTTCAGCCTCACTCTGAAAGTTCACTTGCTGGGAATCATGGGTAATTACAAGTCCAACGTTATAATCATCAAGCTTCTGTTTTTGTTTTGGGTCTGTGATTCTTCGCAGCTTGTGGCAGATTAAAGCGTATTCATTACTCCTGACAAAGTGGTACTCCTGTAAGTAAATACTAACAATCAGTATTCATTACTTCTGACAAAATGGTACTCCTGTAAGTAAATACTAACAATCAGTATTCATTGGTTCTGACAAAATGGTACTCCTGTAAGTAAATACTAACAATCAGTATTCATTACTTCTGACAAAATGGTACTCCTGTAAGTAAATACTAACAATCAGTATTCATTCCTTCTGACAAAATGGTACTCCTGTACGTAAACACTAACAATCAATATTCATTACTTCTGACAAAATGGTATTCCTGTAAGTAAATACTAACAATCAGTATTCATTGGTTCTGACAAAGTGGTACTCCTGTAAGTAAACACTAACAATCAGTATTCATTACTTCTGACGAAGTGGTACTCCTGTAAGTAAACACTAACAATCAATATTCATCACTTCTGACAAAGTGGTACTCCTGTAAGTAAATACGACAAAGTGGTACTCCTGTAAGTAAATACGACAAAGTGGTACTCCTGTAAGTAAATACGACAAAGTGGTACTCCTGTAAGTAAATACGACAAAGTGGTACTCCTGTAAGTAAATACGACAAAGTGGTACTCCTGTAAGTAAATACGACAAAGTGGTACTCCTGTAAGTAAATACGACAAAGTGGTACTCCTGTAAGTAAATACGACAAAGTGGTACTCCTGTAAGTAAATACGACAAAGTGGTACTCCTGTAAGTAAATACGACAAAGTGGTACTCCTGTAAGTAAATACGACAAAGTGGTACTCCTGTAAGTAAATACGACAAAGTGGTACTCCTGTAAGTAAATACGACAAAGTTTTCGATTATAACTAAAATAAAAGTTTACGTAACAAATTAACCTCACACAATACTTACGCTGTCTAAATCGGCATCAACATTGGGCACCATGGCGATGACCTTCATCTGGTGGAGTTTTACATATAACAACCTCACACAATACTTACGCTGTCTAAATCGGTATCAACATTGGGCACCATGGCGATGACCTTCATCTGGTGGAGTTTTACATGTAACAACCTCACACAATACTTACGCTGTCTAAATCGGCATCAACGTTGGGCACCATGGCGATGACCTTCATCTGGTGGAGTTTCACATGTAACAACCTCACACAATACTTACGCTGTCTAAATCGGCATCAACGTTGGGCACCATGGCGATGACCTTCATCTGGTGGAGTTTTACATGTTGTAACATGAACTCATACAGTTGTGTCCCTGGACAAGTCAACGGACCCACTGTCATGGTGTCTGAAAGACAATCATTTATATATTAATTGTACATGTACATTGTATTTTATGTGTATATATATATTTCTTCTCTTCATATGTCTTTTCTTTCATTGTAAACCACTCTAGAGCTGCTAGTTTCAGCAGGATATGGCACTTTATAAATGGCTATTATCATTATTATTTCTGTAACTTTTGTAACACAATGTAATTCTATTAGATGTTATTCAGGAGGTGCCAGAATAAACATTCCAGAATGCATGAATCTTTCAAAGCTTTATATACTGGCTTAGTGCTAATTCATATATTCATAAGTTTCATTAAACAGAGAAACTATCACGTACTATAAAACATATGAAAGGTACTTTTAAACGCTTTTCAATGTGTAAATATGGTGTAATTACCTTCATGTAGGAAGTTTCTGGAGAAATTTGGGGGGTAAGGGTACACCTGCATGAAGTCCGAGAGAAAGCCCGTTAGATGGTAGCTCTGTTTGAAAACCTGCTGACGACTGATGTGGGAGTGGATACAGCGAAGGTGGAAGTCGTGGGCGAAGGAGTGGACGTGGATCAGGTCCTTACACTTCTCACATTCCTCCACAAACAGCAGCTTCAGCTAGATAACGAGACAAAAATACGTAATGTCATGGCTGAGTTATCAGAAACTGATATGTGCAGACAAAGCAGGGTGTTAAGGCTTGGGCCCCTCTTCGCCTGTACAGTTCAACCAGTTTGTCTGTTTTTAAATGTAACATTTTCGCGCATAAATCCTGGCAGACATGCAAATGTTTCTGCAGGCCTTACAAGGCTTTGTCAAGGCTCACCTGAAAGCAGCATCAGATAACTAGGTCCAGCCTTATATCATGAACGAACAATTCCGGTCCAACCGGTTCAACTAATTGGATCATGATGAAGGAAAACAGCCCCGGTGATCAGGTAAATACACACAAATAACACAAGATGTTAAGGCTCAGCGGCCAACTAGATTGTACTCCATCAAACACTGCCATACTGGCATTATTTGTCCAAGGATAATTTGGTGCTATAATAAAGGGGTTTTGCGATGTAAATGTATATCAAAGAAAAAAAGAATTGTATAGTCGTTGAAATAAATTGGCAGTAACAGAGGTGGCTTTTGACATGAGGAGATTGCTATCAAAGATTTATCATACAGTTATACCGGATGACCAGTAAATGAACAAGCTTTAATTGACAAGCTGTGTATATTTTACATACCTGGTATTCTTTTTGTAAGACAAGCAAAACAACAGACATACAAGTAATATGCATTTTTCTTATCCATATGGCAGCAGATCATTAAAAGAATTGGATATTTACAATAGTTTTATGTAGAAGAATGGATGTTAGACCTAATACTTCAATTTATGGTAACAAAACATAGCAGGAAATATATAAATAAAAAAAATATCAATCATGATAAACAACACTGTATAATATGTGGAGCATCATGAGATATCTATATTAAGGATTGATTTGAATCATCTGTATCTAAGGAAACAAAACATCAACAGTAACATCAGATACTTATGAGTGAAATGTATCTATTTCAAAAGGAATATTATATATTTAGATTTGCAACCTTGACCCTACATTTGCTCACCTGTTGATTGACAGGTACCCCCAGACGAGTATATTCACAGGTGAAAAGTTTTACGCAGAAATACTGTTCACGGAAACTTAGTTCCATTAGCATGATACCCCCTGCCTGGGTCTTCTGTAGATAGTGGACTGTCCCTATAGGTCCATGGATGCTCTCCCCTTCCACGAACACTCGCTCAAATGACGACTTCTTCACATGGCGCGACCTGAAAACAGGTTCACTGATGTTAATTTTTCTACATCTTATAACAAGTTAGGTTGAACAGTTATATGATGTCAGCATTGATTATACAATATTCCAAACTTAGCTTTGTTTCACTGTTCCATTATCTAATCCTACAGGAGAATGTGATGTTTATGTTTAAGACAGAACTGCCAATCTTAAAAGGATAGATAGACAGGGAAGAACTGAGAAAAGAGTCACTGAAACTTCAGCGATAGGTATATATATAGGTATGCCTGGATTTGAAGGAGTATTTGCTGTTAACATATATATTCTTGGAAATTGTACTTAATGTAAATAATATTAACAACTACTCAGTTTTGTCATATTTACCACTAAATCCCAATGAAAGTCACTGTTATTTCTTGTACTAGGTAATCTCTTAAATGACTTATTCGTGGAAACATACTGTACACTGCGAAATGTTCACCCGTTCAAACTTTCGCCCTTCATCTGTCCATGTTTCCCCAGTGCTGATTTCACCCCTAACAGTTAATGGATATGCAGGGAATGTTGTACTGCCAAAAGTTAACTTGTTGCAAAAAGTTCCCGGTATAAAGTATTTCAAATCAATGTATTTAAGACTGAAAAAAATCTTTTCAACCTACGCTCTCTTAGGTGTTGCCGGTCTCATCTGGACGAGAACGAATCCTAGAGACTGAACATACTGCATGTACTCGCTCACAAAGCTGGCACGGAGGTCAATGTGCCACGGTTCCTCGCCCAGCTGGTCCAGGTGAGAGACGGTGATGGTCGGTCTCTTCTTACCCTCATTACTGTCTGCTCTCTTTGTCCTCATACTGGTCACTGACGTACCAGAACTGTGACGTGACCGCTGCAGCAAAAAACATCCCCATTTAACAGTTAAATCATGAAGTAACTAGAGCTCACAAATATGTACCCCCTGATTGCGCGTACAAGGTTTTTGGAGCAGAAAGTTTAAAGGACCATTATTCCAGGAAAAATAGTTGAATTCCTTTCTTAATGCACATCTACATATGATGTTCTTTCACTGTGTAAATTTACACAAAAATCCAACACATGATTAATGAGGAGTTGTGCTTAGAAGGATAATGGACAGGCAGAGACAGGGCAGGGCGATTCCTTTATACCCCCCTAACATTTGTTTGGGAGGAGTATAATAAGTTTATAATGACCACTGGTAAAGGTGTACAGTACACACCCTGAAGTACCAGAGCTGTGGTGTGAGCACTGCAGCAAAAATCTGCACCATTTAACTGTTAAATCATTAAGTAATTAATGTACAATGGCCATTCACAAAAGTGTTTGGTATACTCTCAGCAAAAGCAAAACAAAGGAAATGGAAAAAGCCTTGCATTATACACTGTAGCGTGAGTGCTACAAATCAAAACATGAAAAGAACAAGAATTCATTTATATAGCTTAATGTGCTCACAGCCTTGGTTTCTGGTTTCTCTGCTGTTGTGGAGGATACTGATGCCTGTCTTTGTGTGACCTTATACTTCTCCATGACCTTCTGACGCCACTGGGGATGGAACAGCAGCGGGGTGGCACAGTAATGGTACAAACGGCAAGACTGCTTCAGCAGCTGGATAACCTCGTCCTGCAGGTCAATAAATTAAATAATAATTTAAATGATACATATATTTGAGCTATGTGATTCAAGATATAGGTGAAGCAGTTAAGCACAAGATACATTTGGACCAGGTGAAGAAATGACTGATGTAAACCAAGTTAATACTTTCTTTAAGTTTACAGAATGTAACGGGGCTGCACCCATACCTTGAAATCATTCATTTTCCTGGGGATTTTGATTTTGTTAATTTCGTTTGGTAATCTTCATCCACAAATTCTTCGGTCCACAAAGTAATGACAAGTTTGTTTTAAAGCAATCCTGTGTTTGAGCGGGCCCTCGTAGTCCACAAATTCATGTACCCACAAAATGTTGCTGTCGGGAAACCAAGGAAATTGGGCCCCATGAAAATATCTTATTTCACAGTAATTTGCACTATCAGTTGATACAATTACATTTTTATCCGATTTTCTTGGTTACAGCAGCAGTTTTTAACTGTAGTAGGAATACATTGTTATCAAGGTGACATTAAATCTACTTACAGATATGGGCATGTTCATGTTGACTGAGGTTTTCTCAAACCACATCCAATACAGTTTGTTGAGCTTCAACAGCTTCTCCATCTCTGTAATCAGTCAAAGGAATACTACGGTTAAGATTTGTGTAGTCTACATAAAGAATTAGATACAACAGTTAAAATAAACATAAAGAGTTTACTACACTTCACATAAGTAAATGGGTTAATGGAGTACTATGATCATGAGTCATATGATTCTCTAGTATTAAGGTCTATTATATATTAAATGTTTCAATGCAGTCCCCAGGATCTAAACATTATCCAATACAACACAATGATGCGGGTAAGAAATGTGTAAGGCATATCACTTACACTGTTTACAGAGAATACAGATTGATTGGTTGTATTCAAACATTTCATCTTAGATCCTGATAAATGAAAATAATTTAGAAAAAATATTCATAGACAACTATGCAGATTTTTTTTACTTGTTAGTCATCTAACATTACACATTATCTTACATATTTTCTAACCTGTTGTGAGATATACCTTTCCTGTTATGAGATATACCTTACCTGTTGTGAGATAAACCTTACCTGTTGTGAGATATACCTTACTTGTTATGAGATATACCTTACTTATTGTGAGAAATATCTTACCTGTTGTAAGACATACCTCACCTGTTGTCCTCACCTGTTGTAAGATATACCTTACTTGTTGTGAGATAAGCACAAGATACCTTACCTGCTGTGAGATATACCATACCTGTTGTGAGATATACCATCCCTGCTGTGAGATATCTCACAACAGGTATGGTATATCTCACAGCAGGTATGGTGTATCTTACAACAGATGAGGTATACCATACCTGCTGTGAGATATTCCTTACCTGCTGTGAGATATTCCTTACCTGCTGTGAGATATACCTCACCTGTTGTAAGATATACCATACCTGCTGTGAAATATACCTTACCTGCTGTGAGATATCCCTTACCTGTTGTGAGATAAACCTTACCTGTTGTGAGATATACCTTACCTGCTGTGAGATATACCTCATCTGTTGTAAGATATACCATACCTGCTGTGAGATATACCTTACCTGCTGTGAGATATACCTCATCCGTTGTAAGATATACCGTACCTGCTGTGAGATATACCATAGCGGCTGTGAGATATACCTTCCCTGCTGTGAGATATCCCTTACCTGTTGTGAGTTATACCATACCTGTTATGAGATATACCTTACATGCTGTGAGATATACTTCATCTGTTGTAAGATATACCATCCCTGTTGTGAGATATTCCATACCTGCTGTGAGATAGTCCTTACCTGCTGTGAAATATACCATACCTGTTATGAGATATACCATACCGGCTGTGAGATATACCTTGCCTGTTGTGAGATATACCGTACCTGCTGTGAGATGTACCTTACCTGTTGTGCGATATACCTTACCTGTTATGAGATATACCTTACTTGTAGTGAGATAAGCACAAGGTACCTTACCTGCTGTGAAATATACCATACCTGTTGGGAGAGATACCATACCTGCTGGGAGATATACCTTACCTTTTGTGAGATATCTCTTACCTGTTGTGAGGTATACCATACTTGTTGTGAGATATACCCTACCTGTTGTGCGATATACCTTACCTGTTATGAGATATACCATACATGTTGTGAGATATACATTACCTGCTGTGAGATGTACCTTACCTGTTGTGAGATATACCTTACCTGTTGTGAGATATACCATACTTGTTGTGAGATATACCTTACTTATTGTGAGATATACCTTACTTGTTGTGAGATATCTTACCTTTCCTGTTATGAGAGCGTAGGTCCTGAGCCTGCAGACCATGTTTGGCGACAGGATCGCTGTAGTGGGCAAAGCTTGTCTGGTGTATTGGTTTTTGAGGCTGGATGTCTTTGAACGATTCGTCGAATGACCGGACTGGGTGGGTGATTGATGTCGATAGACTGTTGTGACGTCTAACAGGCTCATGGGAGGATGTACTAGGAGCTGTGAACTTGATCAGGTGATCTATATCTGTGCTAGAGGAGGCATAAGGTCCATAGTCCTACAAAAAACCCAATAGAGATATGTGTACTGATGGTTAATTTATTACAAGATTACCTTGAGAAAACCCACGTGGTCCAGCAGGTGATCCGAAACTTTTTATGTCCAATCGGGTTATGGAACCCTGGCCACCTTGGTGGGAGGTGAGTGCATTATCGACTGCGCCATCCGACCACCCAATTAGTTTATTTTAGTATGCTGTGGACTTCTACAACTGTACAGTTTAACATGATGAGAGTTCCTCCAGCTGGTTAAAATAACTCTATACACTCATTTACAAATTCTGACCACCATTCCTAAATACCTTTTCTTTATTTCTATCATCAAACACTTCCCACCTTTTTGCCCCTGAGCTCCCTGAACACGGAGTGATGGTACAGCCCCATCTTCTGGCTGATGATGCTGTCCAGTAGTCGGAGGCGTGTGTTGTGCCACTGTACTATCTGTGTCACACGGTTACTCAGCATGGTGGACAGGTCTCGCGCCCAGTTGTAGGAATAAAGAGAAATCTGTGGGCAACAAGTGTCATATATTCAATACATATAAATACTTACTTGTAAATTGTAAATATGAACCAACTTTAAGAAAGCAAATGAGAAAATAAGAAACACTCAAATCACAGTTTAATGTAATATTCAAATAAAATGAGAAGCTGTCAAATCACATTTTAATGTAATATTCACATAACAGCCAGATATTTGATAAACAAATGTTTTAATTAATCATGACAGAGCTTTATGTTAATCCAAATTTACATCTGCATGTAAACTTAACTTATACATATACCATATACCTGTACATGAAAACTTTCGCCCAGTCAAACTTTTACCCTTCACCAGAAAAAATCATATTCATGCAGTGTTAATTTTGCTCTTTTATATAATGGTATGCTGTATACTTGTATATGCTATCATGATCAATTTGCCCTCATTATGGAGGGGAAAAAAGGATGAAAGTTTAACTGCAGCGAAAATTGCCCCTCATACAGTAAACCAGAAATTAACATTGCCACCTACTTGTTTGTTTTGTATGCTCAGCATCAGCAGCCGTTGTCTTGGGATAAAGGTCTGCTCATTCAACCCTACCTGGTCCAAGTTTGTTTTTAATAGGGGTGAAAAGCGCTGAAATGTCTGTTTGGGAATCGCTGTTAAAAGATGTAATATGTTTTAATGGTGAGTTAAAAATATGTATACTCAGTAGCAATATTTTAATATTCAGATTTCTTTGTTAACAAGGAGCTCATAGGCCCTGTATTGATATTTTGCTTAAATTCATTTTACTTTCATTAAAAAATAAATTTATTTTACTTTCACTTTTATTAATAATTATGACCTCTGTTCAATTTTGACCCTTAGGCACTTATATTTTGTGTTACATTTAAAAACTTTCGTTTGAATAAAGTACAACCCGCCTAGAGTCTACATGCCCAAGAAGACCATCTGGCTGTAACTTCCATCTTAAACATACTGTAAATTGTGTTTTCACTATCAGGCCTCACCTGTAGAGGAAGTGGATGACATCACGTTAAACTCTTCCTCATTGAAGTCCTGAATGCTTGCCCTCCACTGGTCCACATTGCGAGCAATCACCATAATCTGACCATCCTCACCGGCTGGCAATTTCCGCCTGTCACAGTCCAGTGATGTCTCCATCTGACCGTCTTCCTGTGGACGAAATAATTAATTAGTAATGATCATCATCCCAACCCACAACAGATTGTACACAGGTTTGATACAATCTACTTTGTATACATACAAGTCAGAGCCACCAAAATATACCAGTACAGGGTCCGTGGGGTGTGTGTACTTACCTGTAAAGGTTGTCTGTGGGGTCTGTACGGGTGACTTCCATACCACTGACCAGTAGAGTCCTTGACTAGTTGAAATGCCATGGATTTAATGTCAGAAGATACAGTGGTCAAAGCTGTTTGGAACTCCCGTAGAAAGTTGTCCACAGAGTACTTTGATTGGAGACTGACCTCTAGCTTATTGACCGCAGGCACCCCTGTGTAGAGGTAGAGGATTGTATATCATCGTTATTAGGCCTTATGATTTAACAACTTCCAATTTATGTAGGAAATTTACAAAAAGATTAATTCACAGGGAATTGAAAATAAAACAGTTATATATACAGGTAAAGAGATCTAATACAGCTCTCTCCCACCCCAGAGCTACAGGGTGGGAACTGAATCCCATGAGGAAAGACTGACCCCCTAAAACAACATAAAACAGCTGTTTCATTATGTGGAGAGATATGACGTACTCCCTGAAACAATTTCAGTCTCTGATTCCAATATTTACCTGGTCCATCCTGTGCTTGAAGAGAGAAGTGACCCCTTATGAAACAACCTATGGCCCCTATATTGCAATATTTACCTGGTCCATCCTACACTTGAAGAGAGAAGTGACTCCATAAAACAATCTTTGGCCCCTATTCCAATATGTCTCTGGTCTATCCTGTGCTTGAAGAAAGAAGTGACCCCTTATGAAACAACCTATGGCCCCTATATTCCAATATTTACCTGGTCCATCCTACGCTTGAAGAGAGAAGTGACCCCATAAAACAATCTTTGGCCACTATTCCAATATGTCTCTGGTCCATCCTACGCTTGAAGAAAGAAGTGACCCCTTATGAAACAACCTATGGCCCCTATTCCAATATGTATCTGGTCCATCCTGTGCATGAAGAAAGAAGTGACCCCTTATGAAACAACCTATGGCCCCTATTTCAATATGTATCTGGTCCATCCTGTGCTTGAAGAGAGAAGTGATGACCCCATGAAACAACTTATGGCCCCTATTCCAATATGTATCTGGTCCATCCTGTGCTTAAAGAGAGAAGTAACCTCATAAAAAAGCCTATGGCCTCTAGTCTAATATTTACCTGGTCCATCCTGTGTTCGAAGAGAGGGATGACCTACCTATGGCCCCTAGTCTAATATGTACCTGATCCATCCTGTGCTCAAAGAGAGGGATGACTTACTTATGGGTATTATCACAGTACATACCTATTTTATGGCAGGTTTCCATCCAGTGCCTAAGGAGGGAGGTAAACACTTTGGACAGGTTTCCACGCTCCCCCTCCTCATACTGTCTGATGATCGACTGCATCTCACTGTCTCGCTCCGTCTGTACTGGTGGAGTTCCCACAGTAATAGACGTTGGGCCAAACTCAAAGGTCTTGATAAACACAATATAGTATGATATGACTAACAATATTTCACAAATGTTAGAATATTTTCTACATTTACTTCAAAATGATTTCCCCTAGTTTATTCATCCCGATTTAACAATGTGTTATTTTTCTTAATTTCAACCAATCAAAATGAAGATGTACATAACAATACCTGTTATTTCATCTTGCACATAACAGTGGGTTTTTTACCTAAATTTTACAACTGCGAGCCTTTTCCTTTATGAATGGGGAAAATATAGCGTTATTTTTTATTGAAATTGGGAATATGTTCCTTATTTTTTTTGTCATTTTGGGAAAATAAGGCACTTTTTAGCTAGGGGAAACAGTCTGTACTCGGCTGTAAAACTGAGCAAAAAAAATCACTGCAGTACAACACCTGTCATTTTATCTTGCACATAACAACACCTGTAACTTTCTGCGTTACCTTCTGTGAGTCTGGGGGTGGTGACGTGAGTCGAGCTTTCGGGGAGAAAGCGTCCTTAAGTGACTGTTTCACCCCAGTACTGCTCATCTGTTTCAGGGACTCGGACAGTTTACGGCTGGCAATGGAGTGTCTCCTTTCTAGCACTATCTCTGACAGACAAACATAATGTACCAGTCAAATAAACATCACAACTCACTTCTATAACAGCAAACATCGTATCTTACCATTAAAACAGTTAAAATTTATAGTTGCCTTGTAGTGAGGCGATGTTTTAGTATACACACAAAAAATGGTTCTTAGCTGAACATGTTTACATTATTACATTTGTATTATTATTACAATATATATATATATATATACCTCTCATTTCTTCCATGAAATAAATATTCTACAAAAGATATTTTCATTCTTAATACAATTATTTGAAAATATTCAAATTCAGTAAATGAATGTAGACACTATATATGATATCATGCACATTTTCTGCTATTTTATTTTCTTAACCTAGTAATCATCAAAAAAAGTTTGTTGTTTTGAATATTCCTCAGATTTACTTTCGACATGCTAGAGAATGCTTCTTTTTCAGTTAATAAACATATCAACCCTATTTAACTCATTCACCCCTAAAATTTCATAATGAACTATTCCAACCTTTGAATTGTAAGAGTTCAAATGTGTCTTCAGGGGAGAATGGGTTAAAAGATTACAACATGTCATAGATATATATATAACATGTATTTTCACAAAAACTTAATTGGTATAATTTTTCAAATGTTTTGTAGTTAACCTTCTAAAACAAATTAGGCTTTAAAAGCCCATTGTGACAACATGCAAAATGAAACAGCGTAATGTAGTATGAAACTAATACAATACAATACAAATCAAAGCATTACAAAATAGTGACGTCAATTCTAGTATCTCCCCTTTGTCTGATAACAAAAGTACACCTACCAGACATACAATAAACACGAAAACCTACAGACCTGTCAATTATATAGAAATTTGAACTTTGACCTTTTTCACATTGATCTTGACCTCGCATAAAAGTAGCTAAAAATAGTATGTCACATACCGTCCATTGGAGATGTTAATGATAAATACTTCATCAAGGTATTTGCAGTAAAGGAAATACAAGCTTGGACGAGGACATGGTCATTAGGATGGAACTCGTAGCATTCTTATGTTGAACATCAAACTAAGGAAGATATGAAGAACTCAAGTTCTGTCCTTCCATCAAACTGGGACAACGGACTGGGGAGTGGGTCAGTACTGGGACAACAGACTGGGGAGTGGGTCAGTACTGGACAACAGACTGTGGAGTGGGTCAGTACTGGGACATAAGACTGAGGAGTGGGTCAATACTGGGACAACAGACTGGGGAGTGGGTCAGTACTGGGACATAAGACTGGGGAGTGGGTCAGTACTGGGACATAAGACTGGGGAGTGGGTTGTCTGCTCAGTACTGGGACAACAGACTGGGGAGTGGGTTGTCTTGTCAGTACTGGGACATAAGACTGGGGAGTGGGTTGTTTTGTCAGTACTGGGACATAAGACGTGGGAGTGGGTTGTCTTGTCAGTACTGAACCAACAGACTGGGGAGTGGGTTGTTTTGTCAGTACTAGGACATAAGACCTGAGAGTGGGTTGTCTTGTCAGTGCTGGGATATAAGACTGGGGAGTGGGTTGTCTTGTCAGTACTGGGATATAAGACTTGGGAGTGGGTTGTTTTGTCAGTACTAGGACATAAGACCTGAGAGTGGGTTGTCTTGTCAGTACTGGGATATAAGACTGGGGAGTGGGTTGTCTTGTCAGTACTGGGATATAAGACTGGGGAGTGGGTTGTCAGTACTTGGATATAAGACTGGGGAGTGGGTTGTCTTGTCAATACTGGGACATAACACTGGGGAGTGGGTTGTTTTGTAAGTACTGGGACCACAGACTGGGAAGTGGGTTGTCTTGTCAGTACTGGGATATAAGACTGGGGAGTGGGTTGTTTTGTAAGTACTGGGACAACAGACTGGGGTGGGTTGTCTTGTCATTACTGGGACATAGGATTGGGGAGTGCATTGTCTTGTCAGTATTTTGATATAAGACTTGGGAGTGGGTTGTCTTGTCAGTACTGGGACAACAGACTGAGGTGGGTTGTCTTGTCAGAACAGGGACAAATGACCTGGGAGTGGGTTGTTTTATCAGTACTGGGACATAAGACCTGGGAGTGGGTTGTTTTGTCAATACTGGGACATAAGACTTTGCAGTGGATTGTTTTATCAGTACTGGGACAACAGACTGGGGAGTGGGTTGTCTTGTCAGTACTGAGACATAAGACTGGGGAGTGGGTTGTCTTGTCATTACTGGGACAACAGACTGGGGAGTGGGTTGTTTTGTAAGTACTGGGACAACAGACCTGGGAGTGGGTTGTCTTGTCAGTACTGGGACATAAGACCTGGGAGTGGGTTGTCTTGTCAGTACTGGGATATAAGACTGGGGAGTGGGTTGTCTTGTCAGTACTGGGACATATGACCTGGCAGTGGGTTGTTTTATCAGTACTGGGACATAAGACCTGGGAGTGGGTTGTTTTGTCAATACTGGGACATAAGACTTGGCAGTGGATTGTTTTATCAGTACTGGGACATAAGACTGGGGAGTGGGTTGTCTTGTCAGTACTGGGACATAAGACTGGGGAGTGGGTTGTTTTGTAAGTACTGGGACAACAGACTTGGGAGTGGGTTGTCTTGTCAATACTGGGACAACAGACTGGGGAGTGGGTTGTCTTGTTAGTACTGGGACAACAGACTAGGGAGTGGGTTGTCTTGTCAGTACTGGGACAACAGACTGGGGAGTGGGTTGTCTTGTTAGTACTGGGACAACAGACTAGGGAGTGGGTTGTCTTGTCAGTACTGGGACAACAGACTGGGGAGTGGGTTGCAATTTGTCTTGTCAGAACTGGGACATAAGACCTGGGAGTGGGTTGTCTCGTTAGTACTGGGACAACAGACTGGGGAGTGGGTTGTCTTGTCAGTACTGGGACAACATACTGGGGAGTGGGTTGTCTTGTCAGTACTTTGACATAAGACTGGGAGTGGATTGTTTTATGAGTAGTGGGACATAAGACTGGGGAGTGGATTGTTTTATCAGTACTGGGACATAAGACTGGGGAGTGAGTTGTCTTGTCAGTACTGGGACATAACACCTGGGAGTGGGATGTCTTGTCAGTACTGGGACATAAGACTGGGGAGTGAGTTGTCTTGACAGTATTGGGACATAAGACCTTGGAGTGTGTTTTCTTGTCAGTACTGGGACACAAGACTGGTGAGTGAGTTGTCTTGTCAGTATTGGGACATAAGACCTGGGAGTGAGTTGTCTTGTCAGTATTGGGACATAAGAACTGGGAGTGAGTTGTCTTGTCAGTATTGGGACATAAGACCTGGGAAGTGGGTTGTCTTGTCAGTACTGGGACATTAGACTGGGGAGTGGGTTGTCTTGTCAGTACTGGGACATTAGACTGGGGAGTGAGTTGTCTTGTCAGTACTGGGATATAAGACCTTGGAGTGAGTTGTCTTGTCAGTATTTTGATATAAGACTGGGGAGTGAGTTGTCTTGTCAGTATTGGGACATAAGACCTGGGAATGGGTTGTCTTGTCAGTATTGGGACATAAGACCTGGGAGTGGGTTGTCTTGTCAGTATTGGGACATAAGACCTGGGGAGTGGGTTGTCTTGTCAGTACTGGGACATAAGACTGGGGAGTGAGTTGTCTTGTCAGTATTAGGACATAAGACCTGGGAGTGGGTTGTCTTGTCAGTACTGGGACACAAGACTGGGGAGTGAGTTGTTTTGTCAGTATTGGGACATAAGACCTGGGAGTGGGTTGTCTTGTCAGTACTGGGACATAAGACCTGGGAGTGGGTTGTCTTGTCATTACTGGGACATAAGATTGGGGAGTGCATTGTCTTGTCAGTATTTGGATAAGTACTGGGACATAAGACTGGGGAGTGGGTTGTCTTGTCAGTCAGTACTGGGACATAAGACTGGGGAGTACTAGGTTGTCTTGTCAGTACTGGGACATAAAACTGGGGAGTGGGTTGTCTTGTTAGTCAGTACTGGGACATAAGACTGGGGAGGACTAGGTTGTCTTGTCAGTACTGGGACATAACACTGGGGAGTGGGTTGTCTTGTTAGTACTAAGACATAAGACTGGGGAGTGGGTTGTCTTGTTAGTACTGGGATATAACACCGGGGAGTGGGTTGTCTAGTCAGTCAGTACTGGGACATAAGACTGGGGAGTACTAGGTTGTCTTGTCAGTACTGGGACATAACACTGGGGAGTGGGTTGTCTTGTTAGTACTAGGTTATAAGACTGGGGAGTGGGTTGTCTTGTCAGTCAGTACTGGGACATAAGACTGGGGAGTGGGTTGTCTTGTCAGTCAGTACTGGGACATAAGACTGGGGAGTGGGTTGTCTTGTCAGTCAGTACTGGGATATAAGACTGGGGAGTGGGTTGTCTTGTCAGTCAGTACTGGGATATAAGACTGGGGAGTGGGTTGTCTTGTCAGTCAGTACTGGGATATAAGACTGGGGAGTGGGTTGTCTTGTCAGTCAGTACTGGGACATAAGACTGGGGAGTGGGTTGTCTTGTCAGTCAGTACTGGGATATAAGACTGGTGAGTGGGTTGTCTTGTCAGTCAGTACTGGGATATAAGACTGGGGAGTGGATTGTCTTGTCAGTCAGTACTGGGATATAAGACTGGGGAGTGGGTTGTCTTGTCAGTCAGTACTGGGATATAAGACTGGGGAGTGGGTTGTCTTGTCAGTCAGTACTGGGATATAAGACTGGGGAGTGGGTTGTCTTGTCAGTCAGTACTGGGATATAAGACTGGGGAGTGGGTTGTCTTGTCAGTCAGTACTGGGATATAAGACTGGGGAGTGGGTTGTCTTGTCAGTCAGTACTGGGATATAAGACTGGGGAGTGGGTTGTCTTGTCAGTCAGTACTGGGACATAAGACTGGGGAGTGGGTTGTCTTGTCAGTCAGTACTGGGACATAAGACTGGAGAGTGGGTTGTCTTGTCAGTCAGTACTGGGATATAAGACTGGTGAGTGGGTTGTCTTGTCAGTCAGTACTGGGATATAAGACTGGGGAGTGGATTGTCTTGTCAGTCAGTACTGGGATATAAGACTGGGGAGTGGATTGTCTTGTCAGTCAGTACTGGGATATAAGACTGGGGAGTGGGTTGTCTTGTCAGTCAGTACTGGGACATAAGACTGGGGAGTGGGTTGTCTTGTCAGTCAGTACTGGGACATAAGACTGGAGAGTGGGTTGTCTTGTCAGTCAGTACTGGGATATAAGACTGGTGAGTGGGTTGTCTTGTCAGTCAGTACTGGGATATAAGACTGGGGAGTGGATTGTCTTGTCAGTCAGTACTGGGATATAAGACTGGGGAGTGGGTTGTCTTGTCAGTCAGTACTGGGACATAAGACTGGGGAGTGGGTTGTCTTGTCAGTCAGTACTGGGACATAAGACTGGAGAGTGGGTTGTCTTGTCAGTCAGTACTGGGATATAAGACTGGTGAGTGGGTTGTCTTGTCAGTCAGTACTGGGATATAAGACTGGGGAGTGGATTGTCTTGTCAGTCAGTACTGGGATATAAGACTGGGGAGTGGGTTGTCTTGTCAGTCAGTACTGGGACATAAGACTGGGGAGTGGGTTGTCTTGGTAGTACTGGGACATAACACTAGGGAGTGGGTTGTCTTGGTAGTACTGGGACATAACACTAGGGAGTGGGTTGTCTTGGTAGTACTAGGATATAAGACTGGGGAGTGGGTTGTCTTGGTAGTACTGGGACATAACACTAGGGAGTGGGTTGTCTTGGTAGTACTGGGACATAACACTTGGGAGTGGGTTGTCTTGGTAGTACTGGGACATAACACCGGGGAGTGGGTTGTCTTGGTAGTACTGGGACATAAGACTTGGGAGTGGGTTGTCTTGGTAGTACTGGGATATAAGACTGGGGAGTGGGTTGTCTTGGTAGTACTGGGACATAACACTGGGGATTTGGACACAAGAAGGATACAGAAAGCACTATACATGAACTCAGGGTTAATAACTATGGTACAAGACCTGGGAATGAGTACATCATGTGATCATATCATTGAAATAAGGGGACTTTTACTCTCTGTTAACATACCTTAACAGTCTACTATACTCAGTCCCAGTTCTAGTACCATGTATCGCACCGTAAGGATCACCTCAAAGACTGTCGCTTATCACATCTAGTGTCAGTGTAATTTCTGGCTTTAAAGATTGGGGCCAGGGTGTTTTAGAATCAGGAAAATTAACTTGTCAAGACCATCTAAATTTAGAATTTTATCCATCTTGTAAAAAGAGGTTTTTTTCTGCCTTAATACAAATAAATAGAATTAAAATTCAATGATTTAATATTCAAATATGCATCATAAACAAAAATTATTTGAAATTATTTTTTTCCCCCTTCAGTTTGGGAATTTTGGACTGAAGTTTGGGATAGTGCACTGTTTGTTTACCCTTGGAAATAATACTCAATTTCGCCCCAAAAACAGTAAAAAAAAATTACACCAGTGTTAGAGGAGAATGTAAGGATATCAAATATATTGCGACAGAAATATCCTTTGACATGATCCTAAACCTACCAGGTATCTGAATGCCTCCATCCGATTGATTCACTGTTATTTCATCTACACATGGAAATGAACGACAACAAAGCAATGTCAATAGATGATGTCTAACCACAAAAGGTTAAATTGTAGTTAAATCTGTATACCAGACGTACTGCACATATTTACGGTGTTATTGTACTTTTCAAAAAGAAAACAAATTATTTCAGTACCACCACAACCTACACAATATTACATTAATTAAGAAGCTTCAGTCAAAGAGGTTAATGCAAAGAATTATTTTTTTCTGAAGAAAAAGGCAAAACTTACACAAGAAAATTTTAAGGGTTTACACTGCAACCAACTTCAAGCAAAGTTAGAAAAATTGAAAAAAGAAATGTTTGCAGTGCTGCAATCAGGTCGTTTATGTTTCTGTTTTAATGACTGAACCACCATGATTATAAACACACCATTGAGGGCTATAAGTAGCCTTACCTTTATGTGTGATGGGTGACGAGGGAGCTGAGTAGGCAGGCATTGGTAGGAGGTCCTGTAGCTGTAAGGGTACGGGACAAACGGAGGCCGTCAAGATGTAGTACTCCATCACAATGTCACACAGGGCGTGCTTCACCGCACAGGTCAGCTTTTCTTGCAGTGTCGCGATGTCCATCCCTCCACACTCCCACACACAGAACTGGACTAGCGTGGTCAGACCTGGCAGTGGGGACACACAGATTGAATATGGCTGTAGATAAGTTAGTATCACAATAAAAATCAGATCTTGTAATTCGTTCTCCATAAGAGCTATGGAGAACGAATGTATTGCATTATGAAAATAATGCCACCACATTTACATATCAAAGAAATATTTAGATTTCTATTACTAGACAACCATACATATACACTAGGTATAAAAGGGCTGTGAATATAACTCAACTAAGGGCAGACAACTGTAACTGGTCTTTCTTACCTGGCTTGTGGCTGGGCAAGGCAGTGTACAGCTCTGTGTGTATATAGCCATCAAAGTCTTCTGGGTGGTTGATCTTGGTATAGCCAAGCCTGGAAGGTTTCGGACTGTTCAGCACTCGGATCTGGGAACCATTGTGGTCCACAAACGACAGGCTGATACAGGCAATACCTAAACAAACATGACTTGTTTTAAGACATTCCTGCCGCAACCTTAAAATTTTGCAAATTCAACAATAAAATATTTATTTCACTAGTAAAAATGCAGCTTATGATGCCAAAAATATTGCAAAGATGATGTTGAATCTGAATGGTGTTATGGATATTTATCCAGTATGGTGCCATTTCTGCTGTAAGGTTGAGAAAAGGTTTACATGTATCCCAAAGCATTGTTACTGACCTCTGTCTCCCAGGGTGTAAGGCCTACAAAATTATCTCCTTATAGTGTACATACATGTATATACCCCTGATTCTATGAAGTGTCGTACAGACCTCTGTCTCCCAGGGTGTGAGGCCCAGGTAATGATCTCCTTACAGTGTACATATATACCCCTGATTCTATGAAGTGTTGTACTGACCTCTGTCTTCCAGGGTGTAAGGCCTACAAAATTATCTCCTTATAGTGTACATACATGTATATACCCCTGATTCTATGAAGTGTCCTACTGACCTCTGTCTCCCAGGGTGTGAGACCCAGGTAATGATCTCCTTACAGTGTACATCTATACCCCTGATTCTATGAAGTGTTGTTACTGACCTCTGTCTCCCAGGGTGTGAGTCCCACATAATTATCTCCTTATAGTGTACATCTATACCCCTGATTCTATGAAGTGTCGTACTGACCTCTGTCTCCCAGGGTGTGAGGCCCAGGTAATGATCTCCTTACAGTATACATATATACCCCTGATTTTTTTTAAGTGATCTTACTCACCTCTGCCACCTAGGGCATGAGGCCTGATGTAGATAAACATGTTTCCTTCCTCCACCACCTGCCATCTATTGTCCACTAGGCTCTGCACACAAGCAAAGGCAAACAATATTTAATAAATTCCTATATTATATAATTATATTTTTTTGTTACCAAAATTTTTGAATTTACAAAATAAGTACTTAATGTTCAAAAATAATAAAACAAAAGTAAAACAATTTATGTACGATTTTACCAATCAACTTTACTTGATTTGATATGACTTTCATGAAATAAGAATCTTTCTGACCTGGAAGCGATTTTCCAGCTTGTTGTCTGCATAATTAGGTATGTGACAAAACTGGAGGAGGTTCTGTCTGAGATAATGCATCAGGGCGGACAGGTGCACTCCCACACTGGAGGGTACGGTCAGGTGGAACGTCTTACTCGCCTCCATGCCCGGCTTCTGGATAAACTAAATACACAAGAAATTTCATGTAATAATCAGTCTAACCAACCCCAGTAAAAAAAACAACTGCAATTCGTACATGGTTATTGAAATGTGATTAATTATTCCAGATTTCCTGACAGTTTCCAGTACTTGCATGAAAATCTCCGGGTGAGAGCTTGCTGACAGTTTCCAGTACTCGCATGAACATCTCCGGGTGAGAGCTTGCTGACAGTTTCCAGTACTCACATGAACATCTCCGGGTGAGAGCTTGCTGACAGTTTCCAGTACTTACATGAACATCTCCAGATGAGAGCTTGCTGACAGTTTCCAGTACTCACATGAACATCATCGGGTGAGAGCTTGCTGACAGTTTCCAGTACTCACATGAACATCATCGGGTGAGAGCTAGCTTACAGTTTCCAGTACTCACATGAACATCTCTGGGTGAGAGCTTGCTTACAGTTTCCAGTACTCACATGAACATCACTGGGTGAGAGCTACCTTACAGTTTCCAGTACTCACATGAACATCACCAGGTGAGAGCTTGTTGACAGTTTCCAGTATTCACATGAACATCTCTGGGTGAGAACTTGCTGACAGTTTCCAGTACTTACATGAACATCTCCGGGTGAGAGCTTGCTGACAGTTTCCAGTACTCACATGAACATCTCCGGGTTAGAGCTTGCTGACAGTTTCCAGTACTCACATGAACATCTCTGGGTGAGAGCTTGCTGACAGTTTCCAGTACTCACATGAACATCCCCAGGTGAGAGCTTACTGACAGTTTCCAGGACTCACATGAACATCTCCGGGTGAGAGCTTGCTGACAGTTTCCAGTACTCACATGAACATCCCCAGGTGAGAGCTTACTGACAGTTTCCAGGACTCACATGAACATCTCCGGGTGAGAGCTTGCTGACAGTTTCCAGTACTCACATGAACATCTCCGGGTGAGAGCTTGCTGACAGTTTCCAGTACTTACATGAACATCTCCGGGTGAGAGCTTGCTGACAGTTTCCAGTACTCACATGAACATCTCTGGGTGAGATCTTGCTGACAGTTTCCATTACTCACATGAACATCACCGGGTGAGAGCTAGCTTACAGTTTCCAGTACTCACATGAACATCTCTGGTTGAGAGCTTACTAACAGTTTCCAGTACTCACATGAACATCTCTGGGTGACAGCTTGCTGACAGTTTCCAGTACTCACATGAACATCTCTGGGTGAGATCTTGCTGACAGTTTCCAGTACTCACATGAACATCTCCGGGTAACAGCTTGCTGACAGTTTCCAGTACTTACATGAACATCTCCGGGTGAGAGCTTGTTGACAGTTTCCAGTACTCACATGAACATCTCTGGGTGACAGCTTATTGACAGTTTCCAGTACTCACATGAACATCTCTGGGTGAGAGCTTGCTGACAGTTACCAGTACTTACATGAACATCTCCGGGTGAGAGCTTGCTGACAGGGTTACGACTGAGCTGCAATGAGATCGTTTCCAGGACGGCATCATCCAGTCGATTTTGCAGCATGGATATCAAGTCCACCTTTATATCAGGACCTTGTGTGCAAAAGAAAAAAACAGTTTTTTGAAGTGTTTACCTGATATATCTCCAGTATTTGACTGACGCCAGTATACTGCTAATAAACATCTGTAGTATTTGTGTGTAATCTTTTATATTCACGCTTTTGTTCTGCAGTGTTTACCACAGACCAGTCTATTGCCTATTGATTACAGCATGAAATGTAAATTTTGTTGTGTATTTACTCTCATGGTTTCCATGGTCACAGTATAAACTGTGAATATAAGTACAGCGACTATGAACCAACTCAGACACAAAATATACCAGCAGATCTGTAAAGTTGGTATCAGTGACATCATTTGTAAAGGTCAAACCTCAGAAAAAATCACCTACATATGTATGTTATAAAGCAGGTTATGGACAATGTATTGGGACAAGTTCATTGTTTAAAAACATTAACCTTACTATATTTGATTTACAGGAGAGATAAAATCCAAAAATCTACATTTCAGACAGTATTCTTGATATCAACATATACCCTGCTATTAACACATGTGCTCAGCATAACAGCAGGAGATAAATTGACTTACCCGCCTCCTCAATGCCATGGACCAGCAATTCTACATAGTCCTGGGGCAGCCTCTGAGATGCACTGCCAACTGATGAGATAGACACCGTGTCACACTCCTTCTCTGCCATCAACATGCCCTGTGTGATGATCATTGTGAGAAGAGAATTAGTCAAATACAACCATTTCGAAATGAATGCTACAGACTTTATCTGACTTGGCAGTTTCCCATCGATGGTGATTTTGGACAATTATTTTAAATACTACACAGCTATTCCAATACAGGGATATTTTATACATTAACCATAATTGTGGCATCATTTTTGAAAAATATGACTATCAGAGTATTTGCCATTCAAAATACAAGTGTCTGATATTAATCAACTTAAGAAGAAGATTTTTTAAATCTGATAATGAATATTATCAGTATTAGACTTTGATTCTTGGACCAAGCTGCCTCATTCTTTTGCCTAAGGGTCCGGATCCTGATTTGAACGAACTTGAATTTACCCTCATAGGCTTTGCTTAACAGAAAATAGATTTTAGAATTTCTGATATTTACTAGGTTGAAAAGACCATTTGTGAATTTTTAGGTATGTTTTTTTTTATCATGAATAACTCCCGACTCCCTTATTTGCCAGGTATTTTTGAGAAGTTGAAAAGGGAAAAAGTTGACAGAAACAAAGATAAAGGACAGACATAAACTCACATGGTCTTTCAGCAAAATACACTTGGAAAATACTTCATTTGGTAATTATAGACACTTACAAACAGTTAGTCTATAAGCATAGTAGAAGGCACTTAGTAACAGGGTGTTTCTAAGCTTAATTGTAGACACTTACAAATATGTGGTCCCTCAGCTTAGTTGTACACATTTATAAACTGGTAGTCTCTACGCTTAGCTGTAGACACTTATAAACTGGTGATTTAATTGCAGATACTCATAAATGATAGGTCTCATAGCCAGATTTGATTGTAATTGTGCAGAAATCCAATTCTTATTACAAAGTTTATAAAATCCACCATGTTTCGAGAAATCTGACAAGACACAGATGGACTTGCTATAGTTGAATGTACAACCTGGGCCCAGTCTATCTCTCCCCACTCATGCTTTTTTATGGTATTATTAAGTAAGTTATAATCCTATCAAAGTGTTTCCAGCAATAGAATTATACTCACTTGCTCATCCCTCCTGCTAGAAAACATGGCAGAAGAGGCAGAGTCTGAAAAATAGAAGCAAGAAGTAACTGTCGAGTATTGCATAACAGTAAATTTTCACCCAGTCAAAGACTGTGGATTACAGTATAACAGGAACTTTCGCCCTTCAAAAGTATAATCCATTTTTTCGGCCGATGTAAAGTTGACCCTTAACATTCAATTATTATGTATATGATGTTGTTAACAAATGTTTGCTGTAATGATAAATTTGCCCTACGTGGTCGAAAAAGGCGAAAATTAAACTGCAGGTAATTTTCCCCTGTTTACTATTACTGGACAGTGTGAAAGCATGGAGCCGTAATACCGTGAAACGTGGTTAAACCGACCAACTATTCTCTGCTGAATTATATACGTTTTGGATTACACAGATTCAGCCTAGATAAAGGTCTCATCTAAACAGGGTAATAGAGAAATGTAGAGGTTGGGACCTTGTTGATGGTCTTCAATCTATACCAGGCTGTAGAGAAATCTGTCTAATTTCAGATTTGGTTCTTGCCATCACATGTACATTGATGACAATAGACATGAAGTCAAAAAGAGAGCATTGAAAATTGATAATGGTGATTAAAAGCATATTTTTTGTGGATATTCGCACACATTCTCAGTATTATAATGAAATGGATCTTTAAATTCATTTTAATTTCATTTGGAATTCCAGAAACTCATCCTTAGTTTTTGGTAAACTTCAATAATCATTTCATCAATCGCATAAGAAAAGAAAACCGATTCAATCATGTAATATATACCATATGAAATGAAAAGTCTTAGGCCTAAATAAAAATGCATACATGTTTGGCATAACACAACCAAGCTAGGAAAAATGGTCTGTCTGAAAGAAATTATCGACATTTCCTACTAAAACTAATTTTTAAGCTAAACTAGGTACAATAGTCCCCATTTTGAAAGCAGATCTGTAAACATTGATGTATTTATGATATTTAAAGTGCTTAACTGACTGTGTTAAAGTGGTGAAACAAAATGGATGCATTGCTTCTGTTGAATGGTTCTGTAGGCTAGAGTTTTGTTCTTTGTCAGATAAACAAAATATATCACCTACCTACCTACCCAAATTTTAAATCTTTGGTTGGATTAGGCCCGACAGAAAAGTTCTTAATGGTAGCCTCATATCCTCAATGATCTCATTCTATCACAAAGCATTCACATTCTCTGTTTTTGGGTCTCATTCACACCTGGATATTGTCGACAGAATGTGACATGTTGGATACTCACCTGTAAGACAGATATCTTCAGAGCTGAGTGTTGAGGTCTGTCTGAGAATTGCTCCAACTTCTTTTAACCTGTATAAAATTAAAACATTAAGAATAGAAAACAATCATATGATATTTCCTTTTCTATATAATGATTTGGAAAATTATTTCCGCTGGTAAACTGTGAACAAATAAGTTCTCTATCATAACAACAAATAGATTCCTGTTAAATACAGAATTTTTCTTGGATTGTCTCCCCTCCCCCTATTCCAAGAGGGGTCTAATGTACTCTACAGTCCACAGAGTCCCCATACTTATCTGGACTGTGACTTAACAGCGTCTTTCACTTATCTGGCCACTGACAGTATTGATTCCTGAGACCTGGAACAGTCACTTACTTAAGGTAGAAGACAGCTTGAGATCCATGCTGATTTTTGACGACAAACATGTTTTTCCTGTTGAGTACTGAGAACTTGTTCAGCACACTTCGCAGTGCCTTCATGCCTGTTTTGATGAAACAGAAAAGTAACAACACATTACACAACCATTGAAAACTCATCTCCAGGTAATGCAAAGTGTTAAATAGATTTTTTTTTTTTTTTTTTATTTCTGATGTAGAAGTAAGTCTATTTACAGATATTATATAAATATATATTCAATTTACCAACCTCTGGATTCCTTGGAGCCGGCTGCCCCCATTTTTAGTCGTGGGTTGATCATAAACCGGTGTATGAGGACACAGTCACAGTTGAAGTAACCGGCCTCATGTCGCAGGTCGTAGGTGGCTGCAAGGTAAGGTTTTACTTTCTGCTGCTCCTCCTCCTCATCTGCTTCGGAGGCTGTGATGGAGAGACATATAATATCATCTGGATCTTATGGTATCAAATATTTACACAAACAGAGGAAACATATTCCTTTCCTCAAAAAAGTGACCAAAATAGAATCAAACCAAAAGATATCTTTGCTGCTGCGATATTTAACAATAGAAATATGGTTGGTATACAAATCGTATTTCGCTATTTTTCTTTATTTTTACAAAATTAGAGAATTATATAGGATAAGAAGAAAACATAGGTAATATATCATAAAATGCTGCCTATTCCACCTTCCTTTCCCCGAGTCAGTTAAGCAAAACGCACCTATTTTTAGATGAAATAAACAACATGAATCTAAATATCACTTTCTTCTTACATTACTTTTATAGACATAGTATGCATATTTCTACTACTCACGGATGCAGGTGTTTTTTTTCCCCCCCTTGGCCAAGTCATTAATTATTTTACATATTTCTTTTCATTGGTATAAATTCGATAGCGAGATTTTATTTCTACCTGATGGTATTAGTTCTATGATACTGTATACCAGGAAATGTTCAACCTCCGATGGTAAAATTAATTTCTGACCGATACTAAATTGCCCTTCACGTATAATTACTATACATATTGTGTTTTCAAAATGTTTGACTGTAATTATGTGAGTATTTCTTTTCATTGCTATGAATTCTGTGACAAATATTTTATCTTTTTCTATGGGATGGTATTAAGTTATTTGACACTGACCATCGGACGAGTCAAGGTGTCGATGGCCAGTGTGGACCTGCTTGTCCAGGTTCCATGTGACCTCTTCATCAGCCTCCGGTACGAGGAGTGGGTCACATGTCCTACTCTCGTACAGGTCGTTGAGGAGCATCTTCTGGTTGACACGACGACACAGCTCCTCAATGCTGGTCCGAAAGTAGCTGTGAAGTGTGCGCTGTTCAATCTTTTCTTCGTTGTCCTCCTTGCCAGTTTCTCTGTAATCAGTTATTAGAGTAAGGCTCAGGTTCTTCTCTCAGTTTGCTCAGAGAGGGTAACATTGGTAGTGTTACATAGGCAGAAATTTGAAAAAAAAAGGGAGGATACCCCTTTGATGGATTCACAACAATAATTACAATTATCAGTAAGGGGTGGTTATATTTATCAAGCAAGCGAGAACAAATTTCAAATGTCAAAAACCAAGATGGCTGCCTGGTGGCCATCTTGTTTCAATAATTAAACCCTAAAAATTCAGCAGGGCACATGTCCCCAAACATTGGCACATTAAACACAGAATGTTTTTATGAAAATTTGGTTTAAATCTACCACCATTATGTTATTTGAAGGTTTGCACTAAGTGACCTTATCAGAGCCCATCATGGAGGAAAGCCACTTCTTTGGTATAGATGGTCTTCCTTATCATATAAGAATCACTTTATGAAACCATTAAGTTTTAGAGGAAACAAGTTTTTTAAGGTTTGGCACTCGATGGCCCTTCATGGTCCTGACACAGGTGATCTAATGAAATGGTGGTGAAATATGTGCACTATGCAGAAACAAGCAGTAACCAGACCTGGCATGGAAGTAGATGTCGACTCCATCTTCCCCGACCTGCATCAGTAACCAGAACTTGGGTACCGGCTGTTGTCTCCCACTCAAGTCACTGTAGGCTTCGGTATCATCATCTGTTTCACTTGAATCACCCTCGTAACCTAGCAACACATAAAACAAATAATCTTCATTTTTTTCAGTGTTCAGTGTTGCTAACCCACCTAATTTTTCAAGGTTGACCCAATATCTAGACTTCTCAGTGTAATTAACTTGTGTTACTCATCAGGTTTTCAAATATCACACTTTTCATTTTCAAAACCCACTACGACCTGTAATTTAAACTTTGCTCAGAAAACCCTGAGAGTTACTGATTTGTACCATTATAAGACACTAGATATCAAACAGTTTAATAGTTTTCACCCTTTCACCACTGTAGACCATAATGGACGCATCCAGATCAATGCATGGTAGAGTCTACAAAAGTTACATAGGGTTGAAAGGGTAAACAAAGCAATAATGGAGCAGTACATCAGGATATGACCAGAATAGTATGAATCACATGTCAAAGAATCAATCTTAGACATTATGTTACAAATAAATTGGGCACGGAACTGATACACATTGTATCAATATGAAAGGTCTTATAGAAATCAAATACAGGTATTAATGCATTTTATCTACACTTTATCCCAAAAAACATTTCAACAACGTATCCTCAGACAATTGTCTCTTTATCATCTACAATCATGCCATACCTATATCTGTGTAACTCCCTCTCGAAGAAATCCAAGATGGCGTCTGAGGTAGTGTTGAGTGTTTACTCATGGGCGTGCCCTGCCCTGAGGGAGCTGATGAATGCCGCAGCCGTCCAAGAGATGGTAGTTGGGGCGTCCCAGACACACCTTTTACTGGAGACACGGACAAGGCCGTCATGGAGTCTTGACGCTTGAATGGTTCAACAGTGTCTTCCGTGAGGAAGCCTGCGAAACTGGAGGACTTCTTAAGTACACCCTCACCTATTTCCTCCCCCAGACTCATACTTCTCTTGTCCGACTTCACTGGTGGTGTGAGAGGGGTTCGCGGGAAGTCTATTTGACGGTCACGGCTGAAATGCAGCTCCATTCTGTCAGGGAAGCGTGACCGACTCAGACGTTTCTTGCCTCCTCTACCCAACCCTTCTGGTGTGTCAGTGTCTCTGGTACCCCCTTCGTGGGTCTCCGTATCTTTTGGTGTCACTCCATCACTGCCACTTAAGTTAGAGGAACAACCACCTAATGGGGATTCGACTTCTAGTGATGCCTGCCTGGGGTATTCTGGAGTTATAAACAGGGGTGATACATAGGTTGTCATAACCTCAGGCGATTCCAGGTCGGTCGCGTGGAATATATCGGTCTTCAGTTGAATGTTTTGTTTTGCGGGAGTTCCTTCACGACTCAACTCCACCAAAGCTGTGTTCAAAGCCTTTGCATGACTAAGATTTGTTATCGTTCGTCCCTTCACTACGTAGTAGTAATCCTCCTCTTTCATCAGCCGGTAACCAAGGTAATTCAGCCTTTCAAACTCCTAAAGGGGATCAACACTAAATAAGTACCATGATACAGCAAAGGTATTACATGTACATCCATTTATATCTCAAACCACCTGACACTTTTTAATTTAGGGATTCTTGTAAAGAAGATTTCATACTTTCCATAAGAATGAAAGTAAAAATATGAAAGGCTGCAAGAGTCCATTTAAGTTGTAAAAGAATGAGTTACGACCAATTAATAAATCAATTTCATCATTGTTATAATGGGAAGCTTTGTTATATCAAATCTCTACTATAACTCTGGTAACTTGGAGTATAGATGATGTTGACCTTTGGACAAGGCTATTTTCCTTGTTCCTTAATAAGAATAGACTTTTAAATACTTCCCTAAGATATGACATGTGAAAAAAATCCTTTAGAACTGTTTTGACATTTTCACAAAATCTGCTGGTTTTGCATATCTAAAAATATCAGACAATCAGACAATTTTTTTTATTTTAATTATGATTAAATGCAAATTTTAATTAAGATCAAAGTTGCCATGAAGTCAAAGAATAGTTTTTCTTTGCCTTTTGACTAAAAATAATTTACAGAATACTGGGAACAGCTAATGATTATCATTAGTATGGATAGAAGAAAATGCCCGAAAAACCATCAAAATGTCGCTGAAGCTGCAGCTTTGGTCTTGAGCAGAATATCTACTACAAGATACATTATACTACAATAAAACCTAGTTATACTGCCACAATTCGTCCAGAGAAATGGTGGCATTATAAACAGGTTTGGCGATAAATTGAGGGAAATGTATGCGAGAATTCTTCAGAAAATGGGACATTGAAATTTGCCTGCGGTAAATGAGGTGGCAAATAAAACGAGGGACATGTTATCGAGGTTTTAAGGTATATTTTAAATCACAGAGCCTAACAATTTTAAAACTGGTTCATTTCACTGTCAAAATCATTAAGTCCTGCTTCTGATATCAACTGCGAATTTCATTAATTCCTGGTTTTAATAAGCATAGGTAATTCAAAGTTGCAAATTGTAAAAGAAATGTTAACCTCTTTGAACTTGAGCAAACTGTGTTCTGATCCATAAACAAAGCTTAGCTTCACTTTCTCTGTAGCACAGTTTGGTTTGCCCATCTCTGCCGACAACCTGACATGTTCTGTGACGAAATGGAGGGCGTCAGTCTTGACAGGCTGTAGGTGACGAAGGGCAGACACTATCTCATCCTTCAGCAGCCATTCGATCTGAGGTCAAAAATGGGCAAACATTTATTACATATATGACTAATGTTCTGTGGCTTTAATCATTGTAGTGGAAATACAGATTCTACAGACAACTTAATGACAATGTTATCTTGAACAGTATCCATAATCTGTATGTGGATGTGATAATTTATATACATAAAGAGTAATGATGATTGTAAATACAAAATGTAGGTTATATCACACACCAGTTTTTCTTGATGACTTACCTATTTACCAAAATACACGTAATTGTTGTTGCTCAATTTTTTCTTGATGACTTACCTATTTACCAAAATACACGTAATTGTTGTTGCTCAATATACTGTCATAAAGCCTAGTCATTTGACACTTAATTTGCCAAATATCCCATCTCTATGCAAAGACACTGCAAAAACTTCAAAATCGCAAAATTATAATAATCTGTATACATTTTTTATTTTTTTTCATTTTTGGTCAAAATGACGAAAATTTAAGCCTGTGTAAAAAACCCACTAAGCGGTATTCTGAGAGTCAGATGAGGATGACGTATCTAGTTCCTGTAACTGTGATATCTGTACTACATACCTCCTCCTTACACCGGTGGACGGCATGCTGCTGTAGTTTGGGGAGGTGAGCTATAGGATCCTGTAACTGTCCCACATTGCTGTAAATAACAAAACGAAAATGCTGATCTCTGGTAATCATTTCACCATACAAACACATCAATTCTGTGGTTTCATGATTAAGGTGAGGAATGAGGAGTGAGTCTAACATGAGCCTAACAACATCTTATCATACTTACACTAGTACTGAGCCTGAGGCCCCTGTCTCAGAGCTAGGGGGTGGAGATTCATCCTCACTAGAGTTTGACACCATCCTCTGGTACTTACACTAGTACTGAGCTTGAGGCCCCTGGCTCAGAGCTAGGGGGTGGAGATTCATCCTCCCTAGAGTTTGACACCATCCTCTGGTACTTACACCGGTACTGAGGCTCCTGTCTCTGAGCTAGGGGTGGAGATTCATCCTCACTTGAGTTTGACACCATCCTCTGGTACTTACACCTGTACTGAGGCTCCTGTCTCTGAGCTAGGGGTGGAGATTCATCCTCACTAGAGTTTGACACCATCCTCTGGTACTTACACTTGTACTGAGCTTGAGGACCCTGTCTCAGAGCTAGGGGGTGGAGATTCATCCTCACTAGAGTTTGATACCATCCTCTGGTACTTACACCTGTACTGAGGCTCCTGTCTCTGAGCTAGGGGTGGAGATTCATCCTCACTAGAGTTTGATACCATCCTCTGGTACTTACACCTGTACTGAGGCTCCTGTCTCTGAGCTAGGGGTGGAGATTCATTCTCACTAGAGTTTGACACCATCCTCTGGTACTTACACCTGTACTGAGGCTCCTGTCTCAGAGCTAGGGGGAGGAGATTCATCCTCACTAGAGTTTGACACCATCCCCTGGTACTTACACTTGTACTGAGCTTGAGGCTCCTGTCTCAGAGCTTGGGGGTGGAGATTCATCCTCACTAGAGTTTGACACCATCCTCTAGTACTTACACTTGTACTGAGCTTGAGGCTGTCTCTGAGATGAGGAGGGGAAGGGGTGGGGTGGGGGGGCAGGAGCCTCAATTAAGCCTAACTACATCCTCTGGTACTTACACTTGTACGGAGTTTGAGGCCCCTGTCTCGCAGCTTGAGGTTGGAGACTCAGCCTCACTTGAGTTTGACAACATCCTCTGGAACTCTGGCTTGTTCTGCAAATCTGAATCAGTCTGCAGTGTTAAACAGTGAAGGTCAAAGGTTATCTTCAGGTCACCCAAGTGCAACTCCATCGGGTCCCTTATGGACTGCTCCATCTCCTCAGCGATCAGAATTTCATCTGCACAATGAAAAAGATTGACATTTAATATGAAGATGCACAAGCATGCAGCAGTCATTGCGTAACTAAGCAGGATTAATAGATGTCCTTTAATATCAATCAAAATTAGAAATATTTCTTAGTAAATTTCGTCTTATAATTTGCAAATAGTACATGTTTCATGCATGTTCAGACTTTGTGGTGATCATATGACCATTTCTATATCCTACCCTGTATCAACCAAAAACCTCCTAATCAGCTTGAGACACCCGAGGCCCGAGGACTGATATGGGGTGAAGGTTGATAAAGGAAGGTTATGGAAAAGGTCATAATATAACCATTCTATTTTGAACTTTGTGTTGTAGGTATTTTAGACAAAAATAAAAAACATTGGCGAATAACACAAATAAAGAGTAATTGAGGCGTGATTTTTCTTTGAACTAGAAGTGAAATAGATATGTCACGTGCTGAGCAGAACAGACGTATATGTTTTTTGCTGCCACATCAGTCTTATAAATAATTTTGGTGACAAGAGATACCCTGTCCATTATATATTCGTCACCCTGGTTTGCTGTTATGACTGACCTGTGTAATAACATATACCTGTCTGTTGTATGTGCGGTGTTGATGATATGACTGACCTGTGTAATAACATATACCTGTCTGTTGTATGTGCGGTGTTGATGATATGACTGACCTGTGTAATAACATATACCTGTCTGTTGTATGTGCGGTGTTGCATGTGTTTTACTGCTAGCTGTGCCCAACTCATGCGTATGCTGGGGAGATATGACAGCGTAAAAACATAATTTGGTTTTTGGTTTTATTTTGTTTAACGTCCTATTTACAGCTTAGGTCATTTAAGGATGTTCCTCTGTGTATGCTGTGGATGCGTGTGCATGTGTGCAGGAGACAAGGTACGGCATGTTGGTACGAAAATCATAAACAAAACAGCCAAAGAAGGCCAGTGATACATACCCAGACATGGGATAAGGGTCTGGACCGACACGTCCTTGTACTGCATTCGGCTCTTCACTGTACAGGTGAAGTACACAAAGAGAGGGCCATTGTTGTTGGAATCATCATCTGCCAGCTCCGGGCACAAATCTTCCTCAGAGCCAAACGACTCGTTTGAGTCCAGTGTGGTGGCCATGGAACTGTGATCAGCATCTTCACCCTTCTTGTATATCAGTAAATAATCATCCTCCCTCTCTGTCATTGCTAGGTCAAGGTCATCATCAATAGATGGTACAAGGTCTGAAACATTAGTCAAGGTCATCATCAAAATATGGTACAAGGTCTGAAAATAGGTCAAGGTCATTATAAATAGATGGCACAAGGTCTGAAACATTAGTCAAGGTCTTCATCAATAGATGGTAATAGGTTTGAAATATTTGTCAAGGTCATCATCAATAGATGGTACAAGGTCTGAAACATGAGTCAAGGTCATCATCAATATATGTTACTGGTCTGAAAATAGGTCAAGTTAATCATCAAAAGAAGGCATGAGGTCTAAAGCATGAGTAAAAGTCATCAAAAGCACCAAAGCTATCTGTACTTAAACACTTTTTTCTAATACATACTTACATTTATTACACAAATATAAACAATGCTACTCTCATTTTGTAATACAGTCCATTTTAAGTATTACAATCTCAAATAAAAAATTATTCATTTAAGAAATTGATGGTTTATTCCTTTTTAATACTTGTTAAAATGCATATGTTTCATAAGAGTTGATCCAAGTTAAAGCTGTGGACAGGCTTGAGAGAACTGATGACATGGGCGTGGACTCACCGATAGTTGGTCCACCGTTATCTGTACCGCTCATGTCCTTCTCATCGCTTTCCATCTAAAACCAGAACAAACATTTTCTCAATACCAGCAATAAATCATTTTTTTCACACAATACAAATTGACATTTGAAGAGGATATTTTGAGAGTATTAATGCAGTAATTATTTGCCAATTAGGGCTACATAAAAATAAACGAACCAATCTGATATGACAAAGGATGTGAATTCAATTGCAAGAATTAAATCAAGGGACAACAACACCGAGTATGGTGATTACACATGTTCCATTCGGAACACCTTGCTCCGATTACAATACCTCTCTTTAAAGGTATGACCGAATTGACCGAGGTGTTCCGAATGACATATGTACATGTTCACATATATCATTAGATTCAGTGTAGTGTAGATACAGGCATATTTACCGAGCTGTCCTGGGGGACTGACTCTGGGCAGTAGAAGTAGTAGTTAGGATAGTTGGGCACAAGCTGGAACCATTTCTGGGTGATGTCAGTGAACTTGCGTCGGATAAGGCTGTGCAGATCATCCTGGTACTCACACCGACTAGTGGGTTGAGTCTGCAGTTTCACCAAGGCGTTAGGGAGCTGGAGTATGGTCGGTACTGCCTTAATACCGGAGTCACTGCTGTTAAAGCATAGTATGATGTAGAGTACCAACTGCTGGTACAGGTATCCCTATACATTTAACCTTCATATAAATAAATTGAAAATGTGTGTAGATATAAATGCCCCCTTGTACATGTTGATGACCTATAGACAGCAAGAGTGACCTTGACATTAACCTTGCACTCTTGAAATAAGAACTCAAATAATGTATTCTCATACTTGACCTTTGTATAATATTTGATGAAAATCTGTAAAGAAATGAAGTCTGTCGTCATAGCAACAAATAATTAGGGGAGGGGATTGGGGTGGGACAAGACAGACATGGGTCCCCTCTCTCTCGCTACAATGGCCTTAGCATAAAAGTAAATAAAACTTATCTCTATTCACATTTGTCTATGAAAGCGAATATCATGTCTGCTCCCCAATATCAAGGCTCCTGCTAGCTGTTGTTAGTATTGCCACTGTTTAAACCCTGGTGTGCTGGCAGTCACACATTTGACTCTGCATCAGGAGCAACTAAGCCAACTTGCGTCGCACCTTTCCACAGCATTTTGAGAACCATTTCCTCAACGTTTGTGAGAACTGAATACATCTGTTTCTTTCAAATGCTTTAAAATCTAATAGATGGATATAAAGATTTATTCGTCTATTCCTTCTAAATTCTAAATGTACGTGACAAATTGCAAGAGAACTTACCCATCTGTCTCATCCAAATTCTCCATAAACCTGACCGATGTGCGTTTATTTGTGGTGTCCGTCCCCTTGTCCACCTCTTTGTTGTTCTGCTCCACCTGGGCCGTTTCCACAATCTGTCTGAAGTGCCGACATGATGCGAGCAGAAAGGTGGTGATGTCCGTCTCCATAGGGAACGACTCTGTACACATATTGTATATGACCGAGTCTATATCCTCCGGTGCCATGAAGTAACCCTGCTGTAGACTCTGGAACACACCTGGTAAAATACAAGGATTTCTACAGTAATGTAATGTTTTAGATATTGAAAATTGTTCTTTGTATAATGTTATTGAAACATAAGAGATTTAACACGAAATATTTTGCGATATTGATCAAGAATTAATTGAGTGGCAAGAGATTTTAGCTAAGCACAGACAAGTTTTGTTGTCGGTTTAAAATTCTACATCCTCATAACAATCATATTATATACCATTTACATAATTATAACATAATTTTTCCTATTTATAAATCAACATCAATCATTGGTTTTTAGGTAAATCTTTTAAGTTGTATCTGTGAAAAAAAGTAGATTCTGGGCACTTACTTTTGCAATGATTATAGATAAATTAAATCATTCATCCCTGAAATTTCATAATGAGCTATTCCAACCTTTGAATTGGAGGAGTTCAAATGTGTTTTCAGGGGTGAATGAGTTACGGATTAAAGCTACAGTACGGAACACAGCAACATGAATGTTGTGTGTGATTAAAATATCAAAATCTATCTAAAAATTGTCCATATCAAACAAAATGATGATATGCCTTTACAGTAACTCCTATGACCATGCAGCCTTACCATTGACAAAACAGCTAGAATAGATGTCAGACAGGAAATTGCAGTGATTTTTCAGGTCTTCAGTGCCATCCACTGAACTCTCTGTCATCCTGCGCTCCTGTGACTGGCTGCATCGCAGAATCTGGTGCAGGGTCTCATAATCATCCTTGTCATCACTGCCAGGCGTTGAGTCACGATCAAATGATGGGAAACGAAAGAAGTGTCCTCTACCGCCAGGCGTTTCCAAACTTTCACCTCTTGTCTGGAATATACAGTCCTCAAAGATGTCTGGGGCAAGTTCAAACGTCCAAGGATTGATCAGCGAGTCGGTGACATTGTTGAGGTAACACTCGTATACGTACATCGGCACAACACAGGACACATATTTATTTTCCTTGTTACTCTCCTCCTCTACCTCCCCCGGTAGGTCCGTCACTGTGTCCTCTCTCTCCAAGTCTTCTAGGTCTGTCTGTTCGTCCTCCTCCGCATCAGTCATCTTGTCTGTCCCCTGATGTAAAACCCTGGAGTCTGATCCCTCGGGTCTCTCCACGATGGTGTTTGTGTCGGAGTCAGACACAAATTTCTCTACAAGTGAGGTCACAGGAGTCGAGATGTCGACCTTGAGCTTGGCGCCCCTGCCCAAACTTCCATCCTTGATACCGTCCTCACACACAGAGCTGGATTTGGATTTTACAATTTCCTCAAGGTCATTTAGTTTCAAGAGGTCATCGAAGGAAGCAGGGAGGAATGTCACAAACATCCTGGTATTACTGGAAGCTCTGACGAAACACCGCCACTGAGGATATTTTCTTTTATTTCTTATGTTGTAAAGTCTCGTTTGTTCAGTTGCAAGTTCCCTCAGGGCACCTTGGTAAGACTTTTGATCTTGAAGAAGATTCTCAATGTCATCATCAAGTGTGAAAGGGAAAGGATGAGAGGCAAGGTCCCTTTGCCTTTCCTTCAATAAGTGGAAGAACCTGAAGCTGTCGCAGGCAGATAGAGTTACCTCCCTTTGGGTGGTTTCTTTCAGTCGTTCAAACATGAGGTTGAAGAAGAGGTTATTAGAACCTTTGATGTCTCGCTGGATCTCATCTTCTCTCAGATTTCCTGGAATTTTTTGATAAAAAGAACTATTTACATTTAGAACTATCATTCTATCAGTGGCTAAAACTGGTGTGTACATTTCATACATTATCGTTTTAATCAAAGATTAAGTATTATTTTATTACAAAGGAATGTGTGTTAATTCAAAGATTTAGAAAAAAAAAAGTTAATAAAAAGTGATAACAAAACATTAAAGCCCCAAAAAAGTAAAATTATTCCATAATCAATCATTATATCTTTTTTTTCCAACACTTGTTAAAAACCGATGACATGCCATTTTTCAACAGAACCAACACAAAAATATAAACACCTATTCAGGTTGTTGAAGTTCAATTTGAACTGACCTGGTGCAAGATGAAGAAAAGTAGAAAATGTCTGTGATGCTAGCAAGAGGCTCGAGTAGCCATCTTAAATTTCAAATACCCGGTATGTCCCAAAAAACACAATGGTCATGACAGTAAGATGACCATTTACAATAAGTGTGGTCAAAATTTGCCTATTTGGTCTGAAGAAATCATTGTTCTAGTACTGATAACGCACAAGAGTAACTGTTTATGGTAGTGGTAAGGCCTGAAATAAGACTAACCAATTCTGTAGGAAGACACGAGGAGTTCTGCCTGCTGACTTCGCGGTAACAGCGACAGAATGTCAAATGGTAGAGGAAGCTGATGTATAGTCTGTGGGGGTCCGGGTCTACCAGGGGTGTCCTCCACATACAGGGGCACAAAATCAACGCTGCTGGAGAAGCTGAAAGTGATAGCAAAGGTTCAATGGTTGTGAATAATTAATTCTACAAGATCTTATTTAAAGTTCACGAAACGGAGTTAATTTCAGGACTTAAATGCACATTCTTATCATTTATGACAGTACAAGACTCAGTTGCTAATTAACATACTCCATAATTTGCAAATATCTGTCAAAGTTTGAATGTGAATCATGACATGATGGATCTTTGATTACTCTTACAGTATCATAGAATTTTCTGAACTTAAAAACATTCACACGTTATAAATCCTAGTGTTGTGCTTTCATTAAAAGATTTTCTTTGAGTCAGATGCTTTACAACAGCATACATGCCATAACTTTCCGTGCAAAATAATGAGATCAGTGATTATTTTTAGTGAGATTTGGTCAAAAATAGTGAGATTTTATCTCTGAATTCGTGAGAAATTCGGGAGACATTTAAAACATAAATTATATAGCATATAACATAGTATTGAATCATTTTTGTTATTCTGAAGCCGCTAATTACTTTGCTAGGGCCAAAATTGAAGATTTATTGATATCTTAAAGGATTTTAGGAAGGTTTACATGTGACATACGGTCCAGATATAGCTATCAACATTCAAAAGTAAATAAATCACATAAAAGGCAAAAAATAAGAGTAATTAAAAAAATAAGAAATTCTAGAGGGATGTCCTTGTTAACCCAGAAAATTTAATATTAATTTGTTGGGAAAAAATAACCAATAACTACTATTTTTATATATCCAATTCTAAAGAAACTTGTTTTCTTCTATTTATGTTATTTTCATTAACACTCAATCCTATCGCGACGGCAAGAGAATGAATTCCAGATTCAATGTCAGTGTCCGGTTTCAATTTTATAGTTACCTCCAACATTTCCCTTTCGGTATTAACAGCTCTTAAGTTGCTGTTTAATGTAATATCAACTGTCATCACATCTTAATTAGCAACTAGCCCCCACTTGATGTGGGGTCACTGATTAAATTGCTTAACAGTTCAGACATCAGTGAGCAAGTTACCAAGCCATGCCCTGCTAAATCGGCTGGCCAGGCCATTCAGATCTTTCACCTATGCTGTTAATTGGTCTAGCCTGTAATTTAAGTAGCGGGCGTGTGACTTCAGACCTCTCAGTGACCAAGGTCAGTGTGAATCCATGTAGCTATTGTTTATTCACAAAGATTGACCAAATTTTGTTTCTTTTCGTGTCAAGAGACCGATTTCATACCAAGTCAAAATGGCAGATATTACATGGGACGTTTTTTCGTGAGATCAAAATATTTGAAATAAAAAGTGTAAAAAATGGGTCCCACGTCGTGAGACATTTTGGAAGGCTATTTTTTGTGAGTCTCACGCCAAAATCGTTAGATATGGCATGTATGCAAAATAAATGTAAAAACATTATTATACCAGTACACTTTTTACATTTTTATACCAGTGCATTTTTGACGTTATTATACCAGTGTACTTTTACCATTATTATACCAAGTGCACTATTTACATTATTATACCAGTGTACTTTTTACATTACTATACCAGTGCACTTTTCACATTATTATACCAAGTGCACTTTTTACTAAACGTACCTTCCATCCTGGAGCCAGTCAACATCATTGGGGACAGCAAATGTGTTCTGACATACATATACCAGATGTTCAAAGGTCACCAGGCAGGATATGCATTCAAGGTCAGGTGGATATAGCTGCAAAGACAAACACAGGTTCACTAAGTCAAGGTCGAATCAGAAACCTAAAATGTGAAGCTCAATCCACTCTCCTCAGCTCCAAAACTTAGTCAAAGTCGAATCAGAAACCTAAAATGGGAAGCTCAATCCAGTCTCCTCAGCTCCAAAACCGTCTTCTAAAGGCATAGTCACATCCAATCAAAACCCTACAATGTGAGTATCATCCTGCTCAACTTCACAGCAATCTTCCTTTTGTGTTAACTTCACCACTATAAAGAACACATTTTACTGACTTTATACGATACAAATTATTTCAATAAAATATAATGCAGCATAATCATGTAAACAATCAATCAACCATATGATGACAAACAATTGTCTCTTTAAATTACAGCCATGAAGCACACCTGACATTGCAGACTTTGGTGGTCACCTTTTTTGATAAAATACTCTATTTTTCATGGATGTAGTTGTGTATTCCGTGGATAAACTGTCAGCTGGATAATCACTATGACCTCTTTAAAAAGCTGTTGGATCTCTTTTATTCTGTAAAGTTAACAAGAGGCCCAGTGGGCCTGTATCATCACCTCAATATATATTTGCATACAGAGTTGGGACCTCAACTGTTTCCCTACTATATATAACCCAGGAGCCAAAGTCACCAGGGGTCAGGCTGGACCCAGGGACTAATTCTTGTTTTCATGCCTGGCAATTGTATATACGGTTATAGGGTGGGTAGGAAGAGATGGACCCAGAGGCAAATTCTGGTCATTTGAATGTATTTGTCTTGATATGGGGTGGGGATCTCAACCAATCCCATGCTATGACCCAGGGAGTAAATTTCCAGAGGCGGGGCTGAACCACAACACTTCTCTTAGTAGCATAATTGTATCTATCTCTCCATGCCCAGCAAAAATATGAGTAGCTTTAGAGCATTATCTTGGCCATTTCCAATTAATGATGCAGGAACTAACTCTTCAGGATGGGACTGGACCCAAAAGTCAATTCTAGTAGCATGGATATACATGTATATGTCAATTTATGCCTACATGTATCTTTTTGTTTGCATAGTTGGGATCTTGATTTTTTTAAGTAATACGGCAGTACACTAAGATAGGTTAGGGCAAATTAGGTAAAAATCACTTTAAATAAAGGGATGATATTTTTAGATAATAAAAATAAAGGAAACGATAAGGTCCAAACAGAAACATTTATTTCCCCTATTTTACCCCACCCCTCAACTGTTTGGGGAACCACTACCTTCATTTAATGGAAGATTGAGTCCCCTTGACATAAGGATGGTTGTACAGGGTTTAACATCCTATCAACAGCTAGGATCATTGGAGGATGTGCTCAACCTAGGGACTAAGGATTCTCCACACTAAATAAGGTTAGAATTCCTTTATTGAAACTCAAGGGGTAGGATTTTACTATAGGGTAGTAGAATTTCAAAATTTCCTATAATCTCCCTATTGATATCCCCACCTCTAGATCTCTACCCTTTGGAGAAGAGGTCACACCTTCCTTTTAGACAATACTGAATCTACTTGGCTTAAGGATGCTCAAGACCATATTAAGTTAAAATCACTTCAAGATTTCTAAAGAGTTAACATTTTAATAAGTTACATATATTTCCCAAAATTGACCCCACTTCTCTGATCCAAGAAAGTGGGGTGGGACTATGGGTGGGTGGGGGTGGGGGTATGCAGCCTCTGTTTATACAGCATTTCATCCCTTTAGTTCTAGGATGTGATAATAACTATGTCATGTGTGATTGGAAATATGTATTTTGTGAAAAGACACATGTGTACTGTGTGATGAGACATGTGAACTGTCAGATAGGAAACATGTACTGTGGAATGAAACATGTACTACATGGTAAGACACAGCTACTTTGTGACAAGACATGTACTGTTTGATAGACACATCTACTTTGTTGTAAGACATGTACTGTTTGATAGACACATCTACTTTGTTGTAACACATGTACTGTTTGATAGACACATCTACTTTGTGATAAAACATGTACTGTTTGATAGACACATCCACTTTGTGACAAAACATGTACTGTTTGATAGACACATCTACTTTGTTGTAAGACATGTACTGTTTGATAGACACATCTACTTTCTAATAAGACATGTAGTTTGATAGGCACATCTACTGTGTGATAAAACATGCACTGTTTGATAAATACATCTAGATTGTTGTAAGACATGTACTGTTTGATAGACACATCTACTGTGTGATAAAACATTTATTGTTTTATAGATACATCTACTGAGTGATAAGAACACATGTACTTTTTGATAGACACATCTACTTTGTTGTAAGACATGTACTGTTTGATAGACACATCTACTTTGTTGTAAGACAAGTACTGTTTTATAGACACATCTAGTTTGATAGACACATCCACTTTGTGACAAAACATGTACTGTTTGATAGACACATCTACTTTCTAATAAGACATGTAGTTTGATAGGCACATCTACTGTGTGATAAAACATTTACTGTTTGATAGACACATCTACTTTGTTGCAAGACATGTACTGTTTGATAAATACATCTAGTTTGTTGTAATACAATTACTGTTTGATAGACACATCTACTTTGTTGTAAGACATGTTCTGTTTGATAGACACATCTACTTTGTTGTAACACATGTACTGTTTGATAGACACATCTACTTTGTGATAAAACATGTACTGTTTGATAGACACATCTACTGTGTGATAAAACATTTATTGTTTTATAGATACATCTACTGAGTGATAAGAACACATGTACTTTTTGATAGACACATCTACTTTGTTGTAAGACATGTACTGTTTGATAGACACATCTACTTTCTAATAAGACATGTAGTTTGATAGGCACATCTACTGTGTGATAAAACATACACTGTTTGATAAATACATCTAGATTGTTGTAAGACATATACTGTTTGATAGACACATCTACTGTGTGATAAAAAATTTATTGTTTTATAGATACATCTACTGAGTGATAAGAACACATGTACATTTGGATAGACTTTGATAGACACATCTACTGTGTGATAAAACATTTATTGTTTTATAGATACATCTACTGAGTGATAAGAACACATGTACTTTTTGATAGACACATCTACTTTGTTGTAAGACATGTACTGTTTGATAGACACATCTACTTTGTTGTTAGACATGTACTGTTTTATAGACACATCTACTTTGTGATAAGAAGAGATGTACTGTTTGATAGACACATCTACTGTGTTGTAAGACATGTAGTTTGATAGGCACATCTACTGTGTGATAAAACATTTACTGTTTTATAGACACATCTACTATGGGATAAGAACACATGTACTGTTTTATAGACACATCTACTGTGTGATAAGACATGTACTGTTTGATAGACACATCTACTTTCTAATAAGACATGTAGTTTGATAGGCACATCTACTGTGTGATAAAACATTTACTGTTTGATAGACACATCTACTTTGTTGCAAGACATGTACTGTTTGATAAATACATCTAGTTTGTTGTAATACAATTACTGTTTGATAGACACATCTACTTTGTTGTAAGACATGTACTGTTTGATAGACACATCTACTTTGTTGTTAGACATGTACTGTTTTATAGACACATCTACTTTGTTGTAAGACGAGTACTGTTTTATAGACAGATTTACTTTGTGATAAGACATGTACTGTTTGATAGACACATCTACTTTCTAATAAGACATGTAGTTTGATAGGCACATCTACTGTGTGATAAAACATGCACTGTTTGATAAATACATCTAGATTGTTGTAAGACATATACTGTTTGATAGACACATCTACTGTGTGATAAAAAATTTATTGTTTTATAGATACATCTACTGAGTGATAAGAACACATGTACATTTGGATAGACACATCTACTTTGTTGTAAGACAAGTACTGTTTGATAGACACATCTACTTTGTTGTAAGACAAAGTAGATGTGTCTATCAAACAGTACATGTCTAATCACACAGTAGATGTGCCTATCAAACTACATGTCTTATTAGAAAGTAGATGTGTCTATCAAACAGTAAATGATTTATCACACAGTAGATGTGTCTGTCAAACAGTAATTGTATTACAACAAACTAGATGTATTTATCAAACAGTACATGTCTTACAACAAATTAGATGTGTCTATAAAACAGTACATTTGTTCTTATCACATAGTAGATGTGTCTCTAAAACAGTACATGTGTTCTTATCACATAGTAGATGTGTCTATAACACAGTACATGTGTTCTTATCACACAGTAGATGTTTCTATCAAACAGTACATGTCTTATCACACATTGCATGTGTCTATCAAACAGTACATGTCTTAAAACAAAATAGATGTGTCTATCAAACAGTACATGTCTTACAACAAATTAGATGTGTCTATAAAACAGTACATGTCTAACAACGAAGTAGATGTGTCTATCAAACAGTAAATGTTTTATCACACAGTAGATGTGCCTATCAAACTACATGTCTTACAACACAGTAGATGTGTCTATCAAACAGTAATTGTATTACAACAAACTAGATGTATTTATCAAACAGTACATGTCTTACAACAAATTAGATGTGTCTATAAAACAGTACATGTGTTCTTATCACATAGTAGATGTGTCTCTAAAACAGTACATGTGTTCTTATCACATAGTAGATGTGTCTATAACACAGTACATGTGTTCTTATCACACAGTAGATGTTTCTATCAAACAGTACATGTCTTATCACAAAGTAGATCTGTCTATAAAACAGTACTTGTCTTACGACACAGTAGATGAGTCTATAAAACAGTAAATGTTTTATCACACCGTAGATGTGTCTATAAAACAGTACTTGTCTTACAACAAAGTAGTTGTGTCTATCAAACAGTACATGTCTTACAACAAATTAGATGTGTCTATAAAACAGTACATTTGTTCTTATCACATAGTAGATGTGTCTATTAGACAGTACATGTCTTATCACACAGTAGATGTGCGTA